AATTCATAGTCTTGTATCATTGTGTACACTATACCCCCCCCCAATATTATTTCTTGACTAGGGTAAATAAATTAAGTAGAATGTTAGGGTCAGAAACATGTTGTAAGACTATAGAATACTCAAAATGTTTTTTTGACAATGCTCTCATGGTTCCTGGTAACATCTGCATTAACACAGGTTTTCAAACAATACAGGCTGGGGATAATTTCAACATGAATCTCCTGGTGAATAACACATATCTCCTGGTAAATAATACTGGTAAATAACACATATCTCCTGGTAAATAACATGTATCTACTGGTAAATATTGCTGGTAAATAACGCATATCTCCTGGTAAATAACATGTATCTACTGGTAAATATTACTGGTAAATAACACATATCTCCTGGTAAATAACATGTATCTCCTGAATATGTGGAATTACTTTAGAAATTGCCTGCAGAGATGCTTAGTTGTGCACCATAGGGTTCCAGTTGCTATCCATGTTAACTATATGTTGTCTAATGGTACAAGACAGCCAGCCAAAATATAACATCCAGTACATTCAGGTACTAATGAACTGCCCAACAATATTGTTAGTACCTCAGTGTGAATACTCTCATCTGATTGGTCAATTAGCGGTCAACATTTTTGCCTGTACCCCACCTGTGCATCATGGGATATCATATTGTTGACCGCATTTGTTACTGTACTACACTTGTGAATTATGGGAATATGACGTCATAATGTTTAAAGAAAAACATGGCAGACTGACGTTTGCATTGATGAATGTGATATTTTGACTTTACTAGATGACAAGTAATAAGTATAGCAAAAATACAAATAGAAACGTAAAATTAACATTAATTTACTAATGAGTACGCATTGCTGGCATTGCTGGCGTGGTTCGGAGAAAAGAAGTGAAATCATGGACTTCAAATAAGTTAGAAGTCCATGGTGAAATGAAGCCATGCCGATTGATGATTGTCGTCTATATGTGTATTATTAGTTTCTTCGGACTAACAAAACAATTGTAGACCTCTCCATTCGGTCAACCGTCAAAATCATATACCTCGACTGTAAACCTTGAAAGTACTGTTGACCTCGACCTTCGGTCTCAGTCAACAGTAGTTTCTCGGTTTACAGTCTCGATATATAATTTTGCCGGTTGACCTCTGGAGAGGTCAACAATTGTATACTGTATGACCAATCTTTGAATAAATATCAAATAAGGCACATGGTGAACAACATTGCACCTTATAATCAACAAGGCATCAATATTCAAAATGTAACCACCTGCCATTTGTTACAGACACCAACTGCCAAACACCAGCTACAATAATTGGAGACAATAACAATATATCAACACTTCTGGAGGTGACATAAAAATGGCTGCCTTAATATTAATTCTTGCCAAGACAAGAAAAGTGAGACACTCTGAATGTGACAGCAATATTGTACATTTTAGGTACTTCAAAAATCAAAATTTGCTTAAAAGAGGGAACCTATAAGGAAACATCCCACGATATCTAAATATGTCAACTATATTGACATATTAGAGCTTTGTTGAGATCTTGAGTGCAGCCTACTTGTCAATTCAGGCATTTCAAGAATGGAAATAATCTGCTAAGAAAATTCTGGAAGATGAAGACATTTTTTACACAGAAAAATGCAAATGACTGCAAAAAATAACGTTATTGAGATGCTTTATACATTCATGTCTACAAACCATTTTCAGTGCATAGGTATATTTAAGGTAGGTATGTATCAATATTCCCTTTTAGCCATTCAGTTAGTACGAGACTGTGCACTCATCCCCCCTATCAAATCTAATCAAAAGTACATGCAATTAATTACATGTCTTGGTACATATCAATACATTGGCATTGCCACATACCATCATACCTCAACAAATCTGAGTAATCATCTGATCAATCTGAATTTTTCAAAATATAACCGAGAAGTTTAGTATAGTAAGGATGCCTGTCAATGGTTTCCCTGTTGAATGGGAGGAAATAGAGCTCGCTCCTTCCCCAACCCTGGTTTCTAGGAAATGTACAGGAAATATTGAAACAAAATTGGGGAAATTACCCTTACTATAAGGATATGATCCTTTACATCTCATAAATTTAAGGCATAAATTAAAATTGATATCAGATAACAGTAAACCTTAGGCCAAACCCAAGTCGAGCCACAAAAAATTATTTTAATTATTCTAGACACAAATTAGATGAAATTACACAAATACCTTTGACATAATTTAAAGTGTGAATCATCATCATTCAATATTTAAAATATAGAGATCTGTTATCTACTGTAAGTGTTTTTGGATGGATACATAATAAGATTATTCAATATAATTCCAGAATTGATATTGCCACCTATCAGCAACTTTGGTGGTTTTCAACAACCACAGTATATCAACACAAAATGATTTTGTAAAAAATTAACAAAGCAACACCTTTAAAAAAAGAGCCTGAATCTAAGGGTATTTGGTATATAAATCAAGTAACATGATCACACCTCCCAATATAACAAAACAGCAAGGGGTGGGTTACCCTGAGCACTACATAACAGTGGTTCTTTAAAAACAAGCAATGTATTTTGGTTGGGGCAACATTAAAGAGTGCATCGTGGTTTCATTCTGAAACAGAACTAGAACTAGAATTCTTAAACACTGAACACACACAAGAAGACACATCTAGCCTTGAATGAGATGTACAAAAACCATATGAAAACAATAGTGTATGTTAGACGCAACTTACTATTAGATTGGATTCTAAGAAATGGGCAACACTCCTGCTTGCAAGCTGGAGATAGTTATTTCTCACTACAGGTACCAATTAGAAAATACACCACTGGTAGTCTTCTGTTTGAATAATACTGCTTTCTAGAAGCTAGAATCGGAGATAAAGGGAATGGCAAAACTATAAGCAACATTATTCATTCAGAAATGAAATATTTTGGACAATATGGCTGGGTAACCGAGATGATTCCAGTGTCTTGGAAATTCTGAAAAAGTATGTGTCCAGTTATTTTCCAAAAATGTCTAATGAAAGACCATAAAATTTACTTCATGGTCATGAGGAATATAATAGGTTGTCTCTGATTCCAGGCCAGTATTAAGGTATGTGGAAACCACATGCATTGCACAGCACTAGATTAACCAATCAGGAGTTCAATGACAGGTAAGATCATCCAGGTACATAGATAGCAGACCTGAAAACTGTGGTAGATCATCCAGGTACATAGATAGCAGACCTGAAAACTGCGGTTTCATTAGCAACAGGCATTTTTCTCCGGCTGTTATTACCAAAATTGTTTTTGTGAGAAAATTTTTAAACTTTTCCATGTCTAAATCATACTTTTACTCATGCATGTTGTTTTCAGTAATGTTGTCTGTTGTTAGGAATGACTACTTGTAAGGAAAGTGTAGTGAAAACATAGATATTTGCAACCAATAAGCGATAGAAGCTGCCCTTGGTGTTATTCTATAACACAGCATAGCTGGGTGATTATAGGCCAAATTAACAACACTCTGGGTGCCAGAAACGAAGATGTTTATAAGTAACACAGTATTGTGAGGCAACCTGATTTCAAACAGAACATTACAATATGGAAATCCCTATTCTTGATCTTGAACATACCGGGTGACCCAAAATAAAAAAATGTTCGTGGACATTAAATACTCTCTTGGGATAGCTCTGATCTCTGCAGTGATTTCTGATTTTTGTGTCTTAATGTCTGGGGGAGATTTTCATAAACAATGATTCTTCAATTAACCCCAAATTGAGAAATCTGGGGCATTGAAGTAGGGTATGTGTGAGCCCACACAGGGTCACATCTACTGATCAGTCGATCCTCAAACTGTTGCATCAGCCACTCCAGGCCACTCCAATGATTGGCTTGTAGTGTGTGGGGTGGCACTGTCCTGTTGGAACCATTGTTCTTCATGAGTGGTGCCCCTAAGTCTCCCTAGAGCCATCTAAAAATTCCTCAGTACCACTAGATTTGATCTAACTGATCAGTAGATGTGACTGTTAATGGGCCCTGACTTGAATGCAACAGATTTCTATCTCTGGGGTTACCTGAAGGACTGCTGTTTACGAAAACCACCTCCAGACAATCAGACACCTAAAAACAGAAAGCACTGCAAAGATCAGAGCTATCCCAAGAGAGTAGTGTGTATGCGAAATTGACCGCATTCAGGAGTGCCTGCGATGTCAAGGTGATCATGTCGAACATGTTTTTTGAAAAGCCACAAAAGACTATTTGAACGGAAGAACCCAAACTTATAGGACAAATTTGTCATTACCTCAGCTTGATATGAGTGAAAAATGAAGCATTTTTCTTATATGTTATAGAAATGTATGGGTTGCATTTATTTTGAGTCACCCTGTACAATGAATAAAATATATATTAATTTAATGTCAGAATGCTTAAAAATGACAAAGTTTCACTGCACATGCATCATGCAACTGAACAAAATGTTTAAGCAATTTGATTAGAAATTCTATTAGCTGTGCAAATTTCGCTTCCAGACATTCCAATTAACGAGAACTGGACAGACTGGGAATCAGACTTTGCAGAGTGAGGGACAAATCAAAATTTTCCAAAATATCTTTAATTTCATGCTTTATCTGAGAAGAAAGCTCAGCGGTAGAGTAGTCCACAACTCGTAAAAAGGCCATGGTGTGTACTTGTAAGTATGAGTGCACATAAAATAATATAGGGCTCTCCAAGGAGGGGTTCCTGGATCTGCCTTTCATGATTACATGCGTTAATTACGACCTTTTATATATACCCAAGAGGTATTGCTCACCTTCATTGGTGGTAAACAAAATACAATACAATACAAAATAGGGTGAATCGATTAATGCTCACTGTGGGACAACATGTTAAAAAAAGTCATGACTCTGGTATCTAATAAACAAACTTTAATTGTTCTGCTCCTAGAAACAAAAACTAAAAAGCACTTCAACTCAGACAATCACCATTGTACTGGTTACCATTCTTACAAAACCAAACAACGAATGAGTGTAAAGATTAAGTCAAATAACTGCAGATCACGACATAATCTAAAAGGCTAGCACTGCATGTAAAGCCATGATAGTTCAAGACAGTGGCGACTGTTCACGAGTGAAAAAGTAAACCACTGAACTTTCAAAATGTGGAATATTGGAACAATGTTTTTGAACATACTGACAGTATTTCTGTTAATAAAATATCTATCAGTCTGTGGACACTCTGATTCATTTTCCTCTAAACATGCTGGACTTGATGGAATGAAATATGCCACATTGAACATCAAAAGTGACTGTATGAGGTGTAACTGTGTTGGTCTTACTGCTGACTGCACATCTAGAGGCCTACTGTCATTGCCTTTGGATTTGCCACAGAATATTACAACACTCATGTTATCCAATAATAGCATATCAAGTTTGACTGATGGCCAGCTTGGACAGACTTATGGAAATTTGAAAGTGTTGGATCTAAGTACTAACAAAATAGTTGTTTTTGGAGAGCATATCTTTGAAGGCCTTTATAATCTACAGGATCTCAGGATAGGCAACAATCCATATAAACCACACCTGTTTCACCCACTCGTTTACAAACCACTACAGAATATTCATAAAATTCATGTGGCAGGCTATGGGGATGAATCAAATGGGCGACCAGGCTCAAGAATAGCTTTGCTTAATGCATTTCAAGGGCTACAGAACTCTACGATAGAAAGTATTACATATGAACATATAACATTTATGCCATTTTTATTAAAGAGCAAGCACATGAAATTTCTTGAGCATTGCAATTTGAAGAGATTTAGTCTTCCTGATAATAGAATCTATGCGTTGGAGTCTCCAGGACTGAAATATATGCCACAATTAGAAATACTGGATTTGTCAAAAAATGGTATTCAAGGCTCAATACCTGCTCGTGGATTCCTCATTGAATTTTATTTTATGAGATATCTGAAGGTGATAAAAATAGAACATAACATTCCGGGAATGGTATTTGATTTGAACAACCCTATTATGGCTATATCGGAAGAATTAAGTGGAAATTATTGGGCAGTTCCTAAAGCACTTGAAGAGCTGTACCTCACAGAGACCAGAGTGGACATGGCACCATATCATTTACCATATGGAATAAAGTTACAACGTGAACATCGGATTAAGATCATAGAAGCCTCTGCTAGTTTTATTCTAACATACATTGGTAAGCCGATCAAAGGCCTGGTTAATTTGGAAAGATTTATATTTAATGACAATAACTGCATTATTGTACCTGAATTTTTTACATGTGAGACTGGATATTTTGAAAGTTTGAAAGTTCTTGACATGGCCAACAACAGAGCAAAACTTTCTTCAAAATCCTCTGTCCACCTTCTATTCAGAAACTGTTCCCAGTTACAACACATTGACATATCAAACAATGATATTACAGATATTGACTCACATGCATTTGAAGATACAACAGGACTTGAAGTTCTGAACTTGAGTGGCAACAAAATAGAAAGGATCATGTTTACACTGACAGAACTGAAATCACTAAAACTGCTAAATCTGTCAAATAATCACATACAAACAATAGATGGACATACAAGAATGGATATTGATAAACTAAGAGAAACAGCAAGCAAGAATCTAACAATAGACATCAGACAGAACCCAATGATCTGTAACTGTGATTCATTCCAGTTCATAGAATGGATGCAGGCATATAATAGCATTATGTTTGAATGGCCAGAGGTTGCATGCATTTACATCAATGGCTCAGAGGTAGCGTTCAAAGACATTGTGTTGCCTGATATGAAATGGGACTGTTGGAAAGCTACAATTATTCCGTCGCTTGTTTCCTTTGGACTTGTTGTAGTAGGAATGATTACAACCTTATATGTATATAGACGCAGGTACAAAATACAGTATCTGGCCCTCCATCTGAGGGCATTACTGAGACGTAATCAACATCCTGATATTAATTTTGACTTTGATGGTTTTTTGAGTTATAGCTCCTTGGACAAAGATTGGGCGTTGGGACACATATATGCTCACCTCAACAATGAATACAACTATAACATATGCCTGGATGACCGCAACTTTATGCCTGGTGCTTACATTGCTGACATTATAGTTGAAAGTATCAGCAAAAGCAACAAAATAATTCTGATCATCAGCCAGAATTTCCTCCGCAGTGGCTGGTGCACATTTGAAATGAACCTTGCAAGAGGAGAGCTAGCCACCAGGGGTAGAGACTGTTTGATATTGATCCTAAAGGAACCTGTGGATGTTCTACCCCCAGAGCTGATCACACCCACTCTGCGTTCCCTACTGGAGACCTGAGTATACCTGGAGTGGAGTGAAGATGAGGACAGGAAGCAGCTGTTCTGGAGAAAGATGCAAGATGCGCTAGGTGAGCCTAAATACCAGGGGGAGGGAGATACACCATATCTACTCCAGGTTAATGAAGGGGACCAGGAAGTACTTCAACAACTTATTGGGTAATCAAATATTACCTGAACTGATTTACAGGTGGTGACTAGGAAGTACTTCAACACCTAACAAGGTAATCAAATATTATCTGAACAAAATTAAATATCTGACATGCTATTACATGATGCATATGTATTACTATGACACTTTTGGCAAAATATTGGAATTATCTGATTGTGAACGAAAGATAACCTTAGCGTGTTGTTCTTGTCTCCTTGTTGGTAAGATGTTTCTTTCGTTTGTAATTTGTAACTTATCTTGATTATCTAACTTATCTAAAGTGTGCACACCTAAAATTATATCTAAAACTAATCTTCAACTGCCTATGTCTTTACATGTGGACAACCTGGGCTCAACTGACCAGTTTGGCCTCTATAGCATAATTAGCCCTTTCAAAACTCAAGTAAACTTTAAAACAACTTGGTATTTAGGCAATTTAGCCCTTGTAGTAAATTTCTCTTCTTATTTATATTACATCTCCCCCCTTCTTAAGTTTGTCGTTACTCAGACAAGCTGTATAAATTATAAATCTTCTGCTATTTACAGTGATAAAATATTTTGGATGGCTTTTCCAAAATAAAATATAATTCTTCTATAAAAATCTCAAATTCAATTCTACTAAGTGTCACTATCACTTTATGTCACTTCTTGGACTATCCATTAAGAAATAATTGCCTCTCATCAAGGTCATCATCGAGGTCTCCTTTTAGGGGTCTCTTGACTAACTTAAGTGTAGCAGCATCATCTTGTAAAGTCACGTCTGTAGTCAGCATATCAGCTTTATTTTCACTCTTTGTTTTTCTTCTGGCTACGCAGTGTTCGCGTTGACGCCGTTTTTTGCCATTTTTACGGAAATTTCAGAAGGTTGGACGTAAAAATCAAAATCAACTTACGTCCCTAGGACGCAAAAATTATAAACTGCTTCAAGATAACTTTTACTGCAGCACAGTAGCGGTGAAACATGATTTTCATCAAGATTTTCAAACTCACTACCTTGATATACGGCGAGCAATGATCCAGGTATATTTATATCGATAAATCTGATTGGCTATCATGACTACCGAAGATTAACAGAGTTTCCAGTATGAGACATGGATTTTGATTGGTTCAGATATATTCGGGAAAATGCCGCAATCGAAATGGAAGATCAAAACATACAATATTGCAGAAATCCCCTGTGGTTCCCCACAAATTGAAACGATTGTTTTTCACGATTATTTTTATTATTTCCACTAGAAACCATTATATATCGATCTAATGTTATACATCAAGATAATTGTTTAATGATAGATCGAGGTTTTTCATCTAAAAGTCTTCAGAATAAGGAGAAATGTTAATAAAAAGAAGCAAAAGTTCACGACCTTGACATGACCTTCAAGATCGCAAGTTTGTAAAATGTGAAAACAAAACTCTTAATTTGAGCATTTCCTTTATTCATTTCGGACTATTTTGGTATAACATTACTTAAGAATTGTGAGCAAAGGACCCAGTGATAGATATTTATCGGGAGGATGCATCAAATTACAATATATGTCATTTTTATCCCATTTGAGTGTAAGCACTCTATTATCGCCCACTTTATTTTCACTTTCACAATATTTTCTTGAACTTTGTGAAGAAATAAGAGGGACGCAAAAAAATTAGATGGGGACTCAAATTTTTCAAATGGGTTGCGTCCCTGGGACTCAGAAATTTTAATGGCTAGCGCGAACACTGTACATCATCTTGGTTAAACATATCATCAAACTGGAATGGTATGACAAAATTATCATCATCATTTTCAGCTGCATCTTTGACAGATGTGAGTTTCATCTCAGCTTTAATATTCTTGCTAACATCATCTTCAATCTGTAATGTCTGTTTCAATTGCTGTCTTGTTGTAACGAATGCATCAGTTTTTCTTTTGTAGACATGTTGGTTCATCATGTCTGTGTCCAGTCTGCTAAGGATGTCTTGCCCAATGATAACAGAGACTGGTAAATCATCTGAAACTGCAGCTCGTACATTATAAGTTTCATCACCAATCTGTAAATCAGCTGATGTAGTTGGATACAATTTGCTGTCTCCATGGACACATGTCATGCTCACTTTATCATTGTGTATAACTGCACCTTCATTTACCAGATCTCCATGTACAGTGTGTCCCAAAAAAAAGGAAACCGGCAATAGATTGCTTATTTCTCAAATATAAATGATGATAGGAAAATTTCACATCTACCATCTGATAGATTATGATGTCCTCTTTCTTATGATACCAAAGTTGTCTATTTTCCTTCACGGATGACTGAGTTATAAGGGATTTAAGTGACCATGTCAGAAATGAGTTTGTACCACTTTCAGCCAAGTCAATTTCACCATCATAACAAAGTGATAAGTAACAACAAACATCAGGATATCACTCTTTTACTCATTTATTCCAATTAAAATTACACATATCATATTTAACACCCCTTTTAAATCCCAATGTCCATTCAAAGTTGTTTTAACCCCAATGTCCTTCAACATGACCCCCATTCCTTTCAATGCAAATGTCTGCCCTTGATCTCATCGCACGTACGGCATCCCCGATGATGTCTCTCTGTCCCCTTAAATCCTCCACTGCTGCGACAATCCTGGCCCTTAGATCATCAACGTCTCTTGGTGGTGTTGTGAATACTTTACCCTTGAGATAACCCCAAAGGAAGAAGTCGCAGGGTGTCAGGTCTGGGGATCTCGATGAACTCAATCTTGTGGTTCAAGGCAATCACTCTTCTGTTGAACAGCGCCCTTAATCTGTCCCAAACGATAATCCGACGATGAGGAGGAGCACTACAAATACTCTTTGATCTTGGGTCAGCTGCATGAACTTTCTATGTTGAATGCTTGTTCAGAGATGTGTATTTCGAATAGGACAATGTCTTGCATAGCCATTTTAATCCCTCATTGTTCAGCCATTCATGACAGAAAAAGTGGCACAAACCAATTTCTGACATGGTCACTTAAATCTCTTAGAACTCAGTCATCCGTGAAGAAAAATAAACACCTTTGGTATCATAAGAAAAAGGACATCATAACCTATCAGATGGTAGCTGTGAAATTTTCCTATTATTATTTATATTTGAGAAATAAGCAATCTATTGCCGGTTTCCTTTTTTTTGGGACACACTGTATAATAGTTTGACAGCTACCTGTATCTACAATTACTTCAATTTCTTCATTATCTAAACTTGCCAAGACTGTGCCATCGCCTCTTCGAGAGTATTTTGTGAATAGGTCATCAGTTTTTCTGCACAAGAAACTGCGTTTACTTCCTACGTAGCATTTAGCTGTGACGTGACCATATTGATTGCATTTTTCACACTTAAGGGACGTGTCTACCATACAATTTTCTGTGGGATGAGCCTTACCACAATTGTCACATTTAACAGAACTGTTATTATCAGCTCTGTTCTCTGATTTACAACTATCAGATTTGTGCCCAGTTTTATGGCATTTAAAACAAAGTGTTTCATTAGGGCAAGTCTTTGCTTGGTGCCCTGGCTCATTACAGTTAAAACAATTGTTGTGAGTGCCATCTGTCCTGTTCTTCCTCTTGAAGGTTGGACTCTTGTTCCATACTGGTGGATCATTTTTCCTGGCTTCTAGAAAGTTGTCAGCTAATTTCACCACATCATCTGTTGTTTTTGCATCATTTTCTTTCACCCAAGTCTGGACATCAAGTGAAAGAGTGTTGACTAGTTGTTCCTTCAAAATTCTGTCTTTAATTTTCTCGACTGTATCAGCATGTTTCATCCACTTCTTAAAGGCGTCTTCTAATCTGATTGTAAAAGCTTTAACTCCTTCACCAGTGTTTCTCTTTAAACTTCTAAATCTTTTTCTGTAGGTTTCGTCATTGATGGAGTATCTGTGAAGAATGGCTTCTTTTACAACATCATAATCTCTGGCATCCTCAATGGCAACACTTGCATATGCAGACTGTGCTTTACCAGTGAGATTAGGTCCTAATTTTAGAGTCCAGTATTCTCTTTTCCAGCCACACATCTCTGCAGTTCTTTCAAATATTGTGAGATAGTTCTCAATGTCTTCATCATCCTTCATCTTCTGGATTTGTGGATCCTTCGGCTTATTTCTAAACTCCAACTCTTGTCGTCTTAATTCAGCTCTCAATCGTCGTTCTTCTTCAAGTTCATCTCTGTGGATCCTTTCTTGTCTCAATCTCTCTTGTCTTTCTGCGTCTAACATGTTGTGCTGCTCCTTAAGTTGAAGTTCCATCATCATATGTTGATGTTGACGTTCAGCTTCACTATTCTTCATCATAGCAGCCATCATTGTCATCATTTGTTTCATTGGGTCCATGGTATCTCCTTGAGCCCCTTCTTCATCGGCTTCATAATATTCTTGTTTTTCTGTTGACATTGTGTTTGGTTTCTTCTTCTTCTTGGCTTGTTTTTGTCTATCTTCGAATGAATCGTATGTTTTGTTTCTAGTATCGGGCATTCCTTATACCCTTACATAAATAAACTTGCTCTATTCACACAGAATTGAGAAATAAAATCAATCAAATGTCTCAATCAAATATGTTCTCAAAATTCAATTGAATAAACTGTACATGTACTCTGGATCTGTACAGTTTGTTTATTTACATTTGCATTATGCAATTTGTTTTGATTTGAGTCTAGCCAAATGTATTATGTAATTCTAATTGATTAAATTCAAAGGCTAAACTTTTCTCTGCATGAATTCAAACTCACTCAATTGATGTGAATAGAGTCATTATGACCTTCTAATAAAGTCAATGTAAATTAAAAATGTATCACTCACTTAAAAATTCTATTTCAGTGGTCAATAAGCCTGCCTGCAAAAATCAGTAAGAAATCTCAACACTAACCTCATTTCACACCTTTTCACCAAATTTCATGAAATTCAATGTAATGACTGAGATCTCAATACCTAATCTTATACAAGGTAATTTTAATGCTGTTTGAAATTCAACAGTGCCGTTGAAATCTGAACACTCAAGCTGGCTAATTTTACACTAAACTTGGCTACTTATGCACTAAACTTGGCTACTTGGATTAGCAACTCTGTACTATAGGACCTGTAATAACTATCAATATTGCAATCTAACTTGTATGAACATCTAACCTCTAAAATCAATCTCAATTGAGACTACACATTGCAGTTTTCTGAAATGTACTTCAAAATTGCCTCTATGAATGAATTTTTACCATAGAGACCTCTATAATGCTAAACTTCAATAACTTCTAAATTATGCACCTCTATATGCACATCTAATTGCACCTCTATATGCACGTCTGAATGCACCTCTAAAATAGCATTTCTAGAAAATCAACTTCTACCTCAATAAGCATCTATAAACTGACATCTAAGAAATTGTCCTTCTGGGACCATCTATAAATTGCAACTTTAGTAACTGCACTTCTATTAAAATAACGTCTACAAATTGCACCTCTAGAATATGCAAAACTACCTAAACTTCTAAACATCTAAACTTCTATAAATTGAGTTGAGCCCTAACATAGAATTGAAATTCAAATTATCAAAATCCTAACTGTCCTTTTGAAAATTGGAGAAAATAAGTGTTCTCACCAAACTGCAAAATTCTTCTTTCTTCTTCGAAATTCTTCTTTCTTTCGGAAATTCTTCTTTCTTCTTCGAGACGTTGTTCTTTGTTTCGCTGCCACCATGTGAACGAAAGATTACCTTAGCGTGTTGTTCTTGTCTCCTTGTTGGTAAGATGTTTCTTTCGTTTGTAATTTGTAACTTATCTTGATTATCTAACTTATCTAAAGTGTGCACACCTAAAATTATATCTAAAACTAATCTTCAACTGCCTATGTCTTTACATGTGGACAACCTGGGCTCAACTGACCAGTTTGGCCTCTATAGCATAATTAGCCCTTTCAAAACTCAAGTAAACTTTAAAACAACTTGGTATTTAGGCAATTTAGCCCTTGTAGTAAATTTCTCTTCTTATTTATATTACACTGATTATGCCCATGGATATTCAACATCTTTCCTTCATTCTAACTGACAAAACCATCTCAGACATGTTGCTGAGTATACTCAAGACAAAAAAGAATGAATATAACATGTTTAAATATTTTTTTTAACAAAAAAAGAAACAGAAAAACTGTTTTAAGTGAACATATGATAAAGAGGCTAAGGGATTCATATTTAAAATAAAACTTCCCGTACAAGAAGTATTCAGATGTACATGTATTTCTAAATGATGACTTGATTAAACTAGTCTATATGAATCTATTTTGAGGACTTTGTACCTTATAAGATGTATTTTAAAACAATGACGTGATGTATGATAAGCTTTTTTATTTAATCAAGATGGCTTTAGGATGTATTTTTTTTATTGTTCAACTAGTGTCTATGAATCTATTTTGAGAACTTTGTAGCTTATTGGATGTACATGTATTTTAAAACAATGACTTGATGTGTGATAAGCTTTTTTATTTAATCAAGATGGCTTTAGGATGTATTTTTTTATTGTTCAACTAGTGTCTATGAATCTATTTTGAGAACTTTGTAGCTTATTGGATGTACATGTATTTAAAAACAATGACTTGATGTGTGATAAGCTTTTTTATTTAATCAAGATGGCTTTTGGATGTATTTTTCTATGGTTCCAACTAGTGTCTATGAATCTATTTTGAGAACTTTGTAGCTTATTGGATGTACATGTATTTAAAAACAATGATTTGATGTGTGATAAGCTTTTTTATTTAATCAAGATGGCTTTAGGATGTATTTTTTTATTGTTCAACTAGTGTCTATGAATCTATTTTGAGAACTTTGTAGCTTATTGGATGTACATGTATTTAAAAACAATGACTTGATGTGTGATAAGCTTTTTTATTTAATCAAGATGGCTTTTGGATGTATTTTTCTATGGTTCCAACTAGTGTCTATGAATCTATTTTGAGAACTTTGTAGCTTATTGGATGTACATGTATTTAAAAACAATGATTTGATGTGTGATAAGCTTTTTTATTTAATCAAGATGGCTTTTGGATGTATTTTTCTATTGTTCAATTAGTCTTGAATTTAGTCTTTGTAAACCCCTCACTCCAAATACTAATAGTCACCTCCTACACAATGGTAGTGAAGTAGTTCAAGGGTACATGTCCAGAGGATTGATGCAAGACTATTATTAATTGTCAAATTCTATGTACAAAATAAACTGATTTTGAAATAATATCATTGTTTGTTTTTCCTTCAAATTTGAAAATTGATATCCTAATAAAGTGAAATAAAAATAAGACTTCCTGGATACAATGAGATGAGAGCACAAAAAGGTAAAATACTAAAACTTGTGTAACATGGCCATTTTCATACTTTCATATTTCTCACTTTTCATATTGATCAATCCTATATATTTCCCTTATTCTCATTTTAACAGGTCCCTAGGCTACTATTGTATCAGTGCCAAATGTTTTATAATCCTCTTGTTTTCTAAGCCTTGCCTTTTCACTTTCTTTTGTTTCAAACCAGTTTTTAGCTTTTCATGTTATGTTGTATGTTTTGTATTGTGTAACTTCCATATATGGAAAACATTCACTCACTTGAGTTTGGGTGTTGGCCCAGCCTCAGTTATTGCTTATACGTAGACTGTACAGAACATGATTTTTGAAGAATCGAAATAGATTTGTTTTTATCGTATTTTATATTACTTTTCTGTTGACTTTATATTATTGCCACCCACGGCCTTAGCCCCGGACATTACATTGGAACCAGGAGTGGGGTAGGCAAGGATATAAAGTGGGGTAGGCAGAAATAACAGAGCAAGTGGGGTAGGCAGAGATAACAGCAAGTGGGGTGAGCAAAACGTAAAATTTTGGATATTTGACAGTAACACAAATTATTTGGAACAATTATATTTTCAAAATGGAATTTACAACGAAATGGAATACCACCTCATTTGTGAAACGATGCTGGTTCTGTAAATCTACAAACCACAACAAGCGACAATGTGAACTCTTCAAAAATGCCAGGTATTTCTGTTCAAAATGCCAAATTTATGGACACCGTGATAGAGATCACCAGGAATTCCCGACAATCCAGCAAAATTTCGTGAAATCAACCAAATCTGCTTCTACACAAACAAAACTTTTAAAATCGAATGAGCGGCCAAAGCAGCATAATAAATCTTGCCAAACAGCAACTGTAAACATGAATATTTATAAATTCAACATGGACAACTACAAACGTATAGAGAGCGAATTATTTGGACAGAAGAATGGAAACCGAATATACAAGGAACGGATCATGGAACTAGAATCACAGAAGGTTAAAATTTTGGCTGACATTAAAGCCCAAGACAGACAGATCCAAGAATTACAAGGGGACTTACAGGAATATTCTGATCGCTCAAACAGGGATGATCAAACCATCTCCAAACTGAAATCTGATCTGACGGATTCTGAGGCGAGCTTAGATATATTGACCATTACCTGTGATAAACATCTAAATACAATCATTGATATCAGGAATCAACTCAAGGAACAATCCAAAACAATGGAAATATATAAAACAGTGATGAAAACCCACCAGCAGGAAAAATTGGATCAAATTATAACCAGATTGGGATCAACTGAATCTACAACAATATGGAAACAATTAGGAGAACATCTATTTTGGAAAGGAAAGACACCAATACATCACAAAGCCATGATATTTGATGTTTGATTGATGTATATGATATGCCATAACCTACAACTACAAGAGATATGTGTGTGATTAACTTCTTCAACTTATGCATATTTACTATAATATGATAATCTGGAACAACTTTTATCTCCACTGGTCTTCAATTGACTGTCATGACATCAGATATACATATATCGTTAGGGACTAGCCTTTTACCACAATGTGCCAATCAAACCTATTGAGTAATCAATCTTCATGGTGTATTTGTCTTAAATTGATGTTTATTTATTAGCCAGTTATGGTGTTTATTTAACTGCCTATGGTGTTCAAGCCTTATGGTGTAAAGTAACTAGCCTTTAATGGTGTTCATTAGCCTATATGGTGTTAATTAAGCCTAAAATGATTTTACTTAACATGTTTTTTGGTACTTCAATGGCTTTTCATTTAACTTGTCAACATTTTATACTTTAGAATTATGTTATACTTTGCTTTATAATGTTGACCATTGTGTATGTTATTAGGGGAGGAATATGCTCATTTTTATACAGATGTGTCACATAATTTTAAATTGCTATAAATATTTATCCTTTATATATTTTGTAATTATGACCAATTTCATTTAAGGTAAATGCGGGACGCATTTAGACGTTGTCCGCGTGGATGTAACATGGCCATTTTCATACTTTCATATTTCTCACTTTTCATATTGATCAATCCTATATATTTCCCTTATTCTCATTTTAACAGGTCCCTAGGCTACTATTGTATCAGTGCCAAATGTTTTATAATCCTCTTGTTTTCTATGCCTTGCCTTTTCACTTTCTTTTGTTTCAAACCAGTTTTTAGCTTTTCATGTTATGTTGTATGTTTTGTATTGTGTAACTTCCATATATGGAAAACATTCACTCACTTGAGTTTGGGTGTTGGCCCAGCCTCAGTTATTGCTTATACGTAGACTGTACAGAACATGATTTTTGAAGAATCGAAATAGATTTTTATCGTATTTTATATTACTTTTCTGTTGACTTTATATTATTGCCACCCACGGCCTTAGCCCCGGACATTACACTTGCACTATAAAAAACATAGGTAAACCATACAAGTTCAAACTATAGTGGCAATTATAGAGATAAACCATGAAGAACACTGGAGAAAAGAAACCTATAAGTCAAAATAAGCATACAGTTCCACCAATACAGGGTGTGCTACTACATTATAAGATCCCACCATCCAACTTGTCAAGAGATAAGAGAATATTGACTCCACTCCTCTTAGCATTTAACCCATACTGACCTCACTCAGTATTTGTATTGATGGTTGAAATCTGTTTCTTGGCTTCAGTGATTTATAACTTCATAAACTTCAAGGCCTTCATTGCCTGTCTTCTGAATATAAAACACCTTTGGTACCTCTAAAAAGTGTTCCACTTGTGAGGTGTTTCTCTTATAGAGGTTCATTTAACATACAGTAAGTAAAATGTAGCATTGTTCCACTTCATATGTTTCACTGTCCCTCAGATTCAAGGTAAGCGAAAATGTTGATATTCTGTTCCATACTCTGAATATACAGAATCCTAGAAGTGATATAACATCTGTGGTCTATTCTAAAAACCTTTTTTTGAATAAAATAGATGCATGCTTTGAAGATATCTCAAAGCTAATGAGCATTGCCTATTTCAGTAAGCATATTAGAATTTCCAATATACAGATTTTGGTTACTAACTCCTTTTAACTTATTAAAATTAACAGATATTTCAAGATTCAAACAAATTTTCAGATTTGGGTATTTTGAATTTTCTGAAGCACAGATATCAGGAAGATGAAACAATATTTGCGATCTACTCTGAAATACCTCTGACTTCACAGAAATGTTATGAACGAAGTATATTGTAAATACCCCTGTCTTAATACTTGGTTTTGATTGGTTCATTAAATCAACAATATTGACATTTTGTCTGTGTCAACAGTACATTCATAGTTAAGTCTTCATTTCAAATTTAAATCATGGTCATATTGGTCTTGCGTTCTTAAAAAAACAAAGAAAAAATGAGTGTGTTGATCAAGTGAAATAACTGCAGATCACGAAGTAAGAAAAACATGCAAACTTCCTGCTAGTGTTGCATATAAGGACATGATAGTCTGAGACAGTGCCGACTGTTATGAGTGAAAAAAGAGAACCACAATACTGAACTTCTGAAATGTGGAATATTGGAACAATGTTTTCGAACATATATACTGTATTCTTTCTGTTAATAAAATATCAAGCAGTTTATGGACACTCTGATTTATTTTCCTCTAAACATGCTGGACTTGATGAAATGAAATATGCCACATTGAACTTCAAAAGTGACTGTGCGAGGTGTAACTGTATTGGTCTTACTGCTGACTGCACATCTAGAGGCCTACTGTCACTGCAGTGCGCGAAATAGACGTCCGACATCGGCCATTGGCCTGACAAAATTATAGATGGCTTGTTTTGATAAAAACACCCAGACATTTTGGCCTGCTAGACATTTGTGGCATTCGTTAGATTGCCCATGAATAGAACTTACATATCAGTCCGGAAATCCTCCGAATTCCCTGCGTTTTCGGCTCATTTCATGACTTTTGTTGAAGATTGAAAAACATTTCAAAATATTTTTGTTTGGTACCGAAGCACAAGATATAACGTGACTTTCGATTGGCTGTTGTTGTTTGTTGAAATTACGGTGATTTTGATTGGCTATGAATGACTCATTTCTTAATTGTCGTTCGCAAATCGGGTGCATTATCAGTATGCCGGATGTAGGAAAGAAATTGAAAAATCGAGCTGGCATCTTAGTCGAAAAAGTCGGCAGTTTGGAAGTATTTTGGGACTCCGATATCACAAGGTAAACGAATTGGTGATAGTACACCATGCAGACTATGTGAAATGCCGATCACATTCGCGGCAGATGCTTTATATTTGATTTAATTGACGCATTTCTGAATGTGATTTTGAAAAGTGAAACTGAAAGTGAAAGTGAAACTGTCATCATTAGACGATTGTATCATTTTTAGTGTTCTGTCTGTCCCGTCCCGTCCCGAAAGTATCGTATCCCGAGACCATTTGTACCGATCCAAACCGTACCGAATTTTTTTGACCGTGACACCAATAATATATACCTTGAATTTTAGTGGAGTCTGTGTACATAATATGTGTTTTTGAATACCTTGAAGCTTCTGATTTCTGGGCAATTCTAAACCGACCAAAATCAGTACAATTTAGTTTGATCAATATGTACATGTTCCTCATGTTTTTCCAAGGTGAATCTAGATGGGGATCAACACACTCAGGCTGTTGGTTAAGTCATCAAGTACAGTATAGTGAATGATACATGACATGCAATATGCAATTAGTTTTATCTTTGTTAATATTGTACTAAACTAAATCTCAATTTAGAGTGGTTGTGGAGAAATATGGTAAGTGAAATTTTTGGCCAGAGAAGGAAGAAACAGCCTGCCAAAAATTGGCCTGAGAAAAAATGATATGGCTTGTTAAAATCTGGCAGGCCTGCCAAAATGTCTAGGTTAAAAAAATCCTTATTTCATGCACTGCACTGCCTTTGGATTTGCCATGGAATATTACAACACTCATGCTATCCAATAATAGCATATCAAATTTGACTGATGGCCAGCTTGGACAGACTTACGGAAATTTGAAAGTGTTAGATATAAGTTTTAACAAAATAGTTGTTTTTGGAAAACATATCTTTGATGGCCTTTGTAATTTACAGGATCTAAGGATGGGTCATAATCCATATAAACCACACCTGTTTCACCCACTCGTTTACAAACCACTAAAGAATATTCGCAATATTCATGTGGCATATTATGGGGATGAATCAAATGGGCGACCAGGCTCAAGAATAGCTTTGCTTGATGCATTTGAAGGGCTACAGAACTCTACGATAGAAAGTATTACATATCAACATATAACAGTTATGCCATTTTTGTTAAAGAGCAAGCACATGAAATTTCTTGAACATTGCAATTTGAAGAGATTTAGTCTTCCTGATAATAGAATCTATGCGTTGGAGTCTCCAGGACTAAAATATATGCCAAAATTAGAAATACTGGATTTGTCAAATAATAGTATTCAAGGCTCAATACCTGCTCATGGAGTGTTTATAGAAATTTATATTATGATGATACATCTGCGGGTGATAAAATTAGAACATAACATTCCGGGAATGGTATTTGATATGAACAATCCAACTGTAGCAATATCAGAAGATTTAAGTGAAAGAGAATGGCATGTTCCTATAGCACTTGAAGAGCTGTACCTCACAGGGAGCAGAGTGGACATAGCACCTTCTCATTTACCATATGGAATAAAGTTACAACGTGAAAATCGGATTAAGATCATAGAAGCCTCTGCTAGTTTTATTATAACATACATTGGTAAGCCAATCAAAGGCCTGGTTAATTTGGAAAGATTTATATTTAATGACAATAACTGCATTATTGTACCTGAATTTTTTACATGTGAGACTGGATATTTTGAAAGTTTGAAAGTTCTTGACATTGCCAACAACAGAGTAAAACTTTCTTCTAACTCCTCTGCCCACCTTCTATTCAGAAATTGTTCCCAGTTACAACACATTGACTTGTCAAACAACGACATTACAGATATTGACTCAGACGCACTCATAGATACAACTGGACTTGAAGTTCTGAACTTGAGTGGCAACAAAATAAAAAGCATCATGTTTTTACTGACAGAGCTGAAATCACTGAAACTGCTAAATCTGTCAAATAATCACATACAAACAATAGATGGACATACAAGAATGGATATTGATAAACTAAGAGAAACAGCAAGCAAGAATCTAACAATAGACATCAGACAGAACCCAATGATCTGTAACTGTGATTCATTCCAGTTCATAGAATGGATGCAGGCATGCAATAGCATTATGTACAAATGGCCAGAAGTTACATGCATTTACATCAATGGCTCAGAGGTAGCGTTCAAAGACATTGTGTTGCCTGATATGAAATGGGATTGTTGGAAAGCTACAATCATTCCATCGCTTGTTTCATTTGGACTTGTCGTAGTAGGAATTATTACAACCTTATACGTATATAGACGCAGGTACAAAATACAGTATCTGGCCCTCCATCTGAGGGCATTACTGAGACGTAATCAACATTCTAAGATTAATTTCAGCTTTGATGGATTTTTGAGTTATAGCTCTTTGGACAAAGATTGGGCATTGGGACACATATATGCTCACCTCGACAATGAATACAACTATAACATATGCCTGGATGACCGCAACTTTATGCCTGGTGCTTACATTGCTGACATTATAGTTGAAAGTATCAGCAAAAGCAACAAAATAATTCTGATCATCAGCAAAAATTTCCTTTGTAGTGGCTGGTGTACGTTTGAAATGAACCTTGCAAGAGGAGAGCTAGCCACCAGGGGTAGAGACTGTTTGATATTGATCCTAAAGGAACCTGTGGATGCTCTACCCCCAGAGCTAATTACACCCACTCTGCGTTCCCTACTGGAGACCAGAGTATACCTGGAGTGGAGTGAAGATGAGGACAGAAAGCAGCTGTTCTGGAGAAAGATGCAAGATGCGCTAGGTGAGCCTAGATACCAAGGAGAGGGAGATACACCATATCTACTCCAGGTTAATGAAGGTGACCAGGAAGTACTTCAACAACTTATTGGGTAATCAAATATTACCTGAACTGATTTACAGGTGGTGACTAGGAAGTACTTCAACACCTAACAAGGTAATCAAATATTATCTGAACAAAATTAAATGAAAAGTATTTTATAATATCTGATATGCTATTATATGATGCATATATATTGATGTATAATATATATGATGCAAAATATTGGAATTATCAGATTATGCCCATGGACAAAGGATTCATATAATACATTTAAAATAAAACTTCCAGCACAAGAAATATTTCAATATATTTTGTAGCTTATCAGATGTACATGTATTTTAAAACGATGACTTGATTCAACTAGTCTACATAAATCTATTTTGAGCACTTTGTACCTTATAAGATGTATTTTAAAAACAATGACTTGATGTTTGATAAGCTTTTTTATTTAATCAAGATGGCTTTAGGATGTATTTTTCTATTGTTCAACTAGTGTCTATGAATCTATTTTATGCACTGTGTAGCTTATTGGATGTATTTTAAAACAATGACTTGATGTATGATAAGCTTTTTTATTTAATCCAGATGGCTTTAGGATGTATTTTTCTATTGTTCAACTAGTGTCTATGAATTTATTTTAAGCACTTTGTAGCTTATTGGATGTATTTTAAAACAATGATTTGATGTATGATAAGCTTTTTTATTTAATCAAGATGGCTTTAGGATGTATTTTTCTATTGTTCAACTAGTGTCTATGAATCTATTTTATGCTCTGTGTAGCTTATTGGATGTATTTTAAAACAATGACTTGATGTATGATAAGCTTTTTTATTTAATCCAGATGGCTTTAGGATGTATTTTTCTATTGTTCAACTAGTGTCTATGAATTTATTTTAAGCACTTTGTAGCTTATTGGATGTATTTTAAAACAATGATTTGATGTATGATAAGCTTTTTTATTTAATCAAGATGGCTTTAGGATGTATTTTTTTATTGTTCAACTAGTCTTGCATTAAGCCTTTGTATACCCCTCTTTCCAAATACTAATAGACACCTCCTACACAATGGTAGGGGAATAGTATAGAGGATAGATGACCAAAGGACTGATTCAAGACTATTATTAAATGTTAAACGCTATATATGTAAAATAAACTAATTTAGAAATAATGTTAGTTTATTTTTTCTTTTATATCCTACTTGATCAACTGACTAACAGTGAAAAAGAAAGAAGACTTCTTGGACACAAAAAGATGAGAGCACTTTAACTTAAATCTGAAAAATAAGAAACCATTACCCATATTTCTCTTATAAAATTTATAAGAAAAGTTGGTAAAATATTAAAAATAACTCTACAAACAAACTTGAAAATAAAATACAAACTGTATCAGCAAATATAGAGGAATTTTATGAAGACAAAATAAGCATCAAGCAGAGTGTGCTTCTACATAGAAACCCACCTGTCCTGATTATAAAAGAGATAAGAGAATGTTGACTCCACTCCTCTTAGCATTTAACCCATATTGACCTCACTCAGTATTTGTGATGATGGTTGAAATCTGTTTCTTGGCTTCAGTGATTTATGATACATGTTAATCAAAGAGTTCTCATGAAAAAAAGTGTGGTGAGACTTTCTAAATGTGAATGAATATTATACATTAAGCATTTATTGTCTTTGGAATACCTTGGTTTCAAGATTAGACAAAATATTGATATACAGGGAATCTTAATCAATTCATTTTCTCGTTTCAACATTACATCAAAATAAACACAGGCCAGAAATAGAGTTACTGTGATGCTGAATTTGAGCTGTTTGTGGAACTATTGCCCCTATCTATATTAACAAACAGCCAATTTCTTCCAGCGCTTGTCACTCCCTCCTCTGGAGACAAGTAGATGGGAGATCCATAGACTTGATGAGAGCAAAAACTATCTCTAGTTTTAGTTATTACATAACAAAACCAACATCATATATAATGTTTAATTACAAGATATATTTGCCTTAGGCCAACTCAGAACGAAGTACATATTTTCAGTGTGGCAGCTAAGGATATTTTCACTCTAGCCAAATTTGACCACTCACTTTGAATTCAGACTCGCCAAAATATTTTATGACTGGACATTTTTTGGTTAAAGTTAAGAGACATCGTGAATCGAATTTGCCGCTATTTTGCATACTACGTAAGCACTTTACAAGAAATGCGAACAAATAAAATATGATTTTAAAATTACATGTATGAAACGATCATACGATGACTCGTCTGGGTATTTGTAGGTCGTGAATGCTCAAACTTCTGATTAATACAGCGGTAAGTTCCTCAATTACAGCGTTAATCGAATTATAAATAAAAATCGCAAGAAGACGAAATAATTATATTGGTTGAATTTATGGAACGGCAAGAATAATTTTGTTCGTAGTTCTAGCTGTATTATGTATTGCATCGAACGCTTTGATTGGTCCACCACTTAGTTTTAAGCCAATCAAAGGTGCGTTTTCATTGAATTGCGGTCCGGAACATAAAAATAAATAAAAATAAATAAAAAACTTTTTCCTGCTTTTACAAGTATTTTAGCGATTCTAGAGGTAAGATTGACAAACTATTTGTTTAGAAGGTTAAGCATATATCTATTTCTCATGGGCTCAATTATCTATCGCCGAAATTGTCGAGACAAATTGCATTTTCCTTCGCCAAATTTTTTCTGACCCTTGTTTTGGCGTTTGGCGAGGCCTTAGTTGCCACCCTGATTTTCACCTCATATGACTACGGTAATTGAATCCTATGCAAATTAAAAGAAGCTGACTATTTCAAATTTTTGATTTGGATACCAGATTTGAATCTGAATGGAGTATTCCATAGCTTTTTTTCTAAGTGACAATCCTCCTTGTTGAGGCATTATGGTAATTGACTGGTCGACATAAAAAAACAGTCTAGGAAACATGGTCCTGGGATCCAAATCTATATCTCAAGTAACATTTAATTAATTTAATTTGGCTTTATGCCTCTTTTAGAAGCAACACAAAACTAAAACTGGTTCTCAAAATACATACACTGTATATGATACAAAAGAGGAATTTATCAAACCCCTAACCAAACTAAATCATTGTTTTTAATTACAATTCTATCCTTCTTACAATATTTGAAGTACATAGTCATTTTTCACATTAATGCCAGAGAGAATAAATACATGTATATTTGTTAGATTGACCAGATGCAATATATTCAGTCAGGTCTCCCCAGCAAAGCACGTAGGCGCAGCACCCACCTATATTTTGACCAATTTTGGTCTGAATTGTGAAAATGAGAATTTTGCACCCACTTGAGAAAAAAGCCTGGGGAGATCACTGATATATCATTTTGAACTGAATTGTCCTGATTGAAAAAACATAGTTTGACCTAAGCATCTCTGTAAATCTCAGCTTTTACGTTATCAATTACCTTGACCATTTTTTTTATATAATATGGTCAAGTGGAGCATTCAATACTAGCCTTTATAAAAGCTAATAATTTCCAGTTCTATTGTACCTATTTCTTTTTTCAACTGATTAGATATATTCTGCGATCAAAAATTATAGAGGTGTTCACTTTATATTTTGAGTTGGTAAATTCAGCCAGTATTTCAACGTCTAAAGTACAGCTCTCCAATCGGGAGGTGAGAATGTGTTTCCAAACTTTTCCTGTAAGGGAGTATGGGTAATCTGTACCAGGTATGATTTGTCAAATTCATGATTCCACACATGCACAAAAGTAAATGAACTTCAATTTTAGGTAAGTTCGATGTATGGGGTAACTTGGATACCTTGTTGTTCACTTGCTCTAATTTCCAGTGTAGGGGAAGCCATGTTTTTTTCTTGCATGGATCAAGAGCCTACAGTACAAGATCTTATTTTTTCTGAAATTGAACATGACAGAAAATGGAAATTCTAACAAGTGTGGAAGTAACCCCATTTCTCATGTCAACATTATGTTACACCCCATTGGCACAAGTGTCAGTGTAGCACATTGTCATTTAGTCCAACAACATTAGACCTAGCCTGGGCCTCGTTTCTTATCTGACATGTCTTATGGCCCCGGCTAGGTCTAACTTCCATGATGATTTTGCCCTTGTTGCGATCATTTAATCGTTCAGCAGGTTTCGACATGCGGAACTAATTAAACTCCGAAAACATGGTAATATTACATAAAGAATGTGATTCAAGCATGCATACATACCTTATAAATACATACACACCATCCCGTACCCCCCTTAGACCATATTGATGCATAATTACGAAAATATTGGAGACAGGTTTGGAATTTTACGAAAATATCGGTCAGCTCCGGTAACATCGAAATTGCAAATCGTATCAGGAATTAACCGTCATTGCGACACTGCATCAACGAACAGTAGGTTTGCAATTAATAACGATTTTGTGTGTATACAAGCGCTATATAAATCAATCAAAGATACCTGCTATCCTCAAAAATGGCTATTTTATCCCGAGTAATCGCGTGATAATTATCAATCTATTTGACAACAATTTCGTTTCAATAGTTTAAATTTTAACCCGGGACGAACAGACACAATGAAGGACATGCGGAAATGTCATTTTAGAGATTGGTAAGTTTAACCTCATTTTACTTGTATAAATGACCATTTAATACAATAATATTGTGTTGAATCGCTTGATGTTATGTGTTTTTATATTGTTGTCAAGTATCAGTTGCATGTTATCGCGGAAAAATGGTTTCGGTGGATCCAAAACTTGCATCAATGGAAAGAATAGTAAAGAGGTTAAACTCAATAATGGCCCCAAGAAAATTCTTAATAATAAATAACGCCGTTATTGAGTTTAACGACGTTGAACTAATTGTCATTGTGACATGGATAAAGAAGTTTTTTGCTGCCCAATGAGTCAATCCATTTTGGAAGTGCCAAACCTTTTAAATTATGAATAAAGATATTTTAATAGATATTTCAAGCTACTTACCAAGTTTCTCTCTTGCCTTGTCAAGTCTTGCAATTTCCCATTCCAAATGGATAAGAAAATAAGAAGTTACAAAAACTGCCAGCAAGCCCAAGAAAAGCACCTTAGCCTGCATGTTTCTGCTGCCTCCAAATCTCATCACATACTGTAGCTAGGTACTTCAGAACACCAAAATGTATAATATATGCTGAAATGTTTTAAAGTAGTGTAGATAAGAAGTAATCAAGATAAATTTACAGATCTTCCCATGTTTTGTTTCTGGTTTTGAGAAAATGAATACAAAGCTAGCGAATCGTATACCTCTTTTCGTACTCCACTAAACGAAAAACGTTAAAACTAGATTAAATCCCGGGGATTTGTTGATAATATACCAAAGCGACAGAGACATCTAACAAAGAGGGTATTAATTATTATACACATTATTTTTTAGTCCCACTTTCAAACCTTACCAAAAAACAGTAAATGTTTTAAAAAGTGACATATCTCAACTTTTTCATCTCCACTGTGAACCCTACAGGCATATAAGTCTATAAGAGTTCAGTCTAAGGTGTGCCACTTTTCCACCATATAAACTTACTAAATTATCTAGCATGCCTTTCAGATTACAATGCTACATTAGCCTTGCATCAAGCCCCATCCTAATCATTCTCTCTTATACTTATGTTAGCCTCGCATCAAACCCCATCCTAATCATTCTCTCTTATACTTATGTTAGCCTCGCATCAAGCGCCATACTCATCATTCTCTTTTATAGATAAGCATCGCATCAAACGGCACCCCCATCATTCTGTCTTATACATTAGCCTCGCATCAAGCATCATCTCCATCATTGTCTCTAATACATTAATCTTGTATGAAGCCCCATTCCATCATTCTCTCTTATATATTAGTCTTGCATCAAGCCTCATTCCCATCATTCTCTCTTATACATTAGTCTTGCACCAAGTCCCATTCCCATCATTCTTTCTTATACATTAGTCTTGCATCAAGCCCCATTCCATCATTCTCTCTTATATATAAGCCTTGCATCAAGCCCCATTCCTATCATTCTCTCTTATACATTAGTCTTGCATCAAGCCCCATTCCCATCATTCTCTCTTATATATAAGCCTTGCATCAAGCCCCATTCCTATCATTCTCTCTTATACATTAGTCTTGCATCAAGCCCCATTCCCAGCATTCTCTCTTATACATTAGTCTTGCATCAAGCCCCATTCCCATCATTCTCTCTTATACATTAGTCTTGCATCAAGCCCCATTCCATCATTCTCTCTTATATATAAGCCTTGCATCAAGCCCCATTCCTATCATTCTCTCTTATACATTAGTCTTGCATCAAGCCCCATTCCCAGCATTCTCTCTTATACATTAGTCTTGCATCAAGCCCCATTCCCATCATTCTCTCTTATACATTAGTCTTGCATCAAGCCTCATTCCCATCATTCTCTCTTATACATTAGTCTTGCACCAAGTCCCATCATTCTTTCTTATACATTAGTCTTGCATCAAGCCCCATTCCATCATTCTCTCTTATATATAAGCCTTGCATCAAGCCCCATTCCTATCATTCTCTCTTATACATTAGTCTTGCATCAAGCCCCATTCCCATCATTCTCTCTCATACATTAGTCTTGCATCAAGCACCATTCCCATCATTCTCTCTTATACATTAGTCTTGCATTAAGCCCCATTCCCATCATTCTCTCTTATACATTAGTCTTGCTTCAAGCCCCATTCCCATCATTCTCTCTTATACATTAGTCTTGCATCAAGCCCCATTCCCATCATTCTCTCTCATACATTGGCCTTGCATCAAGTCCCATTCCCATCATTCTCTCTCATAAATTAGCCTTGCATCAAGCCCCATTCCCATCATTCTCTCTCATACATTAGCCTTGCATCAAGCCCCATTTCCATCATTCTCTCTTATACATTAGTCTTGCATTAAGCCCCATTCCCATCATTCTCTCTTATACATTAGTCTTGCATCAATCCCATTCCCATCATTCTCTCCTATACATTAGTCTTACATCAAGCCCCATTCCCATCATTCTCTCTCATACATTAGTCCTGCATCAAGTCCCATTCCCATCATTCTCTCTTATCCATTAGTCTTGCATTAAGCCCCATTCCCATCATTCTCTCTCATACATTAGCCTTGCATCAAGCCCCATTCCCATCATTCTCTCTCATACATTGGCCTTGCATCAAGCCCCATTCCCATCATTCTCTCTTATACATTATAGTCATTAAGCCCCATTCTCTCTCATACATAAGCCTTGCATCAAGCCCCATTCCCATCATTCTCTCTCATACATTAGCCTCGCATCAAGCCCCATTCCCATCATTCTCTCTTATACATTACGTAGTCTTGCACCAAATGAAGCCCCATTCCCATCATTCTCTCTTATACATTAGTCTTGCATCAAGCCCCATTCCCATCATTCTCTCTCATACATTAGTCTTGCATCAAGTCCCATTCCCATCATTCTCTCTTATCCATTAGTCTTGCATCAAGCCCCATTCCAATCATTCTCTCTCATACATTAGCCTTGCATCAAGCCCCATTCCCATCATTCTCTCTTATACATTAGTCTTGCATCAAGCCCCATTCCATCATCCTCTCTTATATATTAGCCTTGCATCAAGCCCCATTCCCATCATTCTCTCTTATACATTAGTCTTGCATCAAGCCCCATTCCCATCATTCTCTCTCATACATTAGTCTTGCATCAAGCCCCATTCCCATCATTTCTCTTATACATTATAGTCTTGCATCAACCGTCATCTCCATCATTGTCTCTAATACATTAGTCTTGCATCAAGCCCCATTCCATCATTCTCTCTTATACATTAGCCTCGTGTCAAGCCCCATTCCCATCCTTCTCTCTTATACATTAGTCTTGCACCAAGCCCCATTCCCATCATTCTCTCTTATATATTAGTCTTGCATGAAGCCCCATTCCCATCATTCTCTCTTATATATGGCTTAAAGCTACAAATTTCCTGAAAGGCGAATGACATGGGGAAAGCGAGCGTTGGGTTTTGGCGGGTCCTCCAAGAAATGGAAGTTAGATTTGAATGAGTGCTTTTTAGAGTAATGTAGGCACATAACTGTACACATACTTTCCTGAGGAAAAAGTATTTTCATAGGAAAGAAATAAACAAATATGACCTTAATTTTGAACCCCTCGCTTGGCCCCCTACTCCCCCCTAGAATACAGATTAGTATTCATCTTAATGGGTTCAGATTTTGGTGAATTTTTTCCTGAGATTTCCTGAAGACTAAGCTATGCTTATATGATTGCAGGTGATTGGACTCTTGATTCTTGATTGAAACCAAGGAGTGAGGCGGAAGGAAAATCTGTAGCTTTCATCCAAATCAAATCATTTCAGACTTTCTTTTCATGGTGATCATTGGATGTCCCACCATTTTAATATACTAGTAAATAATTCCACACTTCTATGTTGTCTATACATTTATTGTTTATTTTCACATCTTATTTCATCTTCATAAACAAAAACTATGAGGCTAACATTATTTTTCCTAACTAATTGATATTTATAGTAAGGTACATAAGTTTTGTTTTTGAAAATTCATTTTTTAATTAAATCAGTGTACATTTCATTTTTGTGTGCCTTTTATGTTTCAGAATATAATAAATATCATTTAATCGATGTCGCCTACATCAAAGATGTTTTGGTTGAAGAGTAGCTGATATCTGATATTGCACATACCTCAGGCTTAACAAAATTATACTTTTCAATTCCAGCAATATTACAATAATCTGAATATTGCAATAATCTGAATATTTCAATAATCTGAATATTGCAATAATCTGAATATTTCAATAATCTGAATATTGCAATAATCTGAATTTTGCAATAATCTGAATATTACAATAATCTGAATTTTGCAATAATCTGAATATTACAATAATCTGAATTTTGCAATAATCTGAATATTACAATAATCTGAATTTTGCAATAATCTGAATATTACAATAATCTGAATTTTGCAATAATCTGAATATTACAATAATCTGAATTTTGCAATAATCTGAATATTACAATAATCTGAATTTTGCAATAATCTGAATATTACAATAATCTGAATTTTGCAATAATCTGAATATTACAATAATCTGAATATTACAATAATCTGAATTTTGCAATAATCTGAATATTACAATAATCTGAATATTACAATAATCTGAATATTGCAATAATCTGAATATTGCAATAATCTGAATATTGCAATAATCTGAATATTACAATTTGCAGTGAATACTTTAATTTAATGTATACATTTGGTGCCAAAAAACAGAACTTTGCCATCATAAGATTTTAATTAACATCTTCTTTCTTCAACTTGTTCATCTATGTACTATGTACACATTTTACAACATAGTAATGTACAAGAAATTAAAAAAAAAATACTAGGACAATAATTACTGAATAAGTGAGTATCAATAATTGCTTTTAAACTGGAATGCTTCTCGGGGATGGGTCAAATATCTCATATCTGTATAATTTTTTAAAAATTATTTCTATTTCTGACCCAGTCCCTTAGGTTTGGAAGATAGCAATCAAATACCAAACAAACTAGCGCCATCTATTCCATGGATACAGCTAAGGGTTAAATTCTATCACAGTTTATAATAACATAATCTTAATTTCTCCTCTTGCATCAAATCTCTCGTCACCCCCTCCCTATATATACTTTCTAGCTCAATGTTAGTGAATTTGAGGATAGAGGGGAGAGCAACATAGGGGCTTGATGCGAGAGTACCTTATTTCAGTCATAAATACAATTTTCTCAGGTGAATATTACAATTTTCTCCAGACAATTCAAGGTAGCACACATCAATATTTCAGTATGACTTAAGACAGGTGTAGATTTATAGAAAACATTGAAATTTTCGCTGCTTATAATAAATACTATAAAGTACAGATGAAGTGTATTATTGTCCGCATACTGTACATTGTAACCAATATATTGTTTGGCAGTCGTTTTCTCCAATGTATTGTATAAACCATTGTCTCCCACAGAATCATTGATGCATGCAGGCTCAGCTATTGGTGCCAGATATTGTCCTTGGGTAAGTCTACATTACAGTCTGAGGTTAATATGAAGCTCTGGCTTGATATCATACACCAAAGTAAGGAGACTAGCCATCGTTTGTTCTCTTGTCTTCTGAACATTTGCGTTGATTTCCTTGATCTTCTGCTGTGTTTCGATATCTACCTTGGATTCCATATCTCCCTTTGTTCCCATAATCTGAAAGAAAATTTTAAGGTGATTAATTAATTGGCTCACTTTACCAGCCAACTAGAATTGAAATCAGCAACTCCAAGGAGTAGCAAATCCCAACGAACACTATATTCATAAATCTGTATATATCACAATTTAATATTTACCATCTACTCTACCCTTGATTAAATTGGCAGATATTAGAGATATACGATAAAGATATATCAGAATTTCCAATATAAGCATTTGGGTGACCTTACGTTTCAAAGGCACAAATCACAAAGACAATATTTGAGATCTAATACAGAAGAGATCTCAAAGAAATAGCATTTGCCAGCACAAGCCGGCACAATCCGCCAAATTAAAAAGCACCAAATTAAAGCAACTTAGTAGTGGAGCAGGACAACCAGTGATCGACTAAAGACTGTTACTCAGATATAATATATGTAAGCACAAGTGACATAGGGGTTAAACTAGAAAAGTTATGCAATTCTGTTACAGTACCTTCCCCTCGTGAGCTTTGAACTGTGCTTCTCTCTCCTTCCTATAAGCTTCCACTTCAGCCTGGGCCTCTTCTTTAGCCTGCTTTAACCTTCTGGCCTTCCCTAGAACATAGCAAATACAACAATTTAATACAATCAACAGTCATATTTTAGGCTTTAGGCCTTACTTAGAACTCAATATTAAATATTGGAGGGACTGATAAGGTTCTTAATTCACTGAGGGAAAACATAATAGTTATATAGCGTGTGTCAAAAAATGTTGACTTTTGAAACCAGAACAACGGCAACGCCAAAGCATAGCGAATCCCATCGAACAGAAATGGCTGGCATTTTTTAAAATGGCCGCCTCCTACTACCCAAAATGTCATAAGACAGTTTGCAATCCTTACGTGTATTCACATCTCAAATATGAACAAAATCGATCAATTACTTTTTGAGTTATAATAAAAAATGTAAAATAACACACATAAAAATAGTGGCCATTTTTCAAAATGGCAAACTACTCCCCAAAGTTTTATTAGACAATGGTTCCATGCTTTAAGTATTCACATATCAAATATGAACAAAATCGCTCCAATACCTTTCGAGTTATAGTAAAAATGACAGCCATTTTTAAAATGGCCGCCTACCATGCGAAGTGTCATGAGACAGTGTGCAAGGTTCATGAGTATTCACATATCAAATATGAACAAAATCGCTCCACTACTTTTCAAGTTATAGTAAAAACATAAAAATGGCCGCCTACCATCCAAAGTGTCATTAGACAGTGTGCCATGCTTATAGTATTCACATATAAAATTTGAACAAAATTGCTCTACTACTTTTTGAGTTATAGTAAAAAATGTAAAATAGCACACATAAAAATGGCCGCCTGCTACCCAAAATGTCATTAGACATTGTGCCAATTGCTTAAGTATTCACATACCAAATATGAACAAAATCGCTCCACTACTTTTTGAGTTACAGTAAAAAATGTTAAATAACACACGTAAAAATGGTGGCCATTTTTCAAAATGGCCACCTACTACCCAAAATGTCATTAGACACTGTGCCAATAGACTAGATACGAGTAGAAATAATCTTGATTTACGTCATTAAATATTCAAAATTCAGTCAAAGTGATCTCATATTTGAAATCTGCATGTAAAAGTGCATCTAGAAATATGGTTTCGAAAAATTGTCTATCAACTTTGAAAATTTAATTTTTTTTGAAAATGTGACTTCTTGTTCGGGTTGATTCCCCATAGACCCTATGTTACAAAATCACATAAAGTGAACTATCTTCTCTTGTATTGTATTGGACAGATAACATTTTCTTTTACTGGACATATTTTAATTTGCATAACTATGAGATACATAAGGGTTATATGAAAATTGAACCACGCAAATAGATGTAATTTAAGTTAAAGGGAACTTTCTACTATACCCGCCATGCTATCTGACCCGAATGAGCCACCTGGTGGTGAATCTGGTAACTACCTACTTTGAGTTACAGTAAAAAATATTAAATAACACACGTAAAAATTGCGGCCATTTTTCAAAATGGCTGCATACTTCCCAAAATGTTAGTAGACATTGTGCCATGCTTAAAGTATTCACAAGAGGAGGGAATGCCCCAGAGTTTAAAGATGACAGACATAATTACCTCTCTTGCTTACCACCTTCGTTCGTTCGAATTTTCATCGGCTAGTTTTCAAATACTACACTTCGATGGGATGTTTTAATTGATAAAGGCATATTCCGTACACCTTTCTTTATCTTGATGTGAAATGAGAAGCTATGATATTGGTTAATACGCCAGAGATGAACATAATATTATTCGAAGCGAATTTCGAAAATTTTGAAACCGCCATTGGTGACGTCATTTGTTTGTCGACTTTTGACCAATCAGCGACGATGTCATCTCAATACAGATTTACATTATAAGCGTATGTCATCTTTGAACCCTGGTGTTTCTCCCCCTCTGAGTATTCACATACCAAATATGTACAAAATCGCTCCACTACTTTACAAATTACAGCAAAAATCGTAAAATGACGTGCAAAGGCAGCCATTTTTCAAGATGGGTGCCATGTATTTCTTCTATATTTACATTTCTAGCTTAATCAATGTCCGATATAACTTTTTTACATTTAAAACATATTGCTATTACAGTTTTATATGCAGAACCTAAATTACTTTAAAATCGGCACTAAAATGGCCGCCATTTTTAAATGAGCGACCATTTTGAAAATCGGTTTTCGAGCAGAACTTCTATCCCCATTGGGTATATGTGTACAAAATATGAACAAAATCAGGCCAACGGTATTTGAGTTATTGCCCGGATGGACAGATGGACGGACGTAAGGACAGACGGACGGAGGTGTTCCCTATAATAATAATAATGCAGCAGGCTGAATCAGACATCCACATCAGACATCAATGTGCAGCACTTATGAAAAAGAAGACGTAGAGCATTTCTTACTTAAATGCCCAGCAAATATATATATTATTTATAGAGAACAACTTAGTAATCATTGCTGCGAATGGGGTATCCAAATGAACACTAAAAACATTCTTGGCATAGGAATTGAAGAGTTGCACTTTGCAAACGAACAACTACTTGTATTTTTAAAAGATATGGCACATATAGTTATGCAACAATATTTGTGTCGTCAACGTCACTTGACAAGTTTACAAACTTAATGTAACTTTATCAGCGTGAAAGGGTGGCCCTCAAGGGACGAACATGGGCCGACTAGGGAATTTCCCTTGATTAACGGTAATATGCAATATGTATTTATTCTGAGTGTACCGACCTTGGGGAAGGTACAATAATAAGCAATGCTTTATGTTTTTTTTTGTTTTTTTTGTTTTTTTTCTGTTTTTTCCTTGATTGGTAGTTGCAACGTCAACGCGGCAGCCTGACGTAGTTGCAACAAACGATTATATCTCTTAACCAGCCTATACATTTTAGTTTTACTCGCATATTTGTATTTATATTTATGTACATTTATTATACACACTAATTTAGAATTGCACCATAGGGCAACACCACCTTTCTTCAATTTACAAAAATTGTATATTTCTTTTACTAGCTTACAAGATATTGAAAGCATCTCATACTTTCATACAGTACTGCAGTACCGACCTTGGGGAAGGTACGATGATACGCTATGTCTTCCTTTTAATTTTTATAGAAAACGCAGATCCATAATGTCAGTTTTTTTTATTAATCTTAAGAGTGTTAGGTAACAGGTCTATCTAGGCCTACGGCGTGCGTCTACGCGGTAGCTAGGCGTCGTCGTCAGTACAAAAAACAACAACAAAACAATGAATGTTTGTAAAATATAGTCATTTTTTTTATAATTGCGTTACAATTAGGTGCTAGGCCAATCTTGGTCGGCGGCGTGCGTCTACGCGGTAGCTAGGCGTCGTCGTCAGTCAAAACAACAGCAATAATTGTTTGTTTGTAAATAGTGATTAGTTTCAATTTAACATTTACATAATTTGTATACATGTATCTCCTTTATATAAAGGGCAATAAATATATACATACATACATACACAAGGATTCATGGTAGGTGTCAGTGCTCGATAAGGCTCTTAATGAGGATTTTAGTGTCATTGACCGAAGCAGTAAATATGGTGGGGATATGAAAGAATTACCCATTACCAATGAATGATCTTATTTTGACAGATAATTTCTTTTTCCATCGAAACCTTTCTATCTATCCCAAAATGCATCGTGCAATTTCAAAAATAAATATGGTAGATATTTCGCAAGATTTCAAGAGCCAGATATTGAGCTGAACAGTTGTTAATATGGAGCATCATTTTGAATGATTATTTGGGAGCCTGGATTTGCTAAAATCTCAAAAATAAGAAAAGACACAAATCAGGCTCAGAATTATGGAGGTATGTGGGAATTATGAGCTTCAAATTTTGTTCAAGTTCCTATGTCATCCCCATACAACTGAGGACTCAACAACATAAAAACAATCCAAAAACACTCAAGAATTTATTGAGGTAGGTCATTTAAGTTTGAAAGGCATGGAAAATTCTCCCCTGTTGTAATCAGACAGACCTGTAGGGCAAGGATGAAGAGGTCATGATGCTAATTTCAGTATGATGTTTTCAAAAAAATAATACTCATCTTTATCATGATTATCTACATTTTGAAGTCATACATGCCCGAGTTAACACCCTAAATGATACAGAAATAAATTTACTCGAGTCTCTAGCCAATACTTGGCTAGAGGTAATTTCATCTGGAATACTGTGAACTCCATTTGAAAAAAGCTGGCCGCCGTGTCATATATTTATTGAATATTTTAAAAATCGCCAGATAAATAAATCATTATTTAAAATGGAACCGGCTCGGCTCCTTGATGAGATTGACATGATTTCATCAGGATTTCGTCTAAAATTGAAACAAAATGGCTCCAAGAAAAATGTCCAAAACGAAATGTCATTAATGTCTGACATTAGTAACTGGCTGTAAATTCTAAGTTAGCGATCCAGAAGATGTGAACTAATATACTGATCACTTCATGTGTGTTTTGGAATTTTTGGTGAGGTAATAAGACCAAAACTTGCAATTCAAATTGTGATGTGAAAAAATGGCGGACATATGATTTCAAATTTTATGATTACGACATGACTAGTTGTTCATGCAGGAATTTATCTTTAGAGGAAGGCCACGATACAGTGGCCTTAGAAGAAGGTAAAAATAAATAATTTATACCTCAATCTTTCTATTCTAGCCTGATAATACTCTATGTGTGTATGTAAGACCATTGTAAAATTGTTTCCTAAATCTGGGGGCCTTATTTCGTGGTTGGATCAAGAAGATTGCGCGACACATACGAGACGCATATGAAAGGGGAATTTTAGCTGCATAACCTGGAGCATATAATCAGCATTTCCCACAATCCATGCAGTAGGGACATTCTCAGGACTGGCATGGGATAAGTTGTGGGAGTAATTTGAAAAAATTAACTCCAAGGTTTTCACGCTATTTGTCTTATGAGAAAGAATAACAGAACTGATTTAGGTTTGCCTTACTCACTTCGAGAGCCATGTTAGATTTTGAAACTTATGGCTTTCAAACAAGGAAATGGACAGCTGAATAATAGTGACCTTTGAAACACGAATTGAGTCGATCAGCGTCGATCAGTGGCTTACTTTTGTTCTCTAACTATGTCATACATCATTATCATCCTTCCGTGCAAGTATTGGAGCGCTGAAGTACTTCCTTTTCGATCAAGACTTGTAATTGTTAGTCGAGTGAATGTTTTTTCTACCAAATTCCAATATGGCGTTTTCTGCACGGACATTTTCGTAAATCTCCTGAGGTTGTCCGAACCTAACTCGTTCTCAAAATTCATTTCATTCGTTGCGTATCTCGCTCCTAGCAAACCGCCATATTGGAAATGGGTCGAAAAAACATTCACTCGATGAACAATTTACAAGTCATGATCGAAAAAGAAGTATTTCAGCGCTCCAATACTTGCATGGATTGATGTAGTCCAACAACATTAGACCTAGCCTGGGCCTCGTTTCTTATCTGACATGTCTTATGGCCCCGGCTAGGTCTAACCTCCATGACCATTTTGCCCTTGATGCGTTAATTTAGTCGTTCAGCAGGTTCCGACAAGCGGAACTAATTAAACTCCGAAAACATGGTAATATTACATAAAGAATGTGATTCAAGCATGCATACATACCTTATAAATACATACACACCATCCCGTACCCCCCTTAGACCATATTGATGCATAATTACGAAAATATTGGAGACAGGTTTGGAATTTTACGAAAATATCGGTCAGCTCCGGTAACATCGAAATTGCAAATCGTATCAGGAATTAACCGTCATTGCGACACTGCATCAACGAACAGTAGGTTTGCAATTAATAACTATTTTGTGTGTATACAAGCGCTATATAAATCAATCAAAGATACCTGCTATCCTCAAAAAAGGTTATTTTATCCCGAGTAATCGCGTGATAATTATCAATCTATTTGACAACAATTTCGTTTCAATAGTTTAAATTTTAACCCGGGACGAACAGACACAATGACAGACATGCGGAAATGTCATTTTAGAGATTGGTAAGTTTAACCTCATTTTACTTGTATAAATGACCATTTCATACAATAATATTGTGTTGAATCGCTTGATGTTATGTGTTTTTATATTGTTGTCAAGTATCAGTTGCATGTTATCGCGGAAAAATGGTTTCGGTGGATCCAAAACTTGCATCAATGGAAAGAATAGTAAAGAGGTTAAACTCAATAATGGCCCCAAGAAAATTTTTAATAATAAATAACGCCGCTATTGAGTTTAACGATGTTGAACTAGGATTGATGATACCGATGGAAGACACAGTTAGAGACCAAAAGTAATTATTCAGCTGCCCAAGTGCGCCGTGGGAAAGCTACTATATCAAAATCCATATTGCTTTCGCAGTAAGTAAGGTTTGCCCAAATCAAATTGCAATTTGACAGAAAAAATCATAAAAAAAATTTGACCAAAAATTATTTCTGGACAAGCAGAACTAAATCACAGATTTGAGAACATCGATAGAGTCAAATTTGAAGGATACACAATAAACAATAACAACTCACTCTTTCTTGCTTCTCCGACTTTCTCTGCAGCCCGTTTTTCGGCAGCTAAAAGCTGCTGAATTCCAGTAGATTGACTTGCCATTTTTACTGGGGGTGTAATTGTGTATCATGTGACTTACTACTCGATCAACATAAATATTTCCACGAAAATTATTACAGTACTAGACAATCAATATATTGGTTTAATCTAATTTGTAGAACAGTCAACCCTACATTTGATGAAAAGCCGCATTTCTTGGTAGTTTTGAACTAATTTTAATTAATTATAATAAGTTCGAAGATAACGTTAGCGATTAATTGAAAATACACTAAAAATGATGACGTAGTTCACATCACCTATTACCTGGATCAGTTTTCAACTATTTCTCACATTTCAATCATTCCTGTTGAGTGTATGATGCTACTGTAATTGATAAGGTAAATTTGAATGGTGTTATTTTTCTTAGGTAGTGTTTTGCACCATTAGATTGGAACATAGCTCAACAGATCCCCTCAAGAGTGCAGAATATGAAAAATATTCTGGATTTTGGAGTAAATCTGAGAAGTTCAAGTTTTAGCAGTGTTTGTTATTTATGAATCATATGATTTAAAAAATTATTGAATTCCTTCCTTTCACTTTGCAGGTGTTTGTGCACTGTGCAGGATGTCTGATACCCCTCAAAATGAACCACTTTCGCCAGGGCAAGTCCCTAATAGTGCAGGGGGGTATGCTTGGCAGGTTAATGACTTGGATAGGCTCCGCAGATTTATCTGTTTAGGGTCAGAATCTGGAACTTACTATATATCCGAGACTGATCTAGGTATTGAAAATGCAGCATGTATTCAACGATTAATAGATGATGGGCGAGGTGTAGAAGCTGTCAAGGAACTAATAACATATAGCACAGAAGGCCGAGTTGCAAAAGACAAACCCATTATATTTGCACTAGCTTTCCTCGCAAGAAATAGCAAGGACTTAAAGACGAAAACTGCTGCGTACAATGCATTAAGTGACATCTGTAGAATACCAACACAATTATTTATTTTTATTGATTTTGCTCAAAATTTAAGTGGTAATACAAAAGGATGGGGTCGATGTCAGAGAACTGCAATTAGTGACTGGTACAATGATAAAATTCCTAAGCAACTTGCTCTACATGTTACAAAATATATACAACGAAATGGATGGTCACATAAGGATGTGTTGCGATTAGGACATGTCAAACCAGAAAATCAAGGTATGTCATAGTTATTGATATCATCTATAATTTTTACTCTCTATTTGTAGTTTCGAATGCATCGTTTAAAAGGATGTTACTATATATTAATACTTAAGATGCACAAAATAATATCTCAATTTTGGTCAGGCATCTGAGGCTATTGGCCTCTCTTGTGTTCAAATAGAACACTATATAATGCAAAAGCAATATGACCCAGGAGAATGACTTTTGTATATATCAGATTAGTTTTTTCTAGCAAGAGAATCTATTGATCATCCTAAAATCTCATTAATTGTTTATAGACGGTCTAATTTATAAAAATTTGATTGGATTAAAAAGTCATATATCTTCAGTAATATCTTGCAGTTCCACTATTGTTCATGGTAACAAATATGTACTGGAAAATCCTTTCATCTCAAATTGTTGCAATCACTTGATATATCTTGATTATGCATACTCCAGGGCCAGGATGGATAACATTGCTTTATGAACATGTATTATAGCACTATATCCTATTGGCACACCTGATAATGGATGTTCACATTCCAGGAGTCTGGAAATACCTCAAGGCAAGATTGACTCTGAATTCTTGCATGCATGGCCTTCTCATGTTATAAAGCAATTTGTTAGAAGCAGTTATTTTATTATTACATTCTCAAATCAGTATACTTGCCTAGTTCATTTTGATTTTGATTTTTGACATTTATAACAGACTGTAATTCTGTAAATCCTTGATATTACATAATACTCTTTCAATTAGTCGGATCATGGCTATCATAGGTGACAGTGTCATACAATGATAAAATAATGCTGACGTTGCACAAAAATATCTCAATATTTAATTCTATTGACTGGGTGCAAACAAATTTTCAACATGGTGCAAGTAATTTCAAATTTGGTACAAATGATTATATAATGTCAACCCTAGTATGCAAACATCATCCATCTCTCAATTTATATCTTTTACTATTTTCTCCCCTTCCTCTCTGAAAACTACTATAAAGAATACAAGGAGTCAAGTCAAGGCTTTCTTTCAAATCTTGATTACACAGCGAGGAGGAAGCAGATTCCAATGAGGAGATATTTCCCAGATGTACCCAGGTTATGATTAGCTCACTAGTTTGCATCTGTTAGCTTCCTTTTCATATCATGGAACAATATGTCTTGAATTTCCTCCAGAAAACAGAACATTATAGTAAATAACAAATTAAGTTAATTTAGTTGAGTTATAAATAGAAATTAGGTACTTTTTAATGTCAAGAATTTTTGAGGATTTTAGGATAACTTTTAGTTTTCTTAAGGGGTCAGTATTTGAAGTAGTTGGCATGTGGTGAATATTGGCTGGGTTTGAAAGGTAGATGCCTGGCTAGGTCAGGCTAAACTCACATACCAGCCCTTTCAGAAAATATCCCTAAAGCCAAGTGTATACAATACTCAGATCATTAAGACAGAATCATGGAATATAAAATAATGTTGGATATACTATAATGCTTAGTGATCCTGATTATGAAATGTGAATATCAAAATAATGTATAACAAATCAGGAAAACATTTTTCTGTTAAATGTTTGTTGAATTCCATTTCATTAGAGACATCCTCAGTTATAGGGAATCTCAACACTTGTCTGTTAAAACTTAGTTAATTCTCTATTGCTTTCAACTTTGTGGCTTTGGGTCACAATCACTACTCCATCCCCAGACGAAATATTCTTATTTATGTACTGCAAAATTACCTTGACATTTTGGTGATATTGCAATACATGTAGTTATAACTCCAAGGACAATTGATTTTCAGGAATTGTGATTGATGATATTTTTCAAGAGGCCCCTTGTTTCACACAGTCATACTCACAAATTATTTTTAAGGGTCTCATCATCATTTTACTCTATGTTGTTAAGACCTTTACTGCTTCTTCATTTTTTCATATCATTTCAAAGAAGGTATCTCTATGTTAAGTTTTAATGACCTCACAACTAAGCTTAACTGGTCACGTCAATCTTAACACAAGTTACTAGTTACAGGTTCTTCTGTTCATTATACGTAATGTTGCAAGGAGCTGTACTTCTGTCATTCTATGCTAAATTGTGAAGAACATTCTATGCTTGTAAGATGTACTTCTTTTCATTGTCATGTACTTCTGTCATTCTAGGCTTTGTTGTAAAGATTTACTTCCTATCATTTTCTGTCACTCTTTGCTCTATTGTAAGATGTACTTCTTATCATTTACATGTACTTTACTGTTGTAAAGATGTACTTCTCATCATTATGTCACCACCAAAAAGTGGTGACATATTGCTATGGTCTACGTTTTTTTTTCACGGCGGTTGGTGGTTGGCAATCGGCGCCTTTAAAAAATTCTTACAACTTCCAATAAATTCAAATCTGACTAAGTCACTTTATATTTAAGATTTGACCTTCAATGACCTTTTCAAGGTCAAAAAAGTTCAAAAAGGTCTTTTTTCAACTTGTGAACAAATTGACCAATTTTTTTTTTCAAAATCATCTAGAAGTTCTCAGAAATTCAAATCTTACTTAAGATTGAAATCATAATATTGTGAGCAACTAGGTGGTGACATTTTGTCATGTTAATGCCTTGTTTTCAGGTACTTCTGTCATAAAGATGTAGGTGTAATCAGTTTAGGTATTTCTGTACTTCTTATCATTTTCATGTACTTCTGTAATATGATGTACTTCTCATCATTTTTAGGTACTCCGGTTATAAAGATGTACTTCGCATCATTTCAGGTACTTCTGTCATACTACGTTATGTTGTAAAGGGCCTAGAAGCCACCAAGAAGGAATACCTCAAGGAAGACTCACCTAGCAATATACAGGAGCTCATCTCTTACCTTGAGGTGGTAGACACTGTTAAACACTCAGGAGACAAACAACAAGTTGCAAGGTTGATCGAGGAGTATGACCTGGCTAGGGAACATGTGCCAACCTCAATGCTGAATTGCCGAGAGGTAAAAATTGGGACAATGTTTCATTAAAAATAATTCATATACAATACATGTAATTATGCATACAATACATTGTACAAAATCCACAATAGCCCAATGATTACGAGATAACGCAGGCAGAATAAGAGTTTGAGACTAAAAGAACTCTCATATTTTTTGTAGTAATTGAATGAATCTTTCTGTTGAAGATATGGCGAGCTTTACTCCAACACATGCCAATGACAGCAATGTTACGTAACCTAAGCAAGATGACAACGATGGGGTTATTCCCATCCCGAGGAGACAACACAAAGCTAGTAGTAGACCGACTGAAGGATGAGGAATTGCTGAGGAAAGCAAGGTATTGGCTAGATTTCACCTACATGCCTAAAATGAGAGATAATTTCTTGATCTTAGCCTATACTTACCTACTTAAAGTGTCAACATTTGACAATAGTTGGCGGGGCACTTTGTTCTTGAATCCAAGAGATATTCAACCTGAAACACCCTTTGGAGTATTTAACATTCTTTAAACTTGCAGAAACTTTTAATTATGGGATGCCCTTTACATTTTGAAAAGAAAAGAAAGGGGTTAGTGTTCATCATTTTCTACTTTGTCCAGGGGAAAGCTACATTTGAGATGATTAAGATATTACCATCACCAAAGCTGTAAAATCTACCATCAAAGTCATAGAGTAGTGTAGCTAGATGACTGGGATTCAGGGTAACTACTAAATGTGAAACATTTAAAGAGGAGGGGGTATCGAACTGAGAATTGACAAATCATTATCTAAAAAAACATTCAAAGGACTTTTTCCAAGAATGATGCTAGCACAAACTTATTTTTAGAAAAACTTTTTTTCAAAAACAACTTAAACATTTGTACAAGTTTGTGTCCATAACACCTGGCTGTTTCAACTCCTCAGATACCCCCCCCCCCTTATTTACTTCACAAACTTGTGGTTGGTGTGTAATGGGGGGAGGTCACATGTATTGTAATGGGCTTGTAGCTATACTACTACACCTACAGTATGATTGACCATATTAATGATGGGCTAGTCAGATTCATATTATTGTCAATATAAACTTTACCAATTTGATGTCAGTATTAATGTTTTTGAAGTATTATAAATGTGTATCAAATATTGCAATATTTTTCTGATATCAGTCCAAAGGTTATTTGCTTTTATTTGATAAATATTGAGAGCAGTCCTCAATGTAACTACACATACAGTGTACATGTATATGGGAATTCAGTATGACATGCCTTATCTGTGTTATTTATCAAGCTGTCAGTTTCACATCTTAGAGTTGGTGGCTTTTTATCTATAATCAGAAGAGAGTTGGTCATTCTCAGGATCCACTATTATTTAGAGTTGTATATTTGTACAGGGTGATCCAGAAATGCAACCCTTTAATTTGAGAATTCCTTTCTCAATTATCATGTTTGAATCTTCTTGAATTGCCTTGTTGTGATTAGACTGTTGAATTGAGCATTGTTTTGACTTTGATATTGAGAATGATTTAACATTTAGTTAGACTAGATAGAGTTATCGTTGTACGAGGTATGCGGTAGATTTTGCGGCAACTGTATTCTGACTGCAATAGATAGAAACTTTTTCCTATATTTTACCATTATATTATTACAGAATTCATCCCTTTAATGTACTTATTGCCCTGAAGGCTTACGAACAAGGAAAGAGTGACAGGGGCAAACTGAGGTGGATTCCTAATGAACAGATACGTGCAGCACTAAACAGTGCTTTCTATGCCTCATTCAAGGTATGTACGAGTATGATTAATATTAGAATTTCTAAGATTAATTTCCTTTGGGAATTTAAACTTCTTTAGCTCCTGTCAGTGAAGGTGGTTGCAAAGAAAGTATATTAAATAGTATACAGAAATATATGTAAAGGATAGGTATGATATGGAGAACTGAATTCAACAATGTTTTTCTCTTAAACCAATCATTGAAAACATTCTGTAAAAAACATGGTATTTTATGTAATGTTGACTGATTGACAACAATTTAATGCGAAAATTATTTAGAAATATTTTATATAACTGTTTTTGTTAACATTTTTTTTTTTTAGTGCAATTGTTTTTGCTCCTTTCTACCAATTCTTGAGAATGAAATAAAATGTCTTTCCGAACCTTGTTGGAACAAAATAGCATATACAACATGTTTTTAGACCTCTCAATATTAAAGTTATACAAAGGAATTTTTGGTTGATTTTAAAAAGTATTCAAAAAATTAAAACAAAATCCCCCCAAAATAGATAAAAATCAAGAAAAACAATTTAACAAGATACTTTTTTAAAATCAACCAAAATTTCCTTTGAACAATTACAATATTGAGAGACCTAAACATGTTGTGTTTATGTCGTTTTGTTCCAATGAGGTTCAGAAAGATGTTTCATTTCACTCTGGAAACATGATACCAAGAACAAAACAAGTGTTTGATGTGTTTTTTAAAACAATATAGATGAAAGTATGTATATCTATTTCAAATTATATTGTAACCATTCAAAAGATGGCCATTAAATTGACAATTTGTAAGATTTTCAAGATTTCAAGATTTGATGACTGGTTTAAGAGAAACATGTCTTCAAAAAGTTCGCCATATCGATACCCATTCTTTGAATAATTTCATACTTCAAAAAAGGGCAGATTGGTAGTGAAATCATGCACATTCTGTTTCACCTGATTAAATGCATTTATTTTTCACATGATTAGTTCATTGAACCGACCAACAAGAGATTCCTAATCGCAGTTGACATAAGCAGCTCCATGACACACGGTGGTATCCATGGCACCCCACAAATGAGTCCTGCTATTGGTGCTGCTGCTATGGCAATGTCTACAGCACGTACAGAACCTCATTATCAGATTGTGGCATTCTCTACGGACATACGACCAGTTGAGCTGAATGGGTCCCTAACAGTGCAACAATGTTGTCTAAAATTTGCTGAGGTAAAAGAGAAACCATAATAATAAACAAAATTCATTTCACACCAAACTCCATAAAAATCTATGAATTCTAGATTTGAGATGATAAAGATTTTATCAGTGTTAAAACTAAAATTATTTGCTCAATTAAGTGAATTTTTTGGTATTCTTGGTAAATTCCTTGCTAGCTATTTTCAACATTTCAATAGAACTAGTACAATATTTATTACTGTGTTCTGTCTTGTTTTTGGAAGCAACTTTGTGTTTAGATTTCATAAATGATACCGCTTTGACCAAAGTTGAATAAGCAATAATGAAAATCAAGATTCTTGCTTCTAGTCTATTATACAGTCTTTCTTTGTAGCTTTCAGAGGGAGGAACCAATTGCTCAAAGCCAATGCAGTGGGCCATGGAGAAAAATCTTGCTTATGATGTGTTCATAGTGTACACAGACTGTGAGACCTGGTATGGCAATACACACCCTAGTGAGGCTCTAAGGCAGTACAGAGCAGCCATGAATATTCCTAATGCTAGGTAAACATATCAGTCACACCAATCTTACTCTCATTCTCTTAAGTGAGTTGATCTCAGAATAATTAGATATGGTTTGAGCTTAAAAGTATTTTAGTAGAATAATGACTATTGACCCATTCCTAATCCTAAATTGTTCTTTTTGTTAGTATGTTTTAAGAGAGCCATAAGAATTAAGTACTCTGTCTTTCTTCCTGAATCTGCAGTGATTGTTTTAGAATACCCGACAACAGGCAATCTGAATGAAAACAAGAGTCAAAATTATTTGAACTTATTTCAACATTGAAACACTTGCAGAATTCCCCAAAACAATGGACAATTTTAATAAAAACGAAGGGAGATAATTGCCTGTTTCTTGCACTCATTGAAACCCTGATCTAATTTCTTACATTTGTTCTACAATTACAGACTGATTGTGTGCTGTATGACCAGCAATGGTTTCACCCTAGCAGATCCTGAAGACCCTGGCATGCTGGACATTGCAGGCTTCGACTCTGCCGCTCCTGAAGTTATTCGCAATTTCGTGATGGGACATCTGTAACCAGTGTACAGCCATTTATTCCCCTCTTGTTTGATAATGGGAGGCCTTAAATTATTCCTACTTTTCCTGGGCAAGTCTGGTGACGGTAGCCATAGAAACCATGGTAGTCATAACAACAAAGTTATGGGATAACAGGTTTACAAATTACTGAATGAAGCTGGATGCAACTTCTTTGGCAGGATGTAAATATATAGCTTTAATTTATCACATGTTTATTAAATGAAGCTTATAAATGAAGTTTTAATGACTTTCAGCCAGGGAGAAGTTGTCAGGACTTATATATACATTATTGCTTGTGTGTATTGCTAGGATTCAAATACACATATAGTGTGTACCTATAGCTAGATTGTGTATAGCTATTCATATAAAATTGTAGCTATTTAGTTTGAGTGTGTATAGCCAGGATTTATATACACTTGTAGCTCTATAGTCGGATTGTGTATAGCCAGGATTTATATACTTGTTGCTTGTATATAGCTGAAGTGTGTATAGCTAGGATTGATATACATGTACAATTGTAGCTTGGAGCTATATAACTAGAATTCATATACACACTTGTAGCTATATAGCTGGTGTTGTATAGCTAGGACTTATACAAACTTAGCTTCTAGCTGTATAGAAGGAGTGTGTATAGCTAGTATTCATATACACTTGTAGCTCTATAACACGAGTTCTACATAGACACTTGTACCTATAAAGCTAGCTAGGATTCTTACCTCATTTACCTTTTGTATTGCTTTATAGCAGTATGGGTTTAATGCAAGACTTCTATGTTATGAACTGCATGTTATTTACATGATTTACATGTACAATTAATTTATAAATGACAATTGTAATTGATTGAATTGTATATAAACAATGTTATTGCATTATAATGCCTTTTTGTATTGTTTGGGAAGTATAATGCATGTAGGTTGACATATTATGCACGTAGCTCAGTAACGGGGTCGGTATATCATGAAGAATTGGTGGAATATTTTAGGTCATTTAAAGGAACTCTGAATGATAACAATGAAAAATTTTTAGAAAAATATTTTTTTTGTGGTTTTCGAGACCATTACTTTGTCTGCCTTCAACTTTCTAATCGATAAGCATATCGAGTATTCAAAAGTCGCTGTTGAACCTTGAAGTCATGCTTAGACTGAAGATTGGATATGTTTGATGGACTTATTTTATCTCATCTTTATTTCGATAAACTGAAAGGAGACATTTGCATTCACTTTAAAGTACTTCAAACAATAATGTTGTAAAAATGAATTCAACATGTCACCAATAGTTCCTTTCCCACTCTAGCATAGTACTAGTATTCATTGAGGGCCTCTAGAAATTGTGCATAGTAATCATTGAGGGCCTCTAGAAATTGTGCATAGTAATCACTGAGGGCCTCTAGAAATTGTGCATAGTAATCACTGAGGGCCTCTAGAAATTATGCATAGTAATCACTGAGGGCCTCTAGAAATTGTGCATAGTAATCACTGAGGGCCTCTAGAAATTGTGAATGAAGTTTTAAAGCCTTAAAAGTTACTTGTAATTGATTATTGCCAGCACACTTGTCATATCCTGATACCATACCATGAGTAGCTGACAGCGAAGCAGCATTTATATGTATAATGTCCATGTACCAATATACTTGTTCTAGATTGAGTATTAATCCAGGTCACTAGATGGCACCAGTTTCATCACAAGTTACTGTGTAAATTGTACTTTGTAAATGGAGAAATTTGCAATTTGATATAAGTTATCAGACTGAATACATTGTAAGCCAAGCTGGAAAGTCCTTGGTGATTGAATATGCAAATCTCTCATAATATAGGAGGTTTCAAAGGAATTTAGAAAAAAGGTTTGTTGATGTAACATATCTGCTGATGTTTTACTATGAATAATAATAGTGCAATTATGAATTGCTACCTCATATAGTTAACCTCATATAATTAACCTCAAATAGTTAACCTCATAAAGTTATCATCGTGATTATTCCAATGGTGAATTTGGATGGAAATTTGAACTGATGTGCAGTAAATTTGTACTTACTAAAGTATAGTTTATCCATCCTCTTAATTGAAACTAATCCATTTCTCTTATATTGTGAATGAGCTAATCATTATAAACCCTTCAATATTGAATGAAATCATAATAAAGACTTAGCTCTGTTTTGTATTAATTATAAAAATGCATGTTGTAAAAATGATGATAAATTGTTTTTCCCAAGGGTCAACTTCAGAAGGTATGATTCTCTTTAACTGGTTCAAAAATTAAAATACAAATGCATTTTGTAACTGGCATCAGTTGTGTGTATATGGTACAGAAGCAGACCTGGACCAATTAGAGGGTATAGGGGAGGGCCAATATATATATATTTAGGGAAAATATTTTGACTCCTTTCTTTCAAAAATCATAATGCGGCCTAATTTTTTTGTGGAGGGTGGTATGTAGGATCAATATTTTCTGAAGTATGCCTATGTGGGAATTGTTATCCCAGCCAGAATATATTGGACTTTGATTATGAGCTTATGTTGAATACTGTATAACTTGACCTTTGAATGTACGAATGAACTAATTTATAATAAACATTTTTATTTATAAAATATGATATTTTTATTTTCTAAGTTTGTAACATAATTTAATGACATGTACTGTGTTTCTTGTAAATTTGGATTTTACTGTGTGGTAAATTAAATCTTCATTAAGATCAATAGGAGCATATATATTTGAAGCCTTTTCAGAAAATGATCTAGAAATCGATCTGTGGATAGTATGTACATTTGATGATTTAGATCAATCACTTTCAACATTTATCCAAAAGTTATCTATGCCTTGTAAAAAACTAGAAAAACAGCAACTCCACGGAGTAGCAAATCCCACCGAACAAAACATGTTTTGATAAAACAATTGAGCCAAATTCATCCACTGGTATTTGAATTATCAAAGATTATGTCTTTATGAAACATGGTTGCCATTTTGAAATTCAGCTGTCATCTTTAGATTTCTTCTTTAGCAGAGAATGTCCATCCAATGGTATATGGGTTATCAAAGGTTACTTTTTTAATGAAAAATGGCAGCCATTTTGAAATGACAGCTATCATCTTTGAAATTTCTTCTGAATCAGATCTCCTTTTTCCCTAAACATCAGCATATACAATTGGAACCAACTCCATCCACTAGAATTTGAGTTATCATTAATTACGTTTTTTTTTTATGAAAAATGGTGGCCATTTTGAAATTCAGTGGCCATCTTGAAAATTCACTTTTGAGCAGAACTTCTTTGTCTCTAGGCATTAGCATATAGAATTTGAACCAAATCCGTCAACTGGTATTTGAGTTATCAAAGGTAACTTATTATTCTTTAATGAAAAATGGCGGCCATTTTGAAATTTAGCTACCACCTTGAAAATCCCTTCTCGAGCAGAGCTCCTATGTCCCTAGGCATCATCATGTAAAATTTGAACCGAATTCATTCAATGGTAATTGAGTTATCAAAGATAATGTTTTTTTATGAAAAATGGCCACCATTTTGAAATTTAGCAGCCATCTTGAAAATCCTTTCTTGAGCAGAGCTCCTATGTCCCTAGGCATTAGAATCTAAAATTTAAACCCAGAGGTGGCGTTAACGCAATTTTTTACGTTTTTTACTCACATTTTTGCAACTCTGACGCAAATATTCATTGTCTACCGAGTCTTTCTGACGCACGTTTGTTTCACATGCAAAATCCCCGCTTGGTACTTGGTTAAATTGATCCCTATACGTGAAAATACGTGATTGATCAAATTTTTAATTTTGCTAATTCCGGAAATCTAACATTTCGTTCAGCGCAATCGAGCCTCCTTCCTACCGATCATTTTCTCATTTCGGTATTTCATATAATTTTTAAAGCCCTGTGTTCAGATTCAATGATAAACTTGAAAACATTGATCGATCCCTCGATTTGTTTATCTCGTGTGCCAGGGGGCGTATCAAAAATGCAATAAAACGAACATAACATTGAACAATAATTTATTAATTTCATACTCCCTTCTAAGGATTTTAGTGATCGTATATTTATCTAAATTACCGCATAAAATCTTTCCTTGAATGTTCACACGCTAGATTTACGAACCTTTAGTTTCCTTCGCAAGTTCGCAAAATTCCTTCGCTAAGTTAGCAAGTTTCCTTGAGCCGTCCCCTTCATCAGCATGCGCAGATGTAATGCGCAGTAGGTTTATCAATGGTGCTCACAGTGACCGATCTATCGTAAGTTTTCACCAAGTATTTTCAATTAACTCCCTCAAGTTAAGATCTTCGATTCACTAGATCTGAAGCTGATCCTATGAAGATAGATAATGGGCACATGAAAATCCAGTCGATCGCACATTAAGGGGGGTAATGATGATAAATTAGGTATGAAAACAAATCTACTTTCGGTTTCATTTTATAATTACAAGATTCTACCGTATTCAATTTAAATGATGCCCAGTATTGTGGTCGGACTTATATTGCCGTTTTAGACTTTGGAATGATTGCAAAAATGTTGAATTTCAACATGAAACGCTTTGACCCCAATTTGTGTAACTCCACACAGGGAGAAACTCCTCTCCCACTCCATTCACACCCATGACTCGCTGGACCAGATAATCAGATGATTAATAGTGACATTTTTCTTGCAATTGCCTAATTAATTAATTGTTAGTTGTTAATGTGCTATAAGAGTACAATAAAAGGTATGCACAAAATCAAAAAATAGATTTTGTATGTGGTTTCTACATTTTGTATGCATTTTTACTCAAGAAAAACACTTTTATAGCTTTGACTCAACTTTTTTTCTTGTGACTCACTTTTTTGAAACTACCTGAGTCATGATGACTCACAAAAATATATGCCTACCGCCACCGCTGAAACCAAATCCATTCATTGGTATTTGAGTTATCAAAGATAAAGTTTTTTTACCACAAATGGCCGCCATTTTGAAATTTAGCTGCCATCTTGGAAATCCTTTCTCGAGCAGAGCTCCTATGTCCCTAGGCATCAGCATCTCAAATTTGAACCAAATCCATTCAATGGTCTTTGAGTTATCAAAGATGACGTTTTTTTACGAAAAATGGCCGCCATTTTGAAATTTGGTGGCCATCTTGAAAATGTCTTCTTAAGCAAGGCTCCTTTGTACCAAAGCAACAGCATATAAAATTTGAACCAAATCCATCCACTAGTATTTGAGTTATTAAAGATTATATTTTTTCCGAAAAATGGCCACCATTTTGAATTAAGCGGCCATATTGAAAATTCCTTCTCGAGCAGAGGTCCTACACCCATAAGGCATAAGCCTATAAAATTTGAATGAAATCCGTCAACCGGTATTTGAGTTATTGCCCGGACACACAAACGGACGGACGAACGGACGGACGGACGGACGAACGGACGGACGGCTTTTCTATATCCCCCTCGAACTTCGTTCGGTGGGATAATTAGTTTACTGTATATCCACTAAATCAAATGTGTCTTTCCAATAGTGCCCCCACAAAAATACAGTATTTCATTGTACATAGACAGGTAGTCTTTCCATGCATTTCTATCAAAACAAGTAATGTCTCATCCCCTTGAAATCCATGTAAATGCATGGGTGAATTGTCCACAGTCCAACAGGGCATAGCTAAAGTCACATCCTGAAGATATTCAGTACTGAATAAACTATACTGTATATCCACTTATGTAACACCCAGTAGTATATATTATCACAGTAAACAATATATCCACCAGATATTCACTTCATGGTATACTTTATATCCACCAGATTTGCACTAGATCACATATCCACCAGATTTGCACTAGATCACATATCCACCAGATTTGCACTAGATCACATATCCACCAGATTTGCACTAGATCACATATCCACCAGATTTGCACTAGATCACATATCCACCAGATTTGCACTAGATAGCATATCCACCAGATTTGCACTAGATCGCATATCCAGCAGATTGGCACTAAATTGTATACTATATATCCATTGGACCACCTGGGGCCATCCCTTGCTTATCTTTACTCTGAGTCCAGGCTTGTGCTATTGTTCTTTTCATGTCATCATCTCCATCATCATACATTTGTTTCATCATGTTCATGAGTGACGCAGATGGATCTTCTTCATCTGTTTTTGGTCTGAAACAAACCAACAGAAAAGTAACCTTGAACTTCATTATACAAACATGTGAGTATGACAGTTTTAATAAGAAATATCACTAATGATCTGAACCCTCTGCTTGCACGGCCTTTTATGAAAGCGAAATGAATGTGGATCCGATATTCTGTTTTCCTGGATTTTCTGACTTCATATTCTGATTGGGTATTGAAGGAGTTATCAGTGTTCAAACACTGAACAAGGTGTTCATTGCTATTAATACACACACAAAAAATTCATGAATGATAAAAATCTGCACAACTTCCAGGCAATCTGTAAAAACTACTTCACATTTGGTGCAAAATATTTAAGCCAAATATACTATATTATTATACATATAGCTAGTAATGACTGCAGTCGACGGGCCAAATCAATTTGTTTCACTTCATATCCTTTGAGGAACCCTTGAAGGTTTCAAATTGCAAATGTATCAAACATTATGTAAGAACAATTCAAATGTGCATGTTATACATACAGTAATATACTTACAGGTTTGGTTTCTTGATTGCTCCTTCCTTAGCAGTTGTACCACCCCACGTTTTGAACTCCTCCTTTTTCTTTAACTGTACAAGCACCATTCCTGTTTTTATCTACAGTGGAAACAAATGCATTAGAAATACCTGATTACTGGTGCACTGCAATACCCTTGTGTTTACATCAAAATGCACTACTACAATATAAGACTGACTTTCTATATTAAGGAGGATTTGTTCCCAGAATTCTTTTACAATATTGGCATGGACAATTTTGGTAATAATATTACTGGAATGTTCATATCCAGACCAAGTATCTAGTTGGGAGATTAACAATATAGAAATGTTAATATTATCAAATAAGGAAAGAATGCCTGGAGTCAATGATACTTGATAAAGAGCCTTGAAATTTAATACCAACAGACATCTGAGCAGCATATTTTTCTTTCCAGAACTTTTAATCATTCTGTGCAAATTTTGATCTAGAATTTTTTAATAAATGCAGGAAGCTTTTTTTCAATTTATCAAATCTCAATGGCTGTATTGACTAAAAGGAGAAAATAGATTTTCAATGTTGAAAACTGAATAAGCAAATATTTACTTACTCTAAATTTGGATTTTTCAGGATCTATATCATCGAACAGATTAGTGACTGTCAATTCATAGTTTTTCCCATCAAGTTCTTTAACACGCAAAGTGAAGGACCTAAAAAAACAAACAACCCTTAGATATTACTATAGCAAAATGTAAAGTAATGCATGATTAACATAGCCTTTCAGAATATCTCTGATGCCAATGTCTATGTCAATTATCTGCAAAAGGCTAAATAAGCCCATATTAAAGCAAATATATAATTTAACAGTGATAGAATTTGAATAGAGTATAATTCAAATCTTAACATTTAAAAATAGATCTATGGTTTACAATTCATTTAAAATGTAAGGAATCTCCCTGGTTGGCCCACTGATAAACTTCTATTCCATCAATGTATCAAATAGAAATTATGATTCACTGTTCGCAGTAGCGAGGTGTTCACTATAGGATTGTACAACATGGGAGTCAATGGGAGAAAAGGGTTTCACCTAAAAAACATTCACTGTTGATAGGTGTTCACTAACTCAGGTTTTACTGTAATAGCAACTTCAACCCTCTAGAGCATACAAGACCTTATGGAGGTATGTAGGTGTCACAAGAACTTAAAGCAAGACTTATAGATTTTCATTTCAACTCACCTGGTTTGAAACTCACAGGTGACATTCTCAGCAGGAATGGACTGGATTTTTTCAAGTGTGGCATATATCTTGAAGAATTTATCACTCTGGTCCCAGGCTAATGTAAATAAATATAAAGTATACAGGTATGTTATTGATTTCTATAAAATTTCTACAAACATATCATTATCTGGTACTAGATGTAATTCAGGTCCACAAAATACATGTTCACAAAAATACTCACCATACGTGGTCATCTTTACTGTCTGTAAGTTAGATTTAGATTTGCCTATTGGTTGAGCAGGTGTTGAGGCCTCAGGTGTTGGAACTGCAGGTTTAGGTTCTGCTGCCTTCAACTTCTCTTCACGTAGAACAATGTCCGACTGAACCTTACGTATATCTAAGCCAAGCATTTCCTTAACTCTACTCCGGGTTGCCTGTTGTTGGAGAGTCTGTAACTCCTCAAGGTCAAGTTTTAGCTGTGTGAATAATAACAATGTTACTTTTTAAATGTGTACACTTACTATGATATTGATATGAAAGCTGTTTGCATACTGGGAATGATCTCAATGAGTACCATCAGTTTTAGTGACTATAGCCATTAGAGTTTCAGTTGATGAGTGTGTGGTAAGAATATTAAAAGATCAGATGAGTGATATTACTGCTAGTCGAAACATCTCACTATCTTTCCATATTGGGAAGGTAGATGTACATATATATATATATTCAGCGAAGCATTGATTCAGAGTCAATGGAGCTGAAAGTCGGCTATATATTCCTGTACAAGTATAGTCTATTTCTACAAGTTTTGGGCAATCCTGGATAAATTTTCCAAGGCCCGGAAAAATGCCTTTGATTTGACCACGGGCCTTCAATATGATTTGACTTTAATAAAAAATATACTTCAGAAAGACCTCAAAATTAATGAAAAATCCTGTTTTCCAAACCCCCATACAAAAAAAAACTATTCACTGATATACATCTTTCCACCGAATATGAAGAAAATCCGTTGACCAGAGTCCACTGTTTAACTGCGTCAGTAAAAGCTAAAAAATAAGAAATCAAAATATCATTTTTCAATAATATATGGAAAAATATATTCCTATTGTACATGAATGACATTTATTTATCTTGGATTGCTTCTAGATTGGCTTATAAAGTGTGTGGCCTCTTATATTTGGATGCTTCTCTGCCATGTTATTTTCAATAAGATTAACATGGCTGAAATTCTTCAAAGAACAAGACGGCACAGGCTTATTGCACAAAAAACTAAAAAATCTGAAATATACAAATGTCATTCATGTACATTATGAATATACTTTTCCATATATTATTGCACAATGGTCTTCCAATTTCTTATTTTTGCCGTTCTACTGACGCAATGAAGCAGTGAAATGGACTCTACTATAGTAGTATTTGAGTTCGCGGACTGACAGACATACAGACAGACTGACAGATGGAGGTCTTCACTACATCCCTACCAAAATTCATTCATTGGGATAATGATAAGGATATAATGACTAAATATAGCAGGGTAAGTTTACCACTGCTTCCAATATGAGATTTTGGAGTTTGGGTGACTGAGATTTTGCAAGAACAACAAGTCACAAAGGACAACAAAGGATTTTTAGATATTGTCTCTTTTACAACATGTACCTACTGCTTAAAAATAGAAACGATCTGGCCTGAATCTTTCACTGATAAAAGACTATGATATCAAAAGGAAAGTGAAAATCTGAAGTGAAAATGATTCATTCATTCACTCAGTTTTAAAAATATTGAAATGCCCAAAATTTCGGCACTTTCTGGTGATAAGATCAATCTTATACTTACAGTGTCGATTCCAGACATTATTATTTTATAGATTACTTATTTCATATACAATAAAACTTCGGCAGAATCGTCAATTTAGAGATAGAGCACCTTCGGCATGTTCTAGATTCTCACATTGATTGATAAACATACAGAGTTAGCATCCGTATATTGACAGTTATTTAGTAGTAAATAGTGAGACTGGATAAAGAAGTTAAACAATCTCATTTCATCGACATGTAGGCCCATCCTTTTGAAAACTGAATAAAACGTGTTTCGAGATTCATTATTTTGCCTGACAAACAAACATACGTATGAAATAGTCGTTCCAACCACGTTTTTTTCAAATGAAATAAATGTTGCTCGATCAGTCTGAGCTCTATTTTTTCAAGAGTTTTCTTCTAGTGTAATCCCGGGAAATTTGAAAGTCTCAAGATTGTTTTCAATATCTGTTAACATAAAACAAAGTATTGGTGACCATTTTAATAATTGATATCGGAAACTGCCCAGTGAAACATTTGATTGAGATACTACTCGGAGATCAATTGTATAAAACACACTTTGTCACTAAAGGTAGTTCAATGACAGAATATTTGCAGGCATGAAGAATTAGTGAAGAACATTTTACCATGACTACTTTCTGACTCTTTAATCTATCTTAGCATTACATCCATCTGTAAATATGAATGCAAAATAGAAGTGGAGATAATCTCATAATCTAGATCAATCTTGAATTTGATTTCCCCAAGTATGAACGTAAAAGATCTCATACCCCCGGGGGTCTAGAATCACATGAATCTAAACACAATGTACATGAAATCAAAATAAAGTTACCACAGTGTTTAAATGATATTCGTTGGAAGCGCAGTACACGTGGACACATGAAGTGAACACTAAGAGCTGAAAACAATGAACCGCGTACTATTTTTAGTTAATAGTACTAGTATATTTAGTGGACATTGATAGATGGCATTGATCACCGATGGCAAGGTAATACATTCTGTGTCCATGTTGATTCAAGAATGATTTTTATTGTTTTAAATTAATTTAATTTTGGATTTAAAGTTTATAAAAGCTTTATCAAAATCATCAGATAATATATTTGGCCTACATTTGTTGTGCTTTATTATCACATGGTTAGGAGTTTATTTGCATTTTAATTGGTCAGTTGTGATGATGTATATTCCGTATCACATGAAACAGTGACTTCATATGAATCCTTATTCAGGGGAAGTTTTACAAGATTCTACATGCTTTTGGGGAATAATTTTGTGTTTGTTTTTAAAAAATCGGGAAATCATGCTCATTCACTGACGGGAAACAAAGAACTTCAGTCCATTTGCATTAACAAAGGCCAAAGAAATTAAAACTTTCAAGTTCAATTATGATATAGACCTGAATGAAAATATATTTGCGTGCTACATATTTCCTTTCCTGTTTCGATCGACGATTTGAATCGACAAGGGGTGCTTGCCTTTGAACAGCACCTCAGCTCAGCATTTTCAACAAATACTAGTATCCCAACTAGCGGAGTAACGACTCTTTTATCAAGATCATGTGTCAGAAATATACTCGTTAATACATTTCTATGTCTTGGGTGGGCTTTAGGAGAAAAAGTATATTTCATAAGGACCAACTGACGTGGGTATCACTTGCAGCATATTACCTTAACGCTTTTATTTTTAATTTAAAAAAAAATGCCATGGATTTATAATTGTTTGTAGGCCTGAAACACGCGCATACTCTTTGTTTAATTGAATTCATTCTTCCGCATACTAAGTGGAATTTCTGAGACATAATCGTGGGAATTTCTTTCCGGGTAAAAATCGCACACAGATAGGTCCTAAACTGCATCTAAATCACAATTTACTATAATTAACCTATATCTGTGTATGATCTATTAAGTCGAATCACCCTTACCTACCCTTTTCACCCATGGTTGACGTCAGCTTACCTCAAGTTTCTTCATAAACTGGCACACAGTTGAGATTTCAATTTGTGTGCAGTCTCACGAACAACTTAGACTTATATTATTTAAGTATCCTAAAAACACAGATGATGTGAAACACATTCTGCTAGCTGAATATACTAACAAGAATAAGCAAGGTCGGTGAACTTTCAAGAAAGAGCATTCATTTTCAAAAAGATTTCCAAAATCTCACGACTTTTACCGCCGGTATGTGCGGATTTTGCAGGAGAGTGCTGTTTGATTGCTACCGCTGTGGATTTTAAAGCCGATTTCACTTGTCGGCGACGGGTATTTTAGTCCCACACGAACTGAGCTCTTGAATATGTAAAAATTCAGTTTCAAGTTGAACAGATCAGCGATTTTCCTGGATGGAATTTTGATGACAATGTTTACAACACATGCCCGTAGCCAGGTTTTGGTTAGGGGGGGGGGGGCTTCCCCCCATCCACACACAATGTTTTCATGCTTAACCAACTTCGCATTGTGACCACAAGGGTGTTATTAACAAGACACCATGGAAACAAGGGAGGAGACCCAAAAATTTCCGCGCTTGCATAGAAGAAAATAAGGGCCCAAATTTTGAAAAATGCCCAGTTATTCCCTTATGTTGTTGAAATGACTAGTTAGTTGATTTAGACGGAACAAAATATGGCCTAGCTTGTGAGTGATGTAGCCAGAGGGCATGCTCCCCGAAAAATTTAGGAGTTTTGGGCAGATTTAGTGCATTCTGAGCAATTCTAGGATCAAAATATATGATCGCGTATTAAAAAAAAGATTTTTTTAGGCTTTTTAGCGCATTTGGACGATTCTGATGCGTTCTGATCGTTCTAAGGTCAAAATATATGATTTACGTCTTTTAAAAAATCGAATTTTTAGGCGTATTTGACACGTTCTAGGCGATTCTAGGATCAAAATATATGATTTATTAAAAAATCAGGGGCATGCTCCCCTGAAAAAGTTAAGTTTTTGGGCATGATTTAGTGCGTTTTGGGCAATTCGAGGATCAAAATATATGATTTATGTATTTATATAAAAATTGAATATTTGGGCTTATTTGGCACCTTCTGAGTGATTAAAGGATCAAAATATGAGCCTGGCCATAGGAAAACTGGTCTTATCACAAAAATTAAAATTGTGCTGCAGAGCCAAAAATGTGCCCGCTCATTTGAAAGGTTTCTCTGTGCTTTTTAAGATAAACAAAAAATCAGAATATTGAAAAAATCTGTGATAACACCCCTTTCTATGTGGCCTGGCTCATATATGATTAATTTCCGAATCATTTAGTTGCCTCGCTATTCTAGTCAATTTAGAATTTTATAAAAAGAAAGTGGCAATCACATCAAAATACACCGTACATATGTCACCAAATGTTACAATCTACCTCGAAATGACAGAAAATTCTTCAAGAAAGCAAAAAGGTATGTCCACATTATTTTAAGAGATATTTGGGGGGGGGCTCGCACGAGCCCCCTGGCTACGGGCCTGCAACAGTATATTGTGCCCTCCCGCTCAGACGCACGTCTATCAGCACACTTGTACATTATGCACTATGAGAAAGTACGATAAAAATAGCTCGATCCTCCACAGAGGACGAATCTTCCGTTGACACCCCGTGAGTTTCTTAACGGTTAAGGCGCAGGATAAACTCTTGATGGAGTGAAATGTTTTTGAGTACAATGCAATTTATATTAAACGAACAGGGTAACAAAAGGATCATAAAAATGTACGCCAAAACTAGGTCTAATGCCACAATCAATTTTTTAACTTGGGGAAGTGACTACCTTCGCTGATTTACATTTCCGAGTGACTCATTAATGTAGTTCTATTGAGGTATTGTAAACAGTTAAAAGTGTTTTGGATTGGGGACGGACTCATAACCGATGAAGTATTAGAGGAGCTAACATAAAAGAAGGAATCAAAGGTACGTAGCATATCTTTCTTATCAAAAAATGTTTTGCCTTCTTAGTTTAATTTTCCTGCTTTTGAATATCTAAAAAAGCCCTTTGGAGATCACTAAATAAAATAGGTCTCGCACTAAAGTTCTTTTGATAAACTTGACTAACGCATCGGTATATTCTGAAAAGAAAATGGTTCAAATATACAATGGAGTTGTCCTGCTTAGGTGAATTATCATCCTTGAAAAACACCTCAAATTATGCACAATGAATTTCGAAAATAAGGTCAGCATATGAATTATGGAGCTATTTGAATATTTAGATGTTTAAAAGGACTCTCTTTATTTTATTTTAAAACCAAATCATTAAAACATTGCTATTTGGAGACATGCATATGTATTTACATTGGTGTTCATGATTTAAACTAAACTGAAAGAGTTCTGTAAAAATAGTCTTTTATAAATGCATATTGTGTCCAATATTGCGATTTCTATAGTTCAAAAGAATTCTTTTAGCGCGCGCATTCAAAGAACTACATTTGTTTTTCAATAGAATAAATAGAAATTGAGTTTTTTAGTCGTAATAAATCTAAAAATTAAGTTTCACCCCAGTGTTTTAAAATGTCCCGCCACAACATTATTTATTGTATTTTCATTTCCCATTTTACTAGACCGTTTCTGACAATGAAATTTTTTACTATTTACAGTTTTTTTTATTATTTGGCATATTTCTAAAAAGTGACGAGATTCTTGCTGTGGACCATATCATATACAAAGATAGGTGATGGAACAAAGAAGCATGGCCATGACCACCTCTCTCCCGCATGTATATAAGAATGGATTTGAATAATATTTTTGATTAAGTGTCACCCAACATGTTTTCAACCTGTCACATAGTGCATTTAAACTATAATATCTCAGTAAAAAACAATATGATTTATTCTCCACTTCTCTTGAATATATGCCACCTTGGACTTTAATGGGGACATAGAATGCTAAAATGTGATTTGGATGATTTTGTAATATATAATTGGTAAATCAAACAATCAAACAAAACCATTGTTTCAAAAGGTCAATATACATGTATATGGCTATATTACAGTTTTTGTCTTACAATGTCAAGGTCATAAGCAAAGATAAAGGGCCTCAATGGGTCAAAGGTCAATATAGATTATGATTTTTAGTGCAAATGTCAGGTGTGAGTCTATATAAAAACTTTTGGTAGAACAGGGATATGATTTCATTATTTCATTATTTTATTGTTTAGGATGGAAATGGGAAATATGAACAGTTTAAGCAAATGATTTAAGATTCATTTGGCGTCATAGGTCAGATTTTAACAAAAAAGCCATCTACTAACATCTTCAGTATTTCAATCTACACTCGTAGCCATTTGAGTTTAATTGTTTGCATTTGGTTTAATTTCATATTTTCTTGTATCAGCCTGTCGGGATGCCACTCAACCAATATATATGTATTCTATATCAATATGAATCTCTTTAACTAAGCAGTTAACCTTGGCATTAACCTTCTGAAAATCAAATATTGCAAAAAACTTACGCCTTTATAATTCATAAAGAATTCATAAAAAGCCATAATTAATATATCAAGAGTCTTCAACTTATTTTGCGTTATGAGTTATTGGTATGAGAAGTAGTCAACCCTTTTGAAGTATATCATAGATCCATATTCAATGGATTGGCATTGCCAAGGCTTTCAATACAGTCTTTAATTGTCCCAACTTATAACCGCATAAACAATTTTTATGATCATCTTTCTAATGTTGAACAACTTTTCAAAATATGATCAAGTTGTTCTACACAATTTTAATAAAACTGAATCCAGAGTTAATGTCGGTTCTTCAGTTACTGGAGTCGCTATTGATAAAACTTTGAGTTATACCATTGTGGTTTTTATTCTAGGATGGATAACGCTGGATTCGATAGTCGGAGTCGAAATGGCTCTGTGGGCCAATCGTCCGATGACATCAGACTGGAAATGAACAGAGTGCCATCTGTCGACCAAACACTCTCGGACAAAGACAAACGCAACCTCCCCCCTTACTTATCGGATAAAAGCACACTTAATTTAGCAACGGAGAGAAGGAGATCGTCAAAATATGAAATCCTTGTTGGAAATGTACAACTTGTTGTTCATGGATTCTTTACAGGTGATAAAAAGAGAACCAGAGTCTTGTTGTGGATATGCGCAGCTGTGTTTGCAGTCGCTTGGGTTGTCTACCTTGGCTTTGCCAACGCCCACAACATCCAAACCGCCATTCCATTGGACATTATCACTGGATTTGTGATATTTTGTATTGCGTACTATCTCGTCAAAAAATATTTTGGAAAGGCTATCTATAAAAAATGTTTCAAACCTTTAGGTGCTGCTATTGACAGATATTGGAAGGTTCTAAAATGGTAAGTTGGTACTATAGACACTAATAAATAGACTTTTTGGTGCAGAAAGGAAACTGCTTATCTTTTTTATAAGTCGATACGCAGTGTTTTGCGAAATTCACCAATTTACAATTTACCAGATGAACAAGTTTTCCTCTTTCTTGGGATATCTTTGGATATGGAATATGATTTTTAAAGAGATTGCTTGAAATGTTTTCTCCTCTATGATGCTCTATTCAGTTTCTTTCTCATTGCCAGGATTCTGCTTGCATTGGTTCTGACAAGCCTTGGTCTTATACTTTACTTCATCGTGGGAAAAGACAGGCCGAAGAACCTGATTTCAGTAGCTGGAACTGTTGTTATAGTTCTCTTTTGTTTCGTCACTTCGACAAACCCAGCAAAGGTAGGTCCACTTTGCTATTTTTTGAACACTTCCTTTATGCCCAGTGTTCCTCAGCAGTGTGGTATGTCACTTGGATCAATGGATCAAGATTGCAAGTGTTCTGATTGGATCTGGTTAGATCTAATTAGATTTAATTCATTTCGCATACCTTGCTTGGGTAAGCCTTTTGCCCACATTCAGTCACATTTCCACAATCTTTATTGCCCTTGATTTAACGTATTCCGTGTAGAACACAAAGTCAATTGATCTGTTTGGATATGGATAAAGCTTTTGGCTAATTCAGCTAGGAGGCCGACGGCACAAAAGCGGTGATTATTAAAAAAAAGTTAGTGGTCTTCCGCGGGACTATATTCTATGACGGCATTCTCAAGAAAAAATTCAGTGTATACATGAAAAGTTGAGCGGCTCGTGCGCATTCATATTCTTGCATATCTTTATGATATTTGGTTGGATGGTAGATTATATCTAGATCTATAGAATGAATTAAATTAAATCACACATTGAAAAGAATTGGAGGTAGAAAAATCGCGCCGGCCGATCAACTTTTTTTGGACAAAAAAAATCTTATTTTTTCAACATTTTAGCAAAAACTGTAACGATCATACAGTTTTGGATATTTTTTCCTGAAACTTTCTGAATATTGACTCCCTTATGTGGTTTAATTTATGTGAAAAAATTGGGAATTTATGATCATTTCAATGTAGTTTCCGTAAATCTCAAAGTTAGGTGAGTCACTTTTTAAAAATGGCCATTTTTGAGCTATGGCGTCATCAAAGACGTTCTCGGATAACGTGAACAAGGAATATAATTTGCTTTTGTTTTACAAGTGCGTTCTCAATGAGTCTTAAATTTTCACAATTTGTTGTATTTATTCTTGGGTTTCAAATTATGCAATTTTGAGAAATAAATGTAATGAGGATATACCAAGATATTATCATTTAAATCAGGAAAGCAAATTGACTGCATTCCCTACGACGTGTTTCGCTTTCATTTTTACGCCATTTTTGGTCGCGTACCTCTTTGGCTTAAAACTGTAACAATTTGTCAATTTTTTATAGATCAATCTCAAATTTTACGTGTGGTATATTCAATATTTTTCAAAATATTGTAGCGATTTTTTTCTAAAATAAAACGTTAATACAAATAATAAAACTTTATTCGAAAATGATGTTTAAAATTTGTGAAAAATATTGATTTCGTTTTGACGTCGGATTTGTCATTTAAAGTAAAACTTGGTGTCATCACTTTCAACATATGTTTCTCATTATAAAACTGAATAATGTAGACTTAAATGTATTCACAGCTGAAGATTATATTCTTATTTGGAAAAGTATTTACTTTTGTGATGTTTGATGCTGTATTTTTAGAACAATTGACCATGACATATTGACCTCTTAAACTATACAGAGTGAGAAACCAATATTGTGCCGTTTTATACAAAACAAACAAAGCCCTGTCAAAGTACTTGTCTATTTTGCAATTTAAACAGTATCAATTTGAATAATTTTCTTAATGTTAAACTATTTAATTTAAGAAAAATGGTTTTAATTCTCATGAGAGCCGTTAGAATATTAACAATCAATGACAGGTTCATTGACTTACCCTGTACCTACCCGGAAGTGGAAGGGCAACTTTGTGAGTGCAATTTTGTTTGTTCCAATGGATCTCGAAAGGAAAAAGAAAATATATTTTAGATTTAGATCTAGATTCAATAAACCTCGTATATTTGATGTATATACTACATCAGTAAATATGTAGAGACTTAAGTTTCATATCACAGACATAGAAGTGTCTTGTTCATTTCAATGTGACTACTAGCAGGCTGAAAGTGAAAGATTTAAAAATTTAGAGTTCCAAATCGGACGGAAGGTGTTTTTAGAATTATAATTATGCTGAGTTGAGAGGAATGGAGGACAAGTCAACGGACCTTTGGGATGACAACATGATGGAACATCAAGAGCAAGCATCACCAATTGTGTCAGACATACATGTAATTCTGTAACCTTATCATCACATGCAGCGCTCACCATAAATAAATGGCACAGCTGGACTTGCTGAAGTGAGGATTTCCCATGTTATAAAAAGTAAGCTTGACAGTTGATTGTTTGGGATATGCAGGCCTGTAGACACTTTTTACCAATGGGAGGGGTTTTACCAAGGGGGAGCTTTTGCCAAGGGGGAGCTTTTTGACAGTTTTGGCCAAAATTTTATGCAAAAGGTGCTCGAACTGGTGAAAACTGCATAATTTTGAAAGAGGGGCCTTGCTACGGGCCTGATAAGGTACAGCATGAGCATAGGCCCAGGTCAAAGTATAGTATAAGTAAGTCCAATATAATATTCACAGGTGCCCCACTTCAGTTGAAATATTTAAAAATCTCGCAGTCTAGGTACGAATTCTCCTAACTCTGGCGTTTCAATAACCGCCCGCGAGCGGCGAAAACGCCACCTCAAATCCCAGTTACGCTGGTTCAAATATACCCTATGGGAATAGAAGTTCTGCTCGAAAGCCGATTTTCAAAATGGCCGCTCATTTCAAAATGGCAGCCATTTTAGTGACGATTTTACAGTAATTTAGGTGCAATATGTAAAACTGTAATAGCAATATGTTTTAAATGTAAAAAAATTATAAAGGACATTAATAATGCTACAAATGTAGATATTAAAGAAGCACATGGCAGCCATCTTGAAAAATGGCGGCCTTTACTCGTCATTTTACGATTTTTGCTGTAACTCAAAAAGTAGTAGAGCGATTTTGTTCATATTTGGTATGTGAATACTATAAGCATTGCACACTGTCTAAAGACACTTTTGGTAGAAGGCGGCCATTTTTCAAAATTTTAACGTATTTTACTATAACTCGAAAAGTAGTGGAGCGACTTTGTTCATATTTGGTATGTGAATACTATAAGCATGGCACACTGTCCTATGACACTTTTGGTAGAAGGCGGCCATTTTGAAAAAAAAATTGAAAAATGGCCGCCATTTTAACATATTTTACTATAACTTGAAAAGAAGTGGAGCGATTTTGTTCATATTTGGTATGTGAATACTATAAGTATGGCACACTGTCCTATGACTCTTTTGGTAGATTTGATATGTGCGAATACTTGAAGCATGGCACATTGTCTAATAAAACTTTAGGGAGTAGTCGGCCATATTGAAAAATGGCCACCATTTTTATGTGTGTTATTTTACAATTACATGTGCGATTTTTCAAAAATTTTAGAGGTGGCTACTTAAAAGCATATTATTTCTTCTGATGACAACTTGGCTAGTGAGCAACCATTTTGAAAATGGTGGCCTTTCTGGTGTGTTGTTTTATGATATTTGCGCTTCGTTTGTAAAAATGCCAGCCATTTCTGTTCGATGGGATTCGCTACGCTTTGGCGTTGCCGTTGTTCTGGTTGGGTCAGTAGCAAAAAACCTTTATCACTGTCCTGCCAACTTTCAATGGATACTACACATAAACTTGAAATTACACATGAACTTGAAAACATACAGTTCAATTAGGGGAGGCATCAAAAGATCAATGTCTGATAGAAAACTAAATAAATCTAGTTTGGGGGGAGGGGGTCAAAGCTATTTCAGTTTGCTATCCGACAAATTTCAACATTTGAATTTTTGGGAATTTCGACTCGAAATGCCTTGGAATGGTTTAAAAATAAAGACTTTACCAGATGCCTTCTTCACAAATATGCAGGCAACATGGAATATTATGCCTATTGTTGTTGGCATATGTTTTAAGAATCATGAATAAGTTCTAGTACTACCCCCATAAAAGTCCAAATTGAGTCGCAAAAACATGTGAAAGTCCGCGATCAACTTTCATTGTATTAAGTTTTGAGGGGGAGGGGGGGGGTCCAACTCAAAACTAGATTTATTTAGTTTCCTATCAGACATTGAACTTTTGATGCCTCCCCTTAATACAATTGATCTTCTTGGCAATATCTTACATCATCTCAACATTTGAAAACAAATAAAATATTACAAGTCAAAAAATCAAAAATACATATCAAACTATTGAATGTTGATCTTCAATATTTCATTGAGATTGATAATTGTGTCAGAAAGGAATATTGAGTTTATTAATTAACATCAGAGTGAGGAGGAACAAGGGGCAACATTGAAAAACAAAGTAATAAGGAATAAAATTAATTAACAATCAATTATGTATTGATATGCTTTATTAAGATCAATCGCTCATATACAGTTTGCATTTTAGTGACAGGAAAATACTGATTTTATCATTTTACATCACAGTGAAGAAACATACGAGGCAACATTTAAAAATACATAATGTAATGAACAAGTCAAATAGATCAATTGCTCATATACAGTTTGCATTAAAGTGACAGGAAAATACTGATTTTATCCTTTTACATCACAGTGAGGAAGCACAAGGGGCAACATTAGAAAAAGCATAAAGTAATGAACATTAAAGAGATCAATTGCTCATATACAGTTTGCATATGGCAGGAAAATACTGATTTTATGATTTTGCATTGAGACACCCTGTATATATGCTTTTTATTTCAATATATTGAGTCGAGCACCTCCATGTATGAAGGAGATTGCGAGCGAAGCGAGCGGCGAATGGTTGAAACAATTTCAGCCTGTTGAGATTACCAAGGGCCTGTTGAAAAAATATTTATTGAAACCCCTGCTAACTGGTATCAAATTGTACATGTATTGCCAAATCTGTCCAAAATCTTCTTCAAAGTGGTTCTATGTAAGTTCATCTCTCTGGTTTATATATTATATAAAAGACTAGGGGATACTAGTCGAAAGTCTCAATGGGATAAGTATTCTCTGAAGTAATGAATAAACTTATTTAAACATTCTTCAAAGTGTTTTTCAAACTTTTGCATATAATATTAGACTTACTAATACTTTAACCTGGGCCTATGAACATGAGAGTGATGAAATTTGAGCAAACTGATATTTTCATTGTTTCAGAAAGATTTGGTCTAGCTTCTTGATATTTTTATTTGTAAATGTTAGAGATACCATAGGACGAAAATAAGAAAATTCTAGTCTATATTATATTCACCATGCATTTTGGAAGTTTAGGGTCATATGCATGCTCCAGATGTAGTATATGGTATAAGGCGCAGGTAAATTTCACTGAGATAAAACATGAATTCAAATTCATTGTGTTGTACCTAACCCATTACCATTTGGGTTAAAAAGATAAACATTTCGACTCTGATTAAAAATTGTGTAGAAATAGACTATTAATTATCATTCTTGTCTCATAACTTTTTATTCTAGCTAATACATAGATTGAATCTTCTCTGCTGCTGTAACATAAATGTTCTCTCTTTTCCTTGCTTAAAATGATCATATATTTTAAAATAGAATTTTCGGATTCCATTCTGAACTGTAAAATTATGTATTATTTAATATATGTGTAATAATTTTCAGTTTCAGGAATGAATTGATACTGTGGCTGTTAGAAGACAATGAACTTTTTATGAAGGCATATATCAGGTAAATAATTTCTGTTTTAACCTTCATTAGCACATTCTATTATACAACCTAAATGGTATTTTGGGGTAACGGAAATTATACCCCAGATCTAAATGCTGACTTATTTTTTTTCTACGCAATATCTCATCTTGGTGCATTTTGGTTAACAACCTCCAGAATGAATGCTTTGGCTCAATGGAAATGCCATAGAGCACACTGATAAGGTGACAGGACCAAGTCTTTCAAAAAACAATTGAAAAAGGCAATCACACCAAAACTGTTAATCATATTGAAGGTGCTGTGCATGTTTGTTTTGTTGTGATGGCCTTTTCCTGAATCATTTCCACTTGATAGATCTAAGCAGAAAGATTCAAACTGTAAAATTGCAGACTTCTGATACTTGACTACTCATTTTTCAGATTTTGTAAAAGCAACAACTGAATGGCCTATTGAAAGGATGTTTTGATGACAGCATACTTTGACTTCGGAGCAAGAGGGTCAAACAGCATCCTGTGGGATCAGCTGGACTTCTGTTGCTGTCTAGAAATTTCTGAACATTGACTATGAATACAACAGTCTTCCTACACCCCTCCTGTGTATGTTTGAACAGTCTAAACCAACCATATGACAGTAGTGTTGGGACAGTTAACTCAATTCCAACAAACAAGGTTTGGTAGGGATATAGTGAGCCCCCAGTCCATCCATTGAACAACTAAAATACTAGTGGATGGATTTTTTCATATTTGGTGGAAAGCTGTGTATTGGTAATTGTTTTAAGCAAAAAAAACAATTTTCGAGATGGCTACCACTTTAAAATGTCAGGATTTTTTGTGAAAATCTAAAATTTTTAAGCAAAGTGGTGAATATTTCTGTTTGAAATTTTGGAAGTAAATTCACAAAATACATCTATTTCACCTATATTACGTGTTTTTCAGCCTGACCCCTAGGTATGTGTATGGGGTCGGGAATACTGGAATTTTCGTTTGTTTTGAGATCTTTTTTCAGTACATGTATAGCTCTATAATGCTAAAATGAAAGATTAATTCAAACAGATTTCAAGTTAAGTATTGTTTTTCCAATTTAGATTCAAGAAAATTCAAAGGGGCTGTCTAAATTGGGATTTCACAATTTCCCGACCACTTCCAAAAATAAGGCTATATGCAGATATGGCTATATTACACTCAAATTGAAGGCATTTCAGAGTAGATCACAATAATGGTATTGTTTTTCTTATTTGATCCTCAGAAAATTCAAAATGGCGACCTAATAGGGAATTTCACAATATTTCACCCATCTCTTCAAAGTAAGACTATTATTATACTCAAATTGTTATATTATTATTATTATTATATTGTTTTCTGATTCTTCCCTCAAACTGGGCACATTATATAACATTAGATCTCAAATACATGTAATGTGTTGTCTTTATGATCTCTGAAATAAACAATCATATGTGTATAAGGTATTATTGGAAAGATTATTCAATTCCCAGTATTTTGAGCTTACTTTCAAGTATATTGAGCCATTATTAATGAAGAAATTCATTTTATACGAACACAAGGATTTATCGTTTCAAGTCAAAACTAATGAAAATTTGGGCATGTCAGTAACTTTAACAAGCTCAACTTTTCTCCTAGGTGGGCACGCCCGGTGATCGTACAAAATGGATGGAGGGGGGGATTAGACGATTTCTGCAAGAAAACTCAACAAATTTGGACGATTTATTTTTTCAAGAGAAAATTAACGACTGAATTGCCAAATGAATAGGCGCAGTGCATGGCAAAATATGTTAGGTCATCTAGTATTTTTTTTGAACTGATACCCTTCTAAGATATGAGATCTATTAAAAAAGGCGCATCATCACCAACGTGCAAAAGTCAATGTTTTTGCTATAAATCAGGCAACAATGGTCTACACGACCTGTAATAAATAGGTATAAGGGACGTTATTATCACAATACTAATGACATTGCTCACTTTTTAAAGCTAGTCTCCAGGCGTTATAGAAAAAATAATCGAAATAAATTAATATTGGATGGAGGGGGGATTGGATGGAGGGGGGGATCACGTGTATGTAAGACATGATAAGACATGCTACTTGAATTTATTCTTATGACTCCAAATTTTCCCATTTTTCATTCTCCAGAGATATAATATCCAGTTTCTTACTGGGGTACTGAGTTTAGTTTTTTAAAATACGCGAGTTCTTGTAAATTTGTTCCATCGCAAAGACATATAAATCCCCCCTCCATCCACTCCCCCCTCCATCCAATATTAATTTATTTCAATTATTTTTTGTATAACGCATGGAAACTAACTTTAAAAAGTCAGCAATGTCATTAGTATTGTGATAATAACGTCCCTTATACCTATTTATTACAGGTCGTGTAGACCATTGTTGCCCGATTTATAGCAAAAACATTGACTTTTGCACGTTGGTGATGATGCGCCTTTTTTAATAGATCTCATATCTTTGAAGCGTAGCAGTTCAAAAAAAATACCAGATGACCTAACATATTTTGCCATGCACTGCGCCTATTCATTTGGCAATTCAGTTGTAAATTTTCTCTAGAAAAAATAAATCTTCCAAATTTGTTGTGTTTTCTTGAAGAAATCACCTAATCCCCCCCTCCATCCATTTTGTACGATCACCGGGTGTGTGGGTTAAAGGAACATATTTTCGCTAAAACATGCCTCATGAAATTTAAAAAAAAATTTATTTGACCTTGTACACTACCATGGTGTATTGTCACTCTATAAACAGGTCCTTTTTACTTGATTTTTGTATGATAAAAAATTATGTTTGGGTCTGTTTCAAAGGACCAGGTACAGTATGGCAAGTGATTTTGGACAGTCATATCTTAATCCATTAGTACTTTCTTGCCAAAGGGAAGTGGTTTTTAGCTCACATGGTGAGCTTTTGCAATCACTCACTTGTCTGTCCATGAGTCCGTCCGTCGGTCCGTCCGTCAACAAAAGTGGCACGTTTTAAAACCTCTGTCGATAGGATTCTTGTTTTGAGTTATTTTTGTTCAACATCAATACAGAAAACTCCCCTCCGACCCCTGGTTCTGAAGCTCGCCTATTTTCAAGATGGCTGCCATTTTTCAGCAAAAAATTGTATCCGTTTTTTTATTTTCAGCCATTTTAGTTAACATGGATTTGTCCATCTGTCTCGCGAAATCCACTTTTGGACCATTTGCCTGAAAACCTCTGTCGATAAGATTCCTGTTTTAAGTTATTTATGTTCAACATAAATACAGAAAACTCCCTTATGACTCCTGGTTCAAAAGCTCGCCTATTTTCAAAATGGCCACCATTTTTGTCTCGCGAAATTCACTTTTGACCCATTTCCTAGCTTTACAAATAATTTCAGGTGTCCTGCATTGTAAAATCCATGTCAATGTAAAGAGTAGTTGTATGAAATAATTTTGTAACAAAATATCAGCAAAATATCATATCCGTTTTTTTTTATTTTCAGTTATTTTAGTTAACATTTATTTGTCCATCTGTCTCTCAGTCAGTCCAAGATGGTGGCAAGTTTAAAAACCAATGTCTGTCAACACTTGGCTCTTTTTAAATCCTCTGTAGATAGGATTCCTGTTTTATAATATTTTTGTTCAGCATCAATAAAGAAAAAAAACCTGTGACTCCTGCTTCAAAATCTCGCCTAAAAACATCATATCCATTTTTTTATTTCCTGTCATTTTAGCCATCATTCACTTTTGAGCAACACCATGTGAGCCCAGTACCCACGGTACTAATTTTTATTTAAAACAATGTGCTTTCTTTCAAGTGAAGTTCCAACAATTCCACTTGTGGAGGTGTTCCATTTAAAGAGGTGTTCCACTTTACAGGTTTTGAGAAACCTTCTAAAATCACTTGCCATACTTACCCTGGTCCTTTATGTTGGGTTATTAGGTATTAGACATGGATATGATATTAGATAAAATAAGATTAAACAAGTAGTATTACTAAAATATTATTAAATAAGAATTATGAAATAAATTTAGTTGAATAAATGACAGAACTAAATTTGCTTGCCGATCCTGAATTAATGATTTATGCAACACAACATGATATCATGTTTTAAATTTCACTCTGTATTAATGCTTTAAATGCTATAATCATAGAGTTAAGTTCGGACATATTTCCTATTGTATTGCAATTAAGTTGTATGTTGTAGGCCTAGGCCTATATCAGTATGACCTACACCAAAAGAAATAAAGCAATGTAAATACGTATATGTTACTATACTTATTGTATCTTTATTATCCCAACGAACGAAGTTCTGTAGGGATATAGTGAAGCCCTCCGTCTGTCCGTCTGTCCGTCAGTCACTCTGGAGGCCAAGAGAACTTATCCTAGTATTCATGTTGGAACTTGAATTCGTCCGTATGTCCGGAAGATAACTCGAATACTAGTCAACAGATTTTCTTCATATTTGGTGGAAAGATGTATATTGGTGAATAGTTTTACGCAATTTTTTTTTCAAGATGGCCGCCAGTTTGAAAATGCCGGGAATTTTTCACAAAAATCTTATGTTTTTCATTTTAAACCAAAATAATAAATATTATTATTTGAAATTTTGTTAGTATATTAACAACATCTGTCTATTTCACATATATATCCCCAGTTTTTCACCCTGACCCCCAGGGGCCGTAAACAGTAAATGGGGGGGGGGGGGGGGGGGGTTGAGAAAACAGGAATTTGCGTTAATTTTGAGATGTTTTTGAAGTATAGCTTTATTATACTCAAATGAAAGGCAATTAAGAGTAGATTGTAAATATTGTAGCGTTTTTCTGATTCGGGCCTCAAAAAATTCAAAATGGCCGCCTAATGCGGGATTTCGCAATTATTTTCTGATATCTTAAAAGTATGGCTATATTTACTCAAATTGAAGGTATTTCAGAGTAGATCACAACTATGGCATTGTTTTTCTGATTTACGTCTTTGAAAATTCAAAATGGCTGACTAGAGCAGAAATTCGCCATTTCTTAGATTTACATGATGCTACAATGATTTAATATATTTATTGAAGGTAAGAGTAGATGGTAAATATTACTTTGTGACTGTACAGATTGATGATTTATATAGTGTTCGTTGGGATTTGCTACTCCGTGGAGTTGCCATTTTCTAGTTCCTTATTGAGTTCAGTACAGAGTGATCATGACAAATATATCACAAAAATGGACATGCATCATGACAGCCTAAGTTATCTAAATGTCATTTGAGCCATAGAGTACTGTTCTTTTTCCTCCCAAACATTTACATAATGATCTAATTTGGTGGGTGTTTGGTGCACAGCTGGAAAATATTTGAAATACGATTTTGTTTCTATTATATGACTTCGAATTCAATGAGAAATAATTAAGAAAAATATTATGTAGACTAGTATAAAAATTCATTTACAGCGCGCAGAAGAAGCTAAGACGATTCTCTCGGATTTACATAAATCAGTCAAAATTGGAGCACAGTACGTGTTCGTGAGTTTAATGTCCATATTACGTGTTTAGTACCATAGTACGTGAGGTTTGAACTATTCCATATCATAAATGAGAATATTTTAACTGAAAGAGGAAAAAATGACACTCTTGTCTATTCTAAAAATACGGAATTTACACATGTAATCATCATTCCGATTGGAATGACGCGCTAAAAAAGATTCGCAGGCCAGCGGAAATTGTGCCGTAAAATATGGCGCCGTTTTAAATGCGCCCATAGTGGAAACAAATGTACCAAATCCATCTACTTCATCCAATCACAACGCCTTTTCTCTTAGCTGTTATTTGGAACATGTGTAATGTAATCGGATGAAAACATATTTTCTACACAAAATTGGCATCTTGAATTCGAATTTCGAACATTCGTCTTTAAGAAATGAAAACGATCCGTCTTTAGAATAGATTAATTGTTCAAAAGTGTCCGTATCTTTAAACCCTAATACTATTTTCAAAGTGTCTTATTGTAGATTGATTTTTCAATTTCATAACTTGATATTTGGCGTACACATTATACAATACGCCTTTACGAGACTTATGTCATTTCGATCGTTTTATTTGGAATTTCAATGGGCGAATTTCATGTTCAAGCTTGATGTCAACTGAAATACATTCATGAACTATTTATGTCGTCAACTTGGATTTTGGGCTAAAATGACGCCATTTTAGAGTTTTCATTATAGTAAAAACTGTAACAATTTTTCATGTTTAATTGAATCATTCTTGTTTTTTGTGTGCCTAAAATTCGATATATTGCTCACGCTGTGGTCGTCTTATATATATTTTGCATTAAATATTCATCCTTAAATTTAATTCCAGATTTCTTTGACGAAAATGCATGATTTAAGAAATAATTACGTCACACGTTATTTTTGTCCCAATATTAGCCCCGTTTTAGCAGTTTTCGTATTTTTAAATTAAAAAATGAATACTTAATCGTTATTGGATCAGATAGATATTTCGTATACATGAAATTAAATACATTCCGCGAATAATGGGTGATACATATTTTTTATGTAACAATATTTATTTGGTGTGCGAAATGCCTAAACTTTAGAGAGAGAAACTACAGCTAGACCCGTGATTTGTGTCGTCAAACACGTTATTTGTGTAAAAAATGAGCCGTTTTAAGTTTGAGGTTTAGTTAAAACTGTAACGATCGTTGGATTTAAAGTGAATCTAAATAATTTTTCCATGAGCATGATTTTCGATACATTATTCAACTTTTGTACGATCTAAAATAAATCATAAAAATAAATTATTCTATGAATTAATCAGACAAAGTCGAAGTTCAAAAATGTTAAAAGTAGCCCCTTTTCCAACGCATTTTATACCCATTTCCCGTGGTTTCGGGCAGTTGAAAAATACACCATTAGAAAGAGGAAGTACTAATTATTATAGGCATACTATTTTTATTTTATTAAAGTAACATCTTGATTGCTTAACAACTCGTTAAAAACCATGCCCAATCGAGCGTAAACAAGTAGTTCGAAAATGCCGAAATTATTACTACGCACTTTTTTTTAAAAACCGGTAAACAACAATGGGTTTATAACGTCGGCCGACAGACTGATTACGATTCCAAAATAATATTTGTATGTCGTGATGAGGACATAAGATCTGGATGTTTATACTTTACTTTATTACACATTTAAATTCTTTCATAAGATAAGGTGCTAAAATCCCGAAACACCTAGAATATCTGGTTGACTATTTGTTCTACCATATAAGGAGACCCATTTATTTGCACAAATGTCATAAACTGAAATTTCGTAAGCAAAAAAACAATATGTATTGAAAACACAAAAGCAAATGTCATAAACTCAAATGTCGTAAGCGTAAAAGAAAATGTTCTGAAAACAAAAAAGAAAAGTGACAATAAAAAGTATAACCATAATACCATGGGACATTTCATTCATACTGGAGTCAATTGTTGAAGAAATGTTGAAGAACAATTAAAAGAAGAAGATCAAAATAGCCATGGCTACTACATGTATAGTACCAAAGGCTTAAAGTCCCCGATAAATCGGGCTACGTATACCGCCGTGTTTACATTAGGGGATTAGAAGAGTTTATTTTTTATTTAGGTATGCAAGCTACGTATATCAATATTAGGCCTTCATTCATGTACTCGTGTGCATGTAATCAGCGTGCCCTTCAATATTATGTAAACCAGGCTATTCAAGTATAATGTACACTATTTATGTGTGTACTACATACAATACAATTCCCCGGGAAACAAAACACAAATACGTTTTATATGTTCAAAATGAGCCATTTGATTGATGCAAACACTAAATAGCTTCATAAATAACATCTACAAAGTATATCTAATAGTAATTTTCAATTTCAATGTTGAAACTTCCCTGGTTAAGATTATATGGGAAATCATCACAAGACGAAGATCGTTCGCCTTCCTGGCTTACCTCTGAATCGTGTACCGGGCAATCTCTTTATATAGTTTAGCGAGAGCGGTGCGCCTGCGCAGTTTTAAACTTTGGCGCAAGGAGGATTGGCTCCCAGGATCGAAACTCGATATTTTCCAACAATGAAAACGTCGAAATGTCGTTATTTTCTGAAATTAAAACCGACTATAAATTCAAAATAAACAGTTCAAAAGATTCGAACCAATATCTCGATCATTTCTTGTGAGTTTTGGAATTTTTCGTTTGGAAATAAGACCAAAATTTACGATTTAAATGTTGAAGTGAACAAAATGGCGGCTGTTTGAATTCGAATTTTGTATTACGACATACCCATATATGGGACAGAATATCGGTGGTGCACTCTGGGAGCCAATCCTCCTTGCTTTGGCGCACACTTTAAGCATTTAATCTCAAATAATGTGGGACAGACTTTAGTCTCCGTTTGCAAAACCGCCGTCATATTTAATACTATAAGGTAAAAGACATTAACATTTTATTTACGACTTGACATTTAGATTCTTGAACGTACTCATAAGCAACATATAAACGACTATGATTTTTTGTAGGTGAAATGGCGGCCAGTGTTATGGGGTTTGTCAATACAATTGATATTTGGTCTACTTGTCCTGCGCTGGGAACCTGGCTATGAAGCATTCTCGTGGATGTCCAACCAAATCAAAGTGTTTCTTGAATATGCAGCTGTCGGTTCAGAGTTTGTCTTTGGGGAGCTCTACCAAAATCACCCGTTTGTCTTTGAGGTAATAGAGCTGTGTTTGCAAAAAAAGCTTTGAAATCTCCTTGAAGTTTCGTTTTTAATGAAATTTTAGAGTATCTGCATTTTGAACAATTAAAGACCAACATTTTCTTCTATTTGATGACATATTTGAATTCTGTGTGAAATTTTGAACAAACATGAACTATTTATATCCACCTTTAATATTCCAATTCAGTGCTCGCATTTGCGATTTATATTGGGAATAAACTATAAGGGTTGGGTTTACGGAGGAATGGTAGCCGAGACCACTTGGCCGATGCTATTAATTCTCCTAAAACCCAATACGAATGGTTTCTCACTGGACACTGAGTATTACAATTATATGATTCTATATTTTAGGCCATACCACAGGCAATCTTCTTCAGTGCGTGCATCAGCATTCTGTATCATGTTGGCTTAGTCCAGCAAGTGATCCTGAAGCTCAGTTGGCTGATGGAGGTCACATTATATGATTCTATATTTTAGGCTATACCACAGGCAATCTTCTTCAGTGCGTGTATCAGCATTTTGTATCATGTTGGCATAGTCCAGCAAGTGATCCTGAAGCTCGGTTGGCTGATGGAGATCACGTTAGGAACAACTGCAGTCGAGTCCCTAAATGCGACGGCAAATATATTCATCAGTAGTGTAAGTATACTAAACAAATTGCAAATCAATGATGATCTTTCATCAACAAACTTCTCGAACCAGGATATAAATAAACAAAGCTATAGTATTCTTACTGTTCAAAAAGCATACTCAGTTATCGACGTTTCCCTTATACGATAAAGTTAGAGCATATAGTGCATTACTTCTGGGACAACCCTCGTACTAAAAGAATTAATATTACTAATCAATAATGGACCTTGCTTTCAACGAGTTAAGGTAGAATCGAAAAAAGGGTGTCCACCTTTTGTAGATTCCGTAGTGGACATCAGTTTGAATTAAAATTGTGGATAACTTTTATTGTTTGTCCGGGGCAGCTGTGATTTGAAATACTATATTTTATTAGTAATAATATTGTTTATATTCGGTCAGAGCCGATATGGTGAATTATTTTCTTGTTTATTGGTGGGCCGAGGGTCTGGGACAGCTGTAGATTGAAATATATTGTATTGTACTGTGAATTAAAACTTTATTGTTTGTTGAATCGATAGGTGGAGGCAGCTGTGATTATCAAAGACTTTCTACCCAGGTTGACGTATTCTGAGCTCCACGCTGTTCTGTGTGGAGGGTTCGCTACAGTAGCGGGTGTAGTCATGGCTATTTACATCAGTTATGGGGTAAGAGATGGGTTAGGGATATCGCGTCCAAGTATATGACAAGAAAGCTAAGTCGTTATATAGGTAATTCCGGACACTCAGCAGTCAGCGTATCACTTGTCTGACATTGACCTACTTGGACGACATTGCACCCATGCACTCTATATTTTCGTATATCAAAAACAATGAATCATAAGATTATTACAGTCAAATACAAATAGCACATTTTTGTATTTCTCTTTATCTTGTAAGATATTGAAATATGTGGCGTGTTTGTAGGCTCCGCCAGAGCACGTGCTATCTGCTGCTATCATGAGTGCACCCGCAGCACTAGCTTTAGCAAAACTGAGCGTCCCCGAGACTGAGGAATCGAGGACAAAATCTGGTGGGATAGAACTTGAGAAACCGTTAGTTACCTTCATTTATATCTCGTTTATAGTCCAATCTTCATATTCGAATTAGTCAAAGTAGAAACATCTATCACTAAATCAATCATTAATCTGGGATGAATAGGGCAGTCTCGTACTTTAGGTTTCGCAAAACAAATGTTTTTTAATCTGAGTTTCGGTGCAATTTTTGTGTCAGCTTCATTTACAGTTGAGCCTCCATGTGTCTTTAAGTATTCCAATTTTCTACACTTATGAATGGAATATTTCAGAATGGTTTCTACAAACAGTAGAGCGAGTCCAAAGTGGACCAGGAACATGCGGATTCAGAATACGTTTTTATCGTATAATTTAATGATAAATTTGTCTCAGCCATTTATTATTAATTTGTTTCAGTGCTTCCCGGAATGTTATGGAAGCAGCGTCTAATGGTGCTGTTGCTACAATCACGCTCATCGGCCACGTGTGTGTAAACTTGATCGCATTCCTCGGACTGCTCAGCTTTGTCAACGCTATTTTAAACTACATTGGGCTTGCAGTTGGCTGTAACGGTCTAAGTTTCCCGGTGAGTACAATGTAAGGGATAAGATTAGACAGAAATGCCGAAGCAATAGAATTTCTTATACTGTTCCTTCTCTTTCCACTTTATTCAGGGTTCTCATATTATTTTCCGTTTTACAGAATATGAAATAATATATAAGTCCCATTGACTAAAATTAGATGGTCTTCTCTGAAAAAATAGTATAATATGACAGAATGGAATTAATTACTATTCGAAAATAGGGCCCCTTGAGGCGATCTTTAAAAAGAGTTATTTATTTCAGTTTATATGTTCCTACGTTTTGCGCCCCCTGGCGTTCATCTTGGGTGTATCATGGGAGGACTCAGGCGTTGTAGCAGAATTGATGGGCACCAAAATATTCATCAACGAATTTATAGCTTATTTTACAATGAACGAATATTATTTAGCAGGCAAAATATCAGTAAGTAGTAAACAGTTCTGTGACACGGATCTCTATAAACCATTTAGATAGTATGATTTAGACATCTTTAAACTCCTCGTCATTACCAGCATGCCACGAAGTTTTGTCCATATTCTCCTATAGTCCTTAAGCTATGTTCTTTCTATCCAGGATCGTTCTCGTGCCATTGCTACGTATGTTCTGTGTGGGTTCGGGAGTTTTGGTGATATAGGCATTAACGTTGGTGTGTTTGGTGCTTTTGCTCCCACCAGACGTTCCGAGCTCTCAGGGATGGGGCTTAGAGCTCTTGTCATGGGGAACCTCGCAGGTTTCCTAACTGCTTGCATAGCAGGTGAGTAAGGGTTGTCTTCTCTAGGATGGAAACACCTACATTTAATATTTTGCACAGTCTGAAGAAGCGTGTATACTACATAGTCTACTTGTTGTTACCCCCCTATCACAACAAATTAGTTCTCAAGTTTTCGAAAACGGGCTTAAACTCTGTACGAATGGGTTGGACGAACCAAGAACCCCCTTATCACACCAAACTAGTTCTTGCCCGTTCTTGCCAGTCCTACGAAAACGTCGTATTAACGTTATAGGACGTTGCACACCGACGTGGTGCGACCTAAACGAACTGTGAATGAGATGGACGTATTGAAGACTGTTTATGAACGAAGTAGCTAATTATTTTAGAAATATGTCTAGGTTAGTAAAAACAGTTATATAATATATATATATAAATTATTTTCGCATTAAATTGTTGTCTATCAGTCAACATTACATAAGGAACCGTGTTCTTTTTACAGAATGTTTTCAATAATTGGTTTAAGAGAAAAACATTGTTAAATTCAGTTCACCATATCGATACCAATCCTTTATAAACTTTATTTTAGAATCTTAATTTGAAATTCTTTTATTTTCTCCTTTGAGAGATAGTGTGACACATGCTATTATTTTGTACAAAGTCTATCAAGACATTTCAAGTATTCAATAATGTAATTTTACCAATAATGCTAGCCTGTAATGCCACTGGCACTAGGCAGCAGTACCATACTTGTATATTCTTCAATAATGTCATAAATAAATGAATAAATAAACAAAAAGATGGACGTATTGCAGACTGCTTATGAATGAAGTAATGTAGCTGATTATTGTAGACATACAGTGTACCGACCACAGCCAAATTTAGCCCATTTTACGCCTTTTTGTAGGACTGAAAAGAACGGTTGAGAACAAGTTTGGTATGATAGGGGTGGTTGGGGGAGGGTAACAGCGGGTGTAATTCAGAATAATGAAATAAATCTCAAATGGCGAAATAGGAATTTTTGTCGATCACCTCAAAAGCATAATGATTCGTTGTTTCAGGTATGCTTTACCAAGGGGATGAGTTGTACGTCGGAGGTCTGACTGAAGCCATACGGGACAATAGGACTATATGCGGTGTAAACGCGTAGTCCTGATCTTCAACTCCAAGCAGTCGTTTAACGAAATATCTCGCCGATTCGAGATTTCCATGTATGCTTTACTTGCGAGATAACGTATTCAAAACACTATAATTGATATTGAATACTACGAATGTAAATCAAATGAAACTGTTCAAACTGTTCTTCTTAATATCAATCCAAGACAAATGTATGTTTTCGTGCCATAGTAACAAACGCGCTTATCATGTCAGATTTTGGTGCCAAGATATAATTGACAATCGCCATTAGGGGCGCATCTAAGGTTTGGAAATGAACGTGGCAAATTTTGATAGAGAACACTTGGGATATTTAAAGAGGATGCTATACTGCTACCGTATATAGTTTTCACATGTTCAGTAGCAGTGTTCCACAATATAAGTGAGGCATTTGCCTCGTTCACCTCATGCCAATTGGCCCCGTGGCCATAATGACATTCTTCAAAGCTTCCTCTCAAATAGTGAAAGTTTGCGTAGCGACTACCTCTACAGATCTGGGAGCTCTCGGATTATTTGATTTAATGGCACAACATCATATTCAAGTACACATATTCTAGTCCTTTTAGGACTTCAAAAGACATTTTGTATTCTATTTGACAATAATGATTATCATGTTAGCTCACATGGTTAGCTCACACTGCAATCCCTCGATCACTTGTCCGTCTGTGTGTACTCAGTCTGTCTGTCTGTCTGTCCGTCCGTCTGTCAACAATTGGCCCATTTTAAAACCCCTGTCAATAGGATTCCCGTTTTAAGTTATTTTTGTTCAACATCAATATAGAAAACCCCCTTATTACTCCTGATTCAAAAGCTCGCCTATTTTCAAAATGGCCGCCATTTTTATCTCGCGAAATTCACTTTTGGACTATTTGCTTTAAAACCCGTGTCGAAATAATTCGCGTTTTAAGTTATTTTTGTTCAACATCAATATAACTCCCATATGACTCCTGGTGGAAAAGCTCGCCTATTTTCAAAATGGTCGCCATTTTTGTCTCGCGAAATTTACTTTTTGGCCATTTCCGAGCTTTACAAATAATTTCAAGTGTCCTGCATTGTAAAACGTCATGTCACTGTATAGAGTAATTATATGGAATAATTTAGTTACAAAAATCGGCAAAAAATTATATCCGTTTTTTTATATTTTCAGCCATTTTAGTTAGCATTGATTTGTCCATCTGTCTCGCGAAATCCACCTTAGACCATTTGACTTAAAACCTCTGTCGATAGGATTACCGTTTTAAGTTATTTTTTTCAACATCAATATAGATAACTCCCCTATGACTCCTGATTCAAAAGCTCGCTTATTTTTAAAATGGTCGCCATTTTTGTCTCGCGAAATTCACTTTTGGCCCATTTCCTAGCTTTATAAATAATTTCAGGTGTTCTGAATTGTAAAAAGTCATGTCAATGTAAAGGGTAGTTGTATGAAATAAATTTTGTTACAAAAAAAATCGGTAAAAATTATATACGTTTTTTTTTAAATTTAGCCATCGTTCACTTTTGAGCAACACCATGTGAGCCCAGTACCCACGATACTATTTATTTAATTTTATTATTGTACAATCATAGCTAACATGTTTTGATTGTATCATAGTACAATCATGATTATCATATTATGATATCATTGTACATGTACAATCATATTTTTTATGTTATCATAATTATCATGTTTTAATGTTATCGTTGTCCAATCATAATTATCATGTTTTAATGTTATCAATGTACAATCATAATTCTCATATTGTGATATCATCATTGTACATGTACAATCATATTTGTCATGTTATCATAATTATCATGTTTTAATGTTATCAATGTACAATCATAATTCTCATATTGTGATATCATCATTGTACATGTACAATCATATTTGTCATGTTATCATAGTTATCATGTCTTAATGTTATCATTGTACAATCATAATTATCCTGTTTTAATTTTATTATTGTACAATCATAATTCTCATATTATGATATCATCATTGTCCATGTACAATCATATTTGTCATGTTATCATAATTATCATGTTTTAATGTTATCATTGTACAATCATAATTCTCATATTTTGATATCATCATTGTATATATACAATTATATTTGTCATGTTATCATAATTATCATGTTTTAATGTTATCGTTGTACAATCATAATTATCATGTTTTAATTTTATTATTGCACTTATCATGTTATCATAATCATCATGTTTTGATTTTATCATTGTACAATCATAATAATCATGTTTAGATTTTATCGTTGAACAATCAATCATGTTTAGATTTTGTCATTTAACAATCATAATTTTCATGTTTTAATCATAATTATCATGTTTCGATTTATCATTGTACAATCATAATTATCATGTCATTTTATCCGGCCGGTCTGGTATGCCCAGTCACTGCGTAGATAATGATAATCCAGTCCTTAAAAGGGCAACACGTGCCATATGATATAATATGACAGGACTTCAACGCAAGTGTAATATAAATGAAGAAAATGCCAAATAATACTAATGGATAATCACATTTATAGAAAAGTGAAGGTGTAATGTTAACATCTATAGTTTTAACATACATGTATATATCAAACATACCCTGCACATAATTATATTTATATATTTGGATACTAATATTATTAGTAGCCCGGACAGAATTGTTCAAGGGTCACTTTGTTTTAATAACCTTTTTTTAGTATTATCAAAATCTGATTACATATTTCAAAACTAGAGTAAAATTCCGACATACAAAAAATTATTCAAGGAACATCTCTTAATTTATTGATATTATAAGCGTTCATAGTATAGTTCAAATATGTAATCAGATTCTGATAATACTGAAAATTAAAAAAGTGATTAAAGAAAAAGTGACCCTTGAACAATTCTATCCGGGCTACTATATAGATATGTAAATACATATACAAGCAATATATTATGATATTATGTTATTATCTTTTAACTTTTGTTCAATGGATAAAGTTTAGAATATTTATCACCTGTGCCATATTTCTAAATAGATGAATGAACAGATGAGGAAATAGTGCAAAGGTGCCTCCTGACGTATCGATGCTCTATTAGTAACTACCATTTTATTATAAAACAACCATACCATGCTCAAAAATACTCAACGCAAGGGTTTCCTGATCATGTCCTTAATCAGACTTGCCAACCTCCCGTTTTTTTACGGGAATCTCCCGTAAATTTTTTGTTTTTCCGTAAAAAATACCAAACTCCCGTACCGTTTTCTCCCGTAAAAACTCCCGTAAACTCCCGTACCGTATTTCTACTAAAATCTCCCGTATTTTTTTTTAAAAATATGGCCGTGAAATCTCCCGTATTTTTGCTAAAATCTCCCGTATTCTGGTATAACTCCCGTAAAATCTCCCGTATTCTTGGTATAACTCCAGTAAAATCTCCGTTTTTTGCTGTCGAAATCTACCGTATTTAAAAGGAATTTGACAAATTTGTGACCTTGATTATTGCAGGCACGCTTCTTTCTTTTACTCCAAGAAGGATTGGCTCCCATGGTTCACTATCGATACTTTCATAAATAACTTAAAAGTACTTCATTCCCATGATTCAAATAGCTTTTCTGCGATCAGTTCGGAATAAGTTTGCACACCAAATGTCCACAAACGGGGCCAGTTCATATTCTGTCATACTTCTGTCAGGAGAATACATTTTGTTTTTATATGGCGCTAAACAAAATATTCCCGCAATATAAGGCGCATTATGGGTAGGGACTGCTGTGAAATAATGAACGTAAGTGACATCTATCTTAGATTATAAGTTCTATTAATTTATCAACTGCGCATGCGTCATTATAATTTCAACCAATTAAATTGCTGGATTTAATGCTCATGCGCAAAAAACCGAACCTAAAAATGGAACCTCACGCAGATTGCCCTTAGCATATAGTGAACGCCACATATACATTTTACTTAGCTTTGATCAATTCGTTTCCAAAGTAATAAATGTTGTATCTCCCGTTTTTTCAAAATCTAAAGTAAAAACTCCCGTATTTTCATAAATCTACCGTAAAAACTCCCGTTTTTTCAAAATCTACCGTAAAAACTCCCATTTTTTCAGAAATCTACCGTAAGAACTCATGTTTTTTCAAAATCTACCGTAAAAACACCAGTTTTTTCAGAAATCTACCGTAAAAACTCCATTTTTTCAGAAATCTACCGTAAAAACTCCCGTTTTTCAGAATCTACCGTAAAACTCCCGTTTTTTAAAAAGATCTACGGATTTTGAAAAAAAATCCCGTAATAGTCCGCAATTTTTTTTAAATCTCCCGAAAATCTTTCATTTTAGGTTGGCACGTCTGATTAATCCACCTGAACAATCTGAATTTGAGAGTCATACATGGCTTAAATGATAGGTTTGAGACATATTGTGCCAGTTTTGAAAAAAGCTAAGGTCAGTTAAGCTATATTATTCAATGTTTTATTTGACGAAAATTGTGTTGTGACCATTTGAAGGGTACCTTGTACAGCATGGTATGAAAGAATACTGTTTTCTGGTTATTACCAGACTCTGGCACTAAACTAATATATTTATAACTTATATATTTTTCAACATAACTGCTTCATTATTCTTGTTGTCAGTCCAAACAATGGTCGCTGGGTTATACTGATTTTAAAATACATAACAATACAATACAATACAATACCCGTATCGTTGAATTTGGAGACTTTTTTACATATTCTTGGAATAGGCAAAAAGAGTAATCAAAAACTCAGCTATGTACGATGAAAAAATTAATAAGAGATATGACAAAGATACTTGAGAAAATGCAAATTTTACATAGATTTTGACCTTTGACACAGATAACAAGTTGAACTTATATTCGAGCAACCCAGTCACGTACCTTAACTGGCCATATAAATTGATTTACCCAGAGACTTCTAGTTGCTGAGATTTGGAGTCTTAAATTTCTATTCGCGAATGCAACTTTCGACTGTCGTCTACCGGATTAACCTTCTTTTTAATGGGTAACTCGTTTAACCATCAATAGTACCTGCCACTGTTTTTCATATTTAAAGGAGTTGGTTATAAAATAGTAGGTTAATCCAATACCCGACAGCCGATATATGGAGTCAAAACTTATATTCACGAATGCAACTTTCGGCTGTCGGCTATCGGATTAGCACATTATTTAATGACTCATTAAAATATGAATAGTACCTGCCACCATTCCATTCATATTTAAATGAGTTGGTCATAAAATAGTAGGTTAATCCGGTAGCCGACTTTCTAAGTTGCATTCGAGAATACAAGCTAATAAATTAGCATAAACATAAAGGAGCGAGGCATCTTGACAAATTGGGTCACATACATTAAAAAACTAGAGTAAAATATACAATTTCAAGAGTATAGACTTAGTTCAAATCTGACGTTGAATGTATTTATTCAAATTTATGTTGTTGATTTTGGTATCGTTATGTTTTTGTCGTTTTGAATAGGATTAAACCCTTTGATCTCAAACAATCAAAGTGATCACAGTATCTGCCACTGCCTATTGAAGTGTTGCTTACTAGAATGCATTAAATTGTTGAGAAGGATTTAAAAGTTACAGGGTCCATTGTTGGGGCAGTCTATATAAGTGCGACAGAAATACCCGATATATGGATTGTTAGCTGCATGGATAAAAATTCATGCTTTTCTTATTTATTCATGTGTAATTTCGACTATGTGCAAAACTAATTAGAGAAGTAGGTTGCAATTTTTATGTGAAATGAAGAATAATTTGCCAAAATAAAGGTATGCAAAAGTGAACAATTGGTAATTTCAAACGTATCAGAAAAGGGAACTTGAAAATGGAGAATCCGGGGTTTAGCTCCTACGATGAAAAAACACATGAAAATGGTCCAACCAATATAAAGGTCGAAATGAACCACATGCCCACGGATGAGATACAAGTATCGATGAACAACGATGTTGCAGCCGAAACGAGCAAAGATTTGGTTCTAAAAACCCAAGTTTCAAAGTATGAAGCCATAGTTGGTGGTGTTCAACAGGGGGTACATGACTTTTTCTACGGTAATACCAAACGGACTAGTGTTTTGAAGTGGTTTTTTGTAGCCTTGCTGTGTGTCGGTTGGGTGACCTACCTTGGCTTTGCTAATGCTTACAGCGTCACGACCGCCCTTCCTTTAGACATTATTACAGGAATTGTAATTTTTTGTATTGGATACTATTTGATTAAGAAATATTACGGTGTTGCTATTTGGAAATGTTGTCTGACTTCTTGTGGAGCGGCATGTTCTAAAGCATCCAGAGTTTTAAAATGGTGAGTTCTCGTACTTTGTTTAATCACTGTTCTCATAGTGTAAACAGACTTATCCAATGATACTACTTCTTCCTGGTGAATAACACCCGGGAATACTTTTGATATTGAAAAATCGTGCGACCCCCTTCGCCTCGAACCCCATTTCGTTATAAAACGAACCTCCGGCCGGGAACAACCCCCCTTTTCTGAAAGATCAATGAACCCCAGGCCGGGAACGAACCCCACTCTCAGAAAATGACTATTTGTGCGTGAAGAATGAATCGCACATCTATACCCCTCTTCGTCTCAACCCCCCCCCTTTTGTTATAAAACGAACCACCTGGTAAACCCTGGCTACGCCTCTACTGACCTACACATATTTTAAAATTCTAGGCTGTTCTATCTGTTAGTGTTGGTTGCCATTGGTCTGATGCTGTATTTCCTAGTTGGAAGAGATAGACCAATGAATCTGATATCTGCAGGCGGCACAGTTACAATTGTGCTCTTGTGCTTTCTCACCTCAACTAACCCAGCAAAGGCAAGTTACCGATTACAGATTTAAGAATTGTGAATTCGTAGTAACCAAATTGCCAAAATGTCCAGAAATATGTCCTGTTGAAGAACCAAATCGCTTGGAGTATTTGAAGTTATGGAGGATTTCAGCAATGGGCAATTTTCAAAAATTATTGAAAAATATTTTCATAAGAAATCTACACAATTATTTCACAAACAATATAATGTCATTAAAAACCTTACAATGTCAGAAACAATAAAATATAGGTTAGATGTTCTAATTGTCAGATTGCATTTGATCCAGGCCCTTCTACTGGTTATCATTACAATTTTTCTTTTTGATCGGCTATGACCTTTCTATTTGTTATCATCAGATTTTGTCTTTTTCATCATCATATTTTTTCTTTTTGATCTATGATCTCCTACTGGTTATCATCACAATTTCTCTTTTTGATCTATGACCTTCCTATAGGTTATCATCAAATTTTGTCTTTTTGATCATCACATTTTTTTGATATATGACCTTCCTACTGGTTATAATCACATTTTTCTTTATGAAGTATGACCTTCCGACTGGTTATCATCACATTTTTTTCTTTTTGATCTATGGCCTTCCAGTTGGTTATCATCACATTTTTTCTTTTTAATCTATGACCTTCCTACTGGTTATCATCGCATTTTTTCTTTTTGATCAATGATTCTCGTACTGGTTATCGTTACAATTTTTCTGGTGCTGAGAATCAAAAGCAATTTAGATCCAAACTATCGTAAATAAAACAACTAAATTGTAAACAATATATTTCAGATATATATTTTTCCCAACTTCCTCAACTATAAACTGTGGAAATGAAGTTCATAATTAAAGAAATACCTACAATAACCTAATTGTGCCTCGCCAATTTTTTTTGCCTCGACAAATTTTGAATCCTGGCTATGTAAACGAAACAGGAATGTGCGGCACTCGTATGTATGTTATACATGTCCGTTTCCCCAAAAGCTGTCCATATAGTGTTAGGTTTCCGGTCTACGACAGGACATAATTCAGTTCAGTTTGCATATAATGCTGTTATTATTTTCAGGTGAAATGGCGACCAGTGTTATGGGGCCTGGGCATACAACTGGTATTCGGCCTCATTGTTTTACGCTGGAGTTATGGATTTATTGCATTCAGTTGGCTTGCGAATCAAATCAAAGTCTTCTTGGAATACGCAAATGTTGGATCAGCTTTTGTATTTGGACCACTTTATTGTAACTACCCATTTGTATTTCAGGTAAATCTTTCATCAATTTACCTTGAAATAAAATTATGTCACCACCAAAAAGGTGCCATAATGTTATGGTCTCCATTTTTTGTGACGGCGGTTGGCGTACGTCGTCTGACGTCTGTAACAAATGGCAGGTGGTGACATTTTGTATTTTAGTGCCTTGTTTTGATTATGAAACGAAGGCACCCTCTAAATGTACGGGCCTCGAAATTACGAGCCTCTTACATGCTCGTACAGGCCTCGAAAACAACAATTACGAGCATTTTACGAGGATCGTGCTTCTTTTTGCCTGTAATGAATCGTAATTCTCGAGGCCTGAATGAATATTTAAACACATGTGCCAAAGGGAGAGGACAAAAAAACTGCAAAGAAACCCAGCAAGAAAAGCAAACGATTAAATGTAAATTACTGGTAATAAGAAAAATAGACCTTATATATCCCAGAACTGTGATCTCCCCTCAAATCCAGAGCCAATATCAAAATCCAGGACAAGGGACATTTCATTCTTACTGAAGTCATTACAAAACATGTTGAGGAAAAAATTGAAAAATTGATGGCCAATACTCATTACATCAAAAATAGTTGTACATACTAGTACTCAGAAAATCATTCAGTCTCAAATGATGTGGGATAGACGAAATCCAACATCCTTCAACATCCTTTCGCAAAACCGTCGCCATAATCCATGAAACACAATAACTTAGAATGGTCACCTGGAGAAAACTATGACTGGTTTCGATTCCTATTACTCAACCATTAATGCCATATCTGGGATCCACCTTAAAATATGCCGTGAAAATATTGTAAGGTGTTTACATGATTCTATATCCTGACCATACCACAGCCTCTTCAGATGTCCAGCGCAAAATTATATTTTAGGCTATACCACAGGCAATCTTCTTCAGTGCGTGCATCAGCGTTTTGTATCATGTTGGCATAGTCCAGCAAGTGATTCTGAAGCTCAGTTGGCTGATGGAGGTCACATTATATGATTCTATATTTTAGGCTATACCACAGGCAGTCTTCTTCAGTGCGTGCATCAGCATTCTGTATCATGTTGGCATAGTCAAGCAAGTGATCCTGAAGCTCGGTTGGCTGATGGAGGTCACATTATATGATTCTATATTTTAGGCCATACCACAGGCAATCTTCTTCAGTGCGTGCATCAGCATTTTGTATCATGTTGGCATAGTCCAGCAAGTGATCCTGAAACTCGGTTGGCTGATGGAGATCACGTTAGGAACAACTGCAGTCGAGTCCCTAAATGCGACGGCAAATATATTCATCAGTAGTGTAAGTAATGCAGAGATTGCTTATTCCAAACGAAGATTTTCATTTCGTTTAGGTACTTAGAAATAAGTAATTTTGTAAATTTTCATTTTGATTTTTTCATGTCATGCTCTGTGACAAAGTACCATTAGATGGTGAATATAGAACATAAAACAAGGATTATGTTTCTATAAGATCAAGAAGTAGAGTGTTCCTTTTAGGTCGAGGCAGCTGTGATAATTCGAAACTGGCTCCCAAATCTTACGTATTCTGAGTTACACGCAGTCATGTGTGGAGGATTTGCCACAGTGGCTGGTGTTGTCATGGCAATCTATATATCTGTCGGGGTATGTAACTGAACAAAAATCAAATTTACTAATATATTTATGGAAACAATTGAGTTCTTGTTTTCTCCGAGAGGTCACACTTCAAAGGGCTTTGATGACCCCCTCCCCACACCTATCCTCGCCTCACTTCGGTATTATACATGTATCTTGCACCGTCACAATAAATAGCCAAAAGATGATGTTACCCTGCGCGCAGAGTTATAAACCACTGAAGACAAAGCTCTCTTTGAAGAAGTGAAGTCGAACGAATGCAAAGGGTAAAATGATGTATAACAAAAATCATTGTTAATAATGTGAGTATATCATAGATAATACTGTTAACTTTATACGTTGATTTTTAAGGCACCTGCCGAACATGTGTTATCTGCAGCTATTATGAGTGCGCCGGCAGCTTTAGCAATTGGGAAACTCAACGTCCCCGAGACAGAAATATCCAAAACAAAAGCAGGGAATTTACAACTAGACAAACCGTATGAAATATTTTTTGGAGTTAAATGAATAAACCAAAGGGGTCCTCCTCAAATAAATTGCCTGTCAATTTTACTTTCAATTTTTAGATCTTCGAGGAATTTCATGGAAGCTGCATCTAATGGTGCTGTTGCTACAATCAAACTTATCGGCCACGTTGTCGTCAATCTGATTGCGTTCATAGCACTTTTAAGCTTTGTCAACGCTGTCTTGTATTATTTAGGAATTGCTATAGGCTTTGAAGGACTCTCTTTCCCAGTGAGTATTATCATGTTGCTTCTTACTGTTAGTGACTCACTTTAAAATTAGAGCTCGCTACCTTCATATAAGATATAAATAATATAAATACAAGGAAATGGCCAAGAGACTAGGAACTTGACCAGGAGTCGATTTAAAAGCACATGATGTGATTCATCATATTTCGTCTACACTGTTACGCCGAATATGGCATATATTCACGGTTGTGCTGTATTTGTGATACTTAGAGGTTATGTCACTATGACGTGAAATATGCCTGAGTTCTCCCAATATAGGCCGACCTTGGGAGGCTCTATATTTGGGCAAGAACGAAGGCATATTTCACGTCATAGTGACATAACTGATGTATTACATGCCTTTGTTCCCATGGTTACTTTGTATCAATGACGTGACGTCATGATATTATCATGGTTATTAAAGAAATCTAATATCAAAACGAGGTAAGCGGGCTATATCGGGGTAATCGGGCAATATCGGTGGATATAGCTCGCTAACTTTCCCATTGACTTCCATACAAATGCTTCGCTAGGTATGTAATACAGGTGAATATGTCACACTCACCTGTGGTATATGGCATATTTCGCAGGTGAGTATGCCATATTCCGCAGTGAATTTGCGATTCATTGATGAATATCCGATACTCACTGCGGAATATGGTATACTCTCCTAGGGGATATGACATACTCACGTGCGGAATATGCCATATACCGCAGGTGAAAACGCCTCTATTTGATTGGTCAAAAGAATCTATTCTTAATGTAAAACTACGCTGGATTACCAATATTGTTCGCCCTTTGAGTACTGATGTATGATTCCTGGATTATTACGAAGTACGTTTATTACGTTTAAATGCTGAATGATACTTTTGAAAGTATCAGGAATGTTTAAATCGTGATTGCCAATACAACAAAATATAAATACCCGTGATTTCTTTAAGGTTTTTATCTGGTGTTTGTCAACTGTTGATTTGGTTATAAAAATCACTCACAAGCTTCACGAACGTGTTTACTTATGCATGATAATGTTTCCCTTGAAGTGTGTTTTTGCGTGTAACACATACATAAAATAACATCAAACAATACAGGCACCACTGGTGTATGTTATTCACTTGTATTAGTTGATATATTTGATGCACTGACCCGTTGATTCAAGAATCATTATAATAATTTATAAACTTTAGCTCGTTCATTAAATCGATGTAATTGGCAGTTACGTACTTCAGTATCGCGTTCTCATTGGTAAGTGTGTATGCTATATACCGCCAGGTGAATCTGTCATACACCGTTAATAAATATGCCATGTTCGTTGCGGAATATGACATATATTTGTATCATGTTTACCGCGTAACATATACTTGCGTTTGCTTTTACAGTGGATTTGTTCCAAGGTGTTGAAACCATTTGCATACATTCTTGGTATATCGTGGGAGGATGCTGAAATAGTCGGAGAATTGATTGGAACAAAGCTATTTGTGACAGAGTTCATCGCTTATATAACTATGAACGAATATTTTCAAGCTGGGAAAATATCTGTAAGTAAAATTTTCAAAGAAGTATTAATGATTTAAGGAATTTCATGATAAAATATGGAATGAATAAACACAAGGAGCTCAAATGTCTCGAACTCAGGAGCTCATGTTGTTTCATTAGCCAATGTGACTAGAGGGAACTGATGTTCATGTTGTAATTGCAACTTGATCAAATAGCGCGCGTGTATTCGTTTTCATTGAGACGTTTAAAGATTCTTTCCTGAAAATACCCATTTCCTAAAATTGCTCCCCCACTGTAAGCTAGCTACATAATGAGTAGCTGAACCTCGTTAACGCATGTGTTTCGCTCAGTACGTATGAATATCCCCGGGTAGCAAAGTGTTTTTCTATATCTACGAGCAATGTGTTGTTTTTAGGCCAGATCTAGAGACATCGCCACGTATATCCTTTGTGGGTTTGGTAGCTTCTGTGACATTGGCATCAACGTCGGTGTTTTTGGCGCATTTGCTCCTACACGTAGATCTGAGCTAGCGGGAATGGGCTTCAGAGCCTGCATAATGGGGAATATGGCAGGATTCCTAACAGCCTGTATTGCAGGTAAGCAGTGTAGTCTTGGTTTACTTCCTGCGAAAGCTTTGTGGATTTTGATATTATATAAGCCAACTGACTGCGCAGTGGACACACTGAACTAACCTATCCATCTTATAATTATGATTTCTATATTATTTAGGAATGCTTTCCCAGTCCGAGGAGACATATCTTACAGTACTTGCGACCAATGCTACTACTACTGCAGCCCCATTACTGGTTCCGTGTCCCTAACCAATAGAGTATATCACGTGGAGTCGATCTCACTCAATCGGACTGTTATGAAGTGATCAATGCGCTTTGTAATCTGAGTCCGTTGTTAATTACAACTATTACCCTAATATTATTAGTTTATGCTCAACCCGGGTCGCTATATAAATCAATGGAGAGTAGGACCATAATTTGATAGGACCTCCCACCCTTTTAAACCGGCTCTATATGGGTCATGTATAAGGGGATAATCCCCGGGACTACAATTTCTGTCACAACGTCAATTTGATTAACGTCATATGGGATGTTAAGAGATCCTAACTTACAAATTCAAATTATATTATTATTGAACAGTACAAGCAAAATGAATTTTCAAATATAGTATTAACTGCATATAGACGTAGTTTATCATTATTTTTTTTAATTTGTCTTTTTCAAGAGAATTATATAAGATAAATACAGATCGATTACCATGCCATCTTTATTTAAAAATCATCTTTCTATAAACCTATGATTAGTATATAGTTACACTAACTGGCAGCTCCACCACTTTATTTACAATTTAAATTGATATAAGCCATATAAATTGCAAGGTCACTTTAAAGAATTAACACTGCATTACGGACGACATTACAAACATAAAGACACATCGACAATGAGACAGTCCGAGTTTTATAGTCTTTCCCCACAGTCTGTGCCAGTACAAACTAATACTTAATAATATATTGGTAGATCCACCAATAGAGGACTTGCTATAGAGATGGATAGATAGGTGGAAGTATTTATTTTGACCAGCCCAGCGTATTCTTCACAATATGGAGACATTTTCCAAAAGTCGCCTATATAATTTTCAGAAGTATTAACTATTTTCAATATTGAATTAATGTTAAAGTCCATTAGCATGCAATGTCCTTGTTGATATGCGAATTGTGATTAATTTTCCAAATTGTAATCCTTCAAAGTAATAACAAACCTAAAAGATTTTGAAGATTGTGCAAATGGGATTAGCCAGACCTTTTTCACAAAACTTATTAAAAATTCTTGAAGAAGGAATATAGAAAAAAAACTGTAAATCAATGTTAAATCAGACGGCCCGAAAACGTATCCATTGTCTACAAGTTTGGGTTATCAATGTGCCTCCTGACTAGCCCTTTGATCTACCGGATATAGTATTGTGATTCTCATATATCCTAGAATTTCAATTATGGGTGGGGAAAATTGTCGATACTTCCCGTGGAGCAATTGTCGAACATGGTTGGCTTTTACAAAGAATAGTTTAAAAAGGGGAAGCAATTTACACAACGACTTCCTGACAACTTTTATTCCGATCATTTTGGCTAATTTGAAGGATAGCGTTCATGTCATACGGTCGAATTTTTTCTGCATCTTTATTTGATTTTTACACTTTGGTATTCAATTACAGATATATTAGTCCATATCAATGTACCAATTAGGAGCCCAAAAACTGCTTATAAAAAAGAATCAAATACGAAAGTTGCAATGGGCGTTGCCTATAGACTAAAGAAAAAAAGAATTAGAGAAGATACTACATTGAATATGGGAAAGATCGAAGCTGAATATGGACGGAGCTCAGAGCAACATCAAAAAGAAAAATCTCTGGTCAAATCAAAATTGAGATAAAAATAATAAAGAATATTGACATAAACTATATAGGAGGAATCTCTCTTGACAAATCGGGTCACAGACAAACAAAAAAGGGTAAATATATGCTTTCAAGGCAGAATATTTAATCAGTTTTTTTAGAGTCGGTTCAAATGTACAAAGCTAGTCCAAATCGGACGTTAAATGTATTTATTCAGGTTTATGTTGATTTGGATATTTGGTAATGTCTCTTCACGAGTATTTGTCAACGAAGTTTTTGTCGTATTGAATAGGATTAACCTTATTGATCTTAACCTATTCAATGTGAAGACATATGTTAGTGGGAATCCTTGTATCTGCCACTGGTTCTTTAAGTGTTGTTGACTGCACTGGGACATTCAATCAAAGGAGTCACTGATTCCATTTTGGGGCAGCCTAATTTAGTGAAACAGAAATACCCAACCCGATATATGGATTGTTAACTGCTTGGGTAAGAATTCATGTTTTATTTATTTATTCAAGTACGAATTTGTATAAAACAAATTGAAGAGGTAGATCGCAATTCCTATGTGAAATAAAGAATAATTTGCTAAAAAGAATAGAAAAAAGTTAACAATTGGTCATTTCTAACTTATGCGAATTTATCCGCTACCTTATAGAGCAAGTAACTTGGTGACAATGGAGAATCCGGGGTTTGGCTACTACGATGAAAAAACACATGAAAATGGTCCAACCAATGTAAAGGTCGAAATGAACCACGTGGCAACAGAGGAGATAAAAGTATCGATGAACAACGATGTTGCGGCCGCGACGAGCAAAGATTTGGTTCTAAAAACCCAAGTTTCAAAGTATGAAGCCATAGTTGGTGGTGTTCAACAGGGAGTTCATAACTTTTTCTACGGTAATACCAAACGGACTAGTGTTTTGAAGTGGTTTTTTGTAGCCGTACTATGTGTCGGTTGGGTGACCTATCTTGGCTTTGCTAATGCTTACAGCGTCACGACTGCCCTTCCCTTAGACATCATTACAGGAATTGTAATTTTTTGCATTGGATACTATTTGATTAAGAAAAATTACGGTGTTGCTGTTTGGAAATGTTGTCTGACTTCTTGTGGAGCGGCATGTTCTAAAGCATCCAGATTTTTAAAATGGTAAGTTCTCGTACAATTTGCTTTGTCACGATGTAGTATACAGTGGACCTATGTACAATAGAGTTATACAATAGACCAATGTATATACACCGATGCTACAGACACAGGCCTCCTAGACTTCCATCAACGCGAACATCAGTTCTGGTGTCGCGAACTACGTTCTTTGCACTCGAATTACGATTCTCACATCGCGAACGTGAAATGTTAAGTCGCGCACCATTATTTCCTTGCTCCCGAATACATTTCTCCACTCGCGCACAGAGATCCGTGCTCGCGAACCACACATCTGATCGAAAAAACTCCACAGTTGTATTCGTATTATTACGCATAACTAACACGAAGTGTTTTTATTTGGTATTCGGAAGAAATACTTCCCAGTTTTTCATGCATGCTAATGAATATCCATTTATTGAAGTTAACAGCATCGTGGTTCGAGTGCATGGAACGTAGTTCGCGAGGTCAGAACTGATGTTCGCGTTGATGGAACTCTAGGAGGCCTGGCAGAGTACAAACTAATGTTATATAGACCAACACCATTTAGAACATCACTATATGGACCGGTTCTACAGATCTCGAAGCTGTTCATGTCAGAACTAGCCTTTTCTGATTCTAGGCTGTTCTATCTGTTAGTGTTGGTTGCCATTGGTCTGATGCTATATTTCCTAGTTGGAAGAGATAGACCAAAGAATCTGATATCTGCAGGCGGCACAGTTACAATTGTGCTCTTGTGTTTTCTCACCTCAACAAACCCAGCCAAGGTAAGTAACCAATAGGATGCTGAATAATCATTGATGTCACGTCGACGAAACAGTTGTTAATTTTCACGAACCCAAAGATAATATACAAGTATGCTCGTCCTCATGCCAATTACTTATTCCAGAAAAGGCAAGTTTAAACGTACGAATTGTGCGTTGTTACGTCCATAAACGCATCGAAAGCAAGTATAAAATTGTACGCATATGATATGACACCCGAAACGGTGCCAAACAGGAATGCATGTTACTCGAACGCATCCGTTTTCCTAAAGTTGCCCATAGTGTTGAGGTTCTGCTCTACGACAAACTTCAATTTAGTTGGGACTTAATGCTGTTATTCTTTTCAGGTGAAATGGCGACCAGTGTTATGGGGCCTGGGCATACAACTGGTATTCGGCCTCATTGTGTTACGCTGGAATTATGGGTTTATTGCATTCAGTTGGCTCGCGAATCAAATCACTGTCTTCTTGGAATACGCAAATGCTGGATCAGCTTTTGTATTTGGACCGCTTTATTGTAACTACCCATTTGTATTTCAGGTAAACATTTTATCAATTTTACCCTGAAATATAATTTCAACTATCGAATGAAGACACAATCTAAATGAATGAGGCGACAGTCCTCGAGGCCCTACACTATGATTGCGCCTTATCTTACCATTAGATCTAGTCCTTGTCGTAATATGTCTTGAAGGGCAATGACCCAGGATTCAAAGATGAATCTTATCCACCAGTCATCATTAAGTTGTGTCGATGAGCAAAACTTATATTTTAGGCTGTACCACGAGAGTACAACAGGCTTTGCTGAAGCTCGGTTGGCTGATGGAGGTCTTTATATGATTTTATATTTTAGGCTATACCACAAGCAATCTTCTTCAGTGCATGCATCAGCATTTTGTATCATGTCGGCATAGTCCAGCAAGTGATCCTGAAGCTCGGTTGGCTGATGGAGATCACGTTAGGAACAACTGCAGTCGAGTCCCTAAATGCGACGGCAAATATATTCATCAGTAGTGTAAGTAATGCAGAAATTGCTTATTCCAAACGAAGATTTTCATTTCGTTTAGGTACTTAGAAATAAGTAATTTTGTAAATTTTCATTTTGATTTTTTCATGTCATGCTCTGTGACAAAGTACCATTAGATGGTGAATATAGAACATAAAACAAGGATTATGTTTCTATAAGATCAAGAAGCAGAGTGTTCCTTTTAGGTCGAGGCAGCTGTGATAATTCGAAACTGGCTCCCAAATCTTACGTATTCTGAGTTACACGCAGTCATGTGTGGAGGATTTGCCACAGTGGCTGGTGTTGTCATGGCAATCTACATAGCTTCCGGGGTATGTAACTGGACAAAGTTTTAATCATCGAAATGATTAAGTTTTTGGCATAAAGGTTACAGTTCAAAGGGCCTTGATGACCCCAACACCTTTCCACACCCCACTTTGGTATAAGATAAATACATGCCATTTTGAATCCGTTACACTATAAATAGCAAAATGACATAAGTAATAAAAATTCAATGTTAATAAGTTTAGATACCCTGCGTGCAGAGTCTAGTTAAGAAGACGAAGCTCTCTTTGAAGAAGTGAAGTCAAACGAATGCAAAGGGTAAAGTTTAGAAAGTATGTATAAGTAATATTGTTTAGTTTATACGTTTCCTTTGAAGGCACCCGCCGAACATGTGTTATCTGCAGCTATAATGAGTGCGCCGGCAGCTTTAGCACTTGGGAAACTCAGCGTCCCTGAGACAGAAATATCCAAAACAAAAGCAGGGGACATACAGCTTGACAAACCGTATGAAATGTTTTGTTTACTCGAATGTCGAATAAACCAAAGTTAGGAAGTTGAATTAAATCAGATACGCTTTTTAAATAAATTTTACTTTCAATCATGGGCTTTCAATTAGATTTGTTGTTGTCGTTGTTTTAGATCTTCGAGGAATTTCATGGAAGCTGCCTCTAATGGTGCTGTTGCTACAATCAAACTGATTGGCCACGTTATTGTCAATCTTATTGCGTTCATAGCACTTTTAAGCTTTGCAAATGCTGTCTTGTATTATTTGGGAATTGCTATAGGCTTTGAAGGACTCTCTTTCCCAGTGAGTATCATCATGTTCTCCTTTCACACTTAGGGTTTCTAAAATTTAGGTTCTTATGCCTTCATTTCTAGTGAGGTCTATTTGATCGGTCCCTTACGTTGACTAGTCTTGAGTCCAGGTCCGATTGAGATGGACACTGGTATTTCCAGAATAAATATTGAAATATAAGTAACTAGTCCAGATGTCGATATTTAAAAGAACATGACGTAAAATATCGTTTATGCTTGCTTTTACAGTGGATTTGTTCTAAGGTGTTGAAACCATTTGCATACATCCTCGGTATATCGTGGGAGGATGCTGAAATTGTTGGGGAGTTGATTGGAACAAAGATATTTGTGAATGAATTCATATCTTACATAACTATGAACAAATATTATCAAGCTGGGAAAATATCTGTAAGTATATACAAAGAAGTTTTCATATTCTAATGATAAATTAGGAGACACAACAACTTTACCAAAATGGTGCGCGTGTATCATCAGACAACAAACTTTTCTGTCCTGAAAATACCAAAGTATGAGACATTTGCAAGTAACGCATGGATTTTCTCTCAGTACGTATGCATATCGCCGGGTAGCAAATTGAAAACACATTTGTTCTGTGTCTTGTATTTTAGGCCAGATCTAGAGATATCGCCACATACACCCTTTGCGGGTTTGGTAGCTTCGGTGACATAGGCATCAATGTCGGTGTATTTGGCGCATTTGCTCCTACACGGAGATCTGAGCTAGCGGGAATGGGCTTCAGAGCATGCATAATGGGAAATATGGCAGGATTCCTAACAGCCTGTATTGCAGGTAGGCAATGTAATTTAATTAAAAGCTTGCATAATGAGGAATATGGCAGGATTCCTAACAGCCTGTATTGCAGGTAGGCGATATAATTTAGTTGAAAGCTTGCATAATGGGGAATATGGCAGGATTCCTAACAGCCTGTATTGCAGGTAGGCGATGTAATTTAGTTGAAAGCTTGCATAATGGGGAATATGGCAGGATTCCTAACAGTATGTACTGCAGGTAGGCAATGTAATTTAATTGATAGCTTGCATAATGGGGAATATGGCAGGATTCCTAACAGCCTGTATTGCAGGTAGGCAATGTAATTTAATTGATAGCTTGCATAACGGGGAATATGGCAGGATTCCTAACAGCCTGTATTGCAGGTAGGCAATGGGATTTAATTGATAGCTTGCATAACGGGGAATATGGCAGGATTCCTAACAGCCTGTATTGCAGGTAGGCAATGTAATTTAATTGATAGCTTGCATAATGGGGAATATGGCAGGATTCCTAACAGCCTGTATTGCAGGTAGGCAATGTAATTTAATTGATAGCTTGCATAATGGGGAATATGGCAGGATTCCTAACAGCCTGTATTGCAGGTAGGCAATGTAATTTAGTTAATAGCTTGCATAACGATGAACGACATTTTTAAATGACGTATCATTTGACGTCATTTGACGTCCCTCAGGTTGAATTATGCAACCAACGCCAAATAAAAATGTATCACAATATGTTACCATCTTATAATTATGACTTCTATATTTTTCAGGAATGCTTTCCCAGTCCGAGGAGACATATCTTACAGTACTTGCGACCAATGCGACAACTACTGCGGCCCCATTACTGGTTCCGTGTCCCTAACCAATAGAGTATACATTTATATCACGTGGGGTCGATCTCACTCAATCAGACTGTTATGAAGTGATCAATGCGCTTTGTAATCAGTCCGTTGTTCATAGAGTGTCTTTCTTACAACTATACCACTCATATAATTAGTTGATGCTCAACAAGGGTCAATTGGGGGCATATGGAAGGGAAAAATCCCCACAATTTATGCCACAACTTCAATTTGATTAACGTCATTTGCGATTGGAGTGATATCGACATATGGACATTCTAACCTACATATTCAAATCATATTATTTAGGTACAAGCATTATATTATTATTAGGAACTTTCAAATATAATATCAACTGCATACAAGTATGGGCATAGTTTTCATTATTTTTACAAGTTGCATTGATTATACGAGGGGCATTTGAAAAGTTCGTCTCTTTTTGCTATAATTTTTTTTTTACTCATCTATTTATGAAACTTTCAGCATATGTTCCAAATACATATGTCTTGAGTTTACATCAATATAAATATAATTTCTTATTAGGAAGTGAACTTTTGGTTGCCATGGCAACAGCGAGACTTGGTTCCGTGGAGCACCTCAAACATTCAATGCATGAAACATACATTCAATGAAAAAACTTAATATGTTCTTTTGAAAATGACAGTTATTTGTTAAAAATGTGTTGCCATAGCAAAAAGCTAGTGGTGTAATAGTGTTCTACAGGTGAATGGACTCACTGTGCTGTCAGTGTGATGTCATAAACCTCCGTCAAAATAGACTCACTCTATTCACTAAGATTTTGGTGGAGCAGGTGTTTCCAAACAGTGGAGCAAATGGTGAATGAACTTATCAAAGAGCAGAGACTTTGCATTAAAATCTGTGTAAAACAAGGAAAAGACTTGAGGACACTGTAAGAACAGGTAAAGCAACATATGAAGACATTTGTTGTTCCTATCCCATGATAATAAGCTGGTTCAACATGTTCAAGAAAGGCATCTCAATCATGAAATATGAGCTAAGAAGCGGGTGAAAAGGACAGCGATATTGAAAGAAAACATGGATTTAGTGAACACAATAATTGAACAGGTCTATATGGATTTGGTACGGAGGTTTAGAAATTCTATTGCATTCTATTTGGGGGAGTATACTTCGAAGGAGATAGAGAGCCCTGAATTAGTCCTACTGGCTTAATGTTGTGGCAATGATAAGATAGTATGTCCATAGACTGCACATTATGGTTGGATATATCGATTGTGACGTAAAACACGGGTAGTATCTAAAGCCCCGCTATGATTGAAAAGTCGCGAGCAAGTTCCCGCTGAAATCGCGAGCATAGTCCTGTTTATTTGTATCACTTTGGAAAATGAACCAAAAGGATGAAAATACTTATTACCGTTCTTTGATATTCCAGCAAAACTTTAAAAACAGATATATTTGACAAAAAATGACATGAAAAATGATTATTTTTTACTTGCATGAAGGAAAGGGGCGTCAACATGCACGTTTGCACAATTTACTGTTCATATATTACCTTTATCGTTAAAATAAAGGCAATAAATACGATTTACATACTCCATAATAAATATCGGATCAAGATGGTCTGTATGGATAAGTTACTGGACAATGACACCTGCCATGGGGGTCGAAATACATTATTAAAGGTGTTCCAGTGGCCCCGCTGAAAACATGAGGAGGCCCCGCTGAAAACATGAGGAGACCCCGCTGAAAACACGAGCAAATTCCACGACTACCCGCTTCGATCACGAGGAAAGCTTCATCATTATTCCATGAATATAGTGAGCTTCTTTATATGAACGTACACGATAACGTATTAATGACAATCACATAACATATCATTCTATGACAACATCACAAATATTTCTTCTTCAACTTCAGGCAGTCTAATCCATCTGTCAGCGGCATGATCAAATTTTTATATGTAAATAGACATTGTACATTTCGGAGTTAAATGTACATTCTACATAATTCACTATTCCAAGGATTATACTTCTGAGGACACATATATTTCATTGGTTTCTTTGTCCGACCGTTCATTCGTGCGTGCATTCGACCGACCGTTCGTTCGTTCGTGCGTTCATCTGACCGTGCATTCGCACGACGGTCCGTTCATTCATGCGTGCGTTCATCCGACTGATTGTTCGTTCGTGCGTGCATCGCCCAACCATG